CGACTGGACTATCGACAGGGATTATGTATAAATGTTTTGTTTAAAAAGCTTGAAGGGGGGAAGCTCAATCTCCCGTTCGATGTTCGGTCAACTGCTCAGATTCATCAATCTTGGACGTTCGTTCTTGTCACTCGCTCAGACACACTACTTATTCTAATACCAGAAAACTTCAACTACACACCACAAAAAAAAAAAAAAAAACACCAATACATAACTAATTTCAAACAACCGCCAAAATGTTCTCCAAGACCGCCGTCGCCATCACCTCCTTCTTGGCCATTGCCGAGGCCGTCAAGGTCACCTCGCCCGCCAAGGGCGACAACTGGGACCTCTCCCAGACCCACGAGATCAAATGGGAGACCGTCTCCAGCGACCCCAAGAGCTTCGAGATTGTCATCGTCAACCAGTCCGGCTACCCCCAGGTCTCCGAGACCATCGCCACCGTCCAGGCTGCCGATGGCAAGTACGAGCTGAAGGACGCCAAGGTCGCCGCCGGCAGTGCCTACCAGATCAACCTCGTCTCCGTCGACCCCGAGAACTCTGGCATTCTGGCCCAGTCCAACCAGTTCAACTTCATTGGCTCTGACGGTACGTGAAGCAACACATTTCTCTATTCTCGGTCGTATCAAGCGCAGTCCGCTCACCTTGCATGCCCTAGATTCCTCTTCCGCCTCTGCCTCTGACTCTGCTTCCGCTACGGCGTCGGCCAGCGCCTCGGGCTCTGCTGCCTCTGCCTCTGTTACCGGTTCGTCATCCTCGGCTTCTAGCTCCGCGGCCTCTGCCACTGCCACGGCCACCCAGAGTTCCGGCCTGACCACCGTGACCACAGCGACCACCGGCTCTGCCGCTGCCACTGCCTCTGCCTCTGGAACCGCTGCCTCTCACGCCTCCAGCTCCGGTACCGCCACTGGCTCCGCTGCCTCCGGGAAATCCACTGCCCCCAGCAGCGCCTCCGCTATCAAGTCCACTTTCGCCATCTTGGGCTCCGTCGCCGTTGCCGCCTACATGCTCTTGTAAGCAAGATTACAAGATGCACGCACAAATCTTGTTTTTTCCCCCCCGCCTCCTTGGAGCTGTTTTGAAAACCCGAATGATACCAACCGGCTACGATGAAGGGAGTAGCGACAAACTAGCGAAGTGCCCATTGGAAGGACCGGAAATGAAGGATTATACCACACACATCAAAATCGGATGGGTCATGTCTGGCGTCGCCTTCGCACAATTTTGAATTACGTTTTTTTAGACTAATGTTGAAGCCTTGCTACTGGACTCCCTCCAATTACGGGCGCCTCGAAAACGCATCATGCATGTGTGTGTGAGAGAGAGAGAGAACAACTTGATGATGGAGAAACCTGGTATCCTGCATGAATGGGATGGATTTCCTGGGATTCGACCCCAAGATTTTGCGCCGTTCCGGACGCGACCTGGGCGCGGAGATGAGCAGACCCATGCCGTTCATCCCGAGGTGCCCAAACCAAATGGCGAAAAGTCAATGGATTATTGAACAATCTCCACCATTTGCTGTGAGCTCGTAATTATGGATACGGAATGACCGCACCTAATTCGAGACCGTTATGCGGCACAACCCTGCCGTTCCCCTGATCGCCCGCCTTAACGTGCAGGTTGGCGTCTGCTGACTAACCCAATTGGGATTGACGGCTGGGATCATGCCAGAATGGGGGCGTCGTTTGTCTGGCGCTGTGCCGTTATCGCGAGCGAGCGAACGAACGAACGAACGAAACCCCCTCCCAGGGACTAGTTCCAATCGCGTCAGATCACGTCCGGAAAGCATGATTGTAGATCGTGATAACACGAGAGCAGGATACGGGTTGCTGGCTCTCATCATTTCAAAACGGAGACGGCAAGTCTTTTTTTTCATCGACGCTGAGACGGTGGATTTGCTGTGATTACGGATAGGCACCGTAGGCTTTGTGAGTTGCTTTTATTTGTGGATCCCGAATTTAAACGCGACAATTTAGCCTTTCACGCTTTCCACGTGCCGAACAAGCCTTTTTCCAAGTGTCTTACAATTGTGAGACAGTCTGCTTCAGTCTATCGATGCTCTCGCCAATCAGGAATGGCGACCTGACTGACCTTGATAGATTCCGCTTGGGAGGAATGGTGCCCGTTGAACGACATTTCAAGCAAGGGACCTCACTGTCCTTGTTTTACCACGCCACGGCAAGACGCCAAGCGATTGCACTCATGTCTTTGCTACCTATTCACCCGTCGGTTTCAAGTGCACTTGTTTCGTCGTCTGAAATCTTTCTGGTCTACAATCCCATGGATCGGCACGCCGTTCACCCTACAGTTCCAGTAACATGAAACAGAACAAACTGGCCATGACCATTTTCTGTACATTGACCTTCACATTGATGAGTTGATGTAATATTTGTGTATTATTTGTTTTACATATTCTACCGGGAGAAGATTGAGAATCCGGTCAATTGGGTTGCGAGAAAGTCCGTCGGAGTGCGACTCGCTAACCGACTCGTCCCACTCATGTGCACAGCACAGATCTTGCTCTGGGGAGTTGAATCCATTGTCCACTCAGGTCCGGTTCCTGTCTTTTTTCCCCCAAGTCTTTTAAGTAAGCGACTCGGAAATTTGCAATGAATTTCGATATGGTCATTTAGACCGGGCATTCATAGTCCCTAAGAACCCCTGGGGTGTTTATAGGAAGCCCCATGTACTTGTGCGACTGCAACTGACAGAAGCGAGGAATGTGTATTGCACATTTCTCTGCGTATTAAGGATCTCCACTCATTGAGGAGGCCGTGCTAGTACTCTTTCTTCGTCGACTGAATATCCTCATGGGCCCGCTGGTTTGTGGGCGCTTTATAGACGGCGGTAAAGAACCCTCCTTTAGGGATTGAGGGCTTACGTGTGACTGAGGGAAGATGCCAAATTTCCCTTTGCTATTTGTCCCAGACCAACACCAATGGTCCTGGTAAAGCCCTGAGAGGTTGCCTTCAGTCAGCCCTAGGTCATCAAACTTGTCACTCGAGGCAGCACCAGAGCACTTACATCCGACGTTTCTGATGGCTTCCCCCTTCCCAAAAGTCAACCAGCCCGCCCTTGAGTTGTCCGGAGGATCCCATTTCCATCGCGTAGTCAATGATACCGCACTGGTGGCTTGGAAAGAAATCTCGTTCTGCCTTGGACTCTCAATCTCAACAAGTTTAGATGGGAATGGGCCTTGCACGCCGTCATGCCAGCCAGTGCACCACTTGCCGCCCCATTGCTCTGGGAACTCGACACCGACAATCCTCGCACCGACGAAGAATTGAAGAACGTTGGGGCTGCCGTCAGGGCCTACCAAGTTCTCACCCTTCCGCTGAACGTAGCTCTTTAGAGCCGTGGCGACGGGAAATTGTGCGAGGATGTCATGATCGGGGAATGGACTTGGCGCCGGGGACGATGGGAAGTGGACGTCGTAGTCCTCGATGGGATCATGGTCCTTGTCGACTTGACCGTACAGGACAGTCACACCGGGAACTTGTGGAAGAGGCTGAGGATGGCTAGATACGTGTTTGAGGAGCTGATCTGCGCTCTGGAAGACGGTTGCATCCGCCTCGTGGACGGTCTGTCCGAAATGGGTGCAGAACAGACACGCATACCGAGTTTCCGATGCTGTTTTGACCGCAATGTGTGATTTGACCAGGAAGCGGACACGGTAGACAATACCATACTTTGAAAAGTTTGCACGGGCTGGAAGCATGTCAGAATCAGAAATGGCCGTCACAAACCACAATACAAGGGGAAAATTCGGATTGGCTTACAGTCACCCTCTTTATCGAGAGCCAGCGCTTTGTGCAAATGATGATATTCGCAATCTATGCAACGGCCGATGAGAAGTGGTTCGCCCTGCTTTTGTTTTAGCCGTGCTGTTTTCAAGCTGGATTCTTGCGCTCAAGATGGCTTGGGGGGGGGGGGGGGGGGGGCGGGGCGGGGAGGGGGGCGGATGGCGCGCGGTTCGCGCGGGGCGGTGTGCGGCTTGGGGCGTGTTGTGGTGTGGGCGTGGGGTCGTGCGCGCGCGCGGCTCTGGGGGGGGGGGGGGGGGGGGGGGGGGGGGGGGGGGGGGCAGAATTTCGACTCACCCATGCCATTGTCTGCTTGATGCCATCCCAATATCCTCCTCGGCGGAATGATAGTGCGCCGTCACAGAATCCTTTGAGTTGGTGAAAAGAGCTCTTCGGCCCGATCAAACACCCCTCTTCCTTTTCCAGTGTTGAGATTGACCTCAGACGATGTGTGCTGGTTTCTGATACCGCTTGTTCGCTGGCCAGCATCAGTCCGTCGGCGAATTGCCCCGAGGGCGGGAAAGTTGTTGTTAGAGCCTGTTCGAATCTTGTTGCTGCAATCGGAGACATCCTGGCATCAACAGTCGAAATTTTAGTAGAAGTGACACTCGACGATTGAGTAGGAACATCCGAGTAGACTGACGTTCTACTTGTTGTTGAAGGACTGATGGGATCAAATACTGAGCTCTGTGGTGTCGAGTTGTCGAAGCCTATGCGATTACCCCGCGCGATAAATGTGCCGTCGCAAAAGGCATCACCAACCACGGCGGTATTTTCGGGGATGCTTCCACGGACAGGCCGTCGAGGTTTAGGAACCGAGGTCTGCTCCTCAACCCAATCTGATGTCCATGGCTGTACACGCTCTTGGGGTGTGACGACTCTCAGCCGACCCATTTCATCGCCGAGAGCATCCGGCGACAACGGCCGCGGCCGCCCGTCTCTGTTGGATGGTATACTCCCAGGTACAACGCGAGACGATCTAGGATCGGACTCTGTTGACTCGGCCCTCGAGTGAGTCAGCCTCGTGGTCGTGCTGTCCGTTGATCCGTAGGAGCCTCGCGTGTTACCCCGGCTCACTTGCGGCTTGGGTTGCCGTGGGACGGCAGGAAATAAGGAAATGCTGGCGGCCCCGTGACTAGCTACCCGTGGGGGTGGTGCCGGTCGGGGTGGAGGGTTGCTCTTGATTGACGATGCTAGCGAAGGAGGCAGAGGTGGTAATGGCGGGAACTTGTGGACCGGCGCGGGCGGAGTTTTGGTGTCAATCTTGGTCCTCTGGATCGCGTCTAGTACAACCAGGGCGAACGATCTAGTAGCAGCCTGTAGCTCGACAAATTTAGTCAAGTCGAAGGTGTCTACTTCAATGTAATCCTCAAAATCATACAGCAGCTCTTCTAGTGCTTTCCGTTTCTCCGCCAGGTCATCTTTTTGTCGAACGTTAGCGGCCACTAAGGATAGGAGCCGGCGAGACCATTAGTCGGTTCAGCTTACTATTGTCGGCAATTGTGTCTTTGAAGTTGTCTCCATGCTTCTCAATCTGGCTGTCCCACAAAGGCTGCAACCTCTTCAATGCCCGTTGGCCTTCCTTGGTGATGGCGCTTGCTGATTTCGCCATCTCGCGGGCCAGTTCTGGCTCCTCCTCGTGTGCTTCGTGCGCATTTTTGGCAGATTCTTCCCCCCTCTCGACTACCTCCCGAAACGGATAGAGAATAAGCTCTTCAACGTCGACGGCCATGGCTGATGGCTCTGGAATGGCGATTGCGTGGGTTTGGACGTTGAAGACAGGTGGAGTGCTGGGGAGCCGCTCTGCGGCCGTGGATGACCGGCGAGGTTCGGATCGACAATGACACAACGTGGGGATGGGGTTCAATTAAAGGGTCCTTTCTGGAAGGAGCCGTTACCAAATTGTTGGTACACGCCAAATAGCCATCTTCAATGGGAATGTGGCATGCGTAGGAGATTACATGCAACTACCTGCAGGCTGCAACCTGGTGCACGTCGAGAACTGTTGTGAGCCACTCGATGGAGCACGTGGGAGGCTAGACAGGGAACTGGAGACCGGATTCTTCATGCACACCACAACGGCGCTATTGTTTCGGTCGCCTAAACAAGTGAATCCTGCCGAAGCGTCTGGCACTACACCGAGAATGCACATGACAGGACAAGCCGTCTTACTACTATGGTAATGGTGCGGGAGCCGTTGGCCACCGGTTCGTTTGCATATCCATGTTGGAGACCTTCATGAAGAATTGTTCTGTGTGAGGATACCGGGCCACAGGCATCGAAGCGGCCTACGCTAGAGAGAATCGGTGAGCAAGGACCGATACTCGTTTCTCGCGCACTCACCCGTGTCGATGGCTTTTAAATTTGCTTTCCAAACTCAATTAGGTACAGGACACTTTTCTGGATGAACACGCGCTCCATCGGTCTGATCCTGCAAACCTACAAACCTCTTCTGGCGGTCCCAACTCCTCAATTGCCCCATCTGGCGACGTGTTCACGAAGGTTAATTCGCATTGGCCATTCATATTTGGGGCCTTATAATTACCCGCATCAAAAGCACGTCATCCCGTGCCGGTCGGATCATGGGAGGGGCCTTTCATCGCCAATATCAACGACCACCGACTCCGTGGTTGAGCCGACCCCGGCCGGAGACAGGGTGGAGACCTGGGTTACGTTGATCTTTGTCAAGGGGGAGAGGTGCTACCGCGATGATCCAATGGTGGCCACGTTCGGTAGAAGCGTTCCGGGGCAGGCGATAATCGGTCGTCCAGACAAGTTCAAGACTCGAAATGAAATCATAAAATCCCGTCAGCTAGCTTCGATAATTCCGCTCTCGATTTGCAGACAAAATGAAACCACGAGGCACTGAAGATTCATCGATTTCAGTGATGCAGATGGCCCGCTGCAATGCTTCTTTTATGGTTACCCACATGCATTCTACCAGGGCAACAACCCCACCACCGAACTTGTAATGTCCACAATCCGGAGACTAAACAGTGCTTCCGGCATACCCGGGATCCCTGCATTGTCAATGGAAGTGTGTTCCGACGATTAATTAGGCAGACGTTGTTTCACAGCGTTCGCTTTCCGGCCATGTTCCAACATGTGTTAAGTGGCTTGGGAAGTTCACCGGGCTTACGATGGCAATACGGCACAGCCCACTTAATTCGGCCATCTATTGGTGGACTCGCGTCATCTCTTCTTTCAAACCCATGTTTTCGGATAGCCGACGATAAGAAATCCTTGCCGAATTGCCTCGGAACCTCGCGCATTCAAGTTCCAGTTCCGTTCCAGAACGGGTCCGGCCTCGGAGCACCTGTCCAGATCGGCCATCCGACAGGCTAGACAGTCGTGTGTGGGTTATGTTCTCCTCCCGTTCCAACATAACCAAGTTGCGACTCTTGAGTACAACGCCAAGGTAGCATCTTAGCCAAAAAGAAGTAAAGTACAGAAAAAAAGAAGACATCGAATAGAAGACATCAAATTGGGAGGTAAATCACACTACTGAATGGCCATCATTCAGTTGCGAGAACTATACAGTTTTCGGACACTTGCCTTCTCGCCGGACAACCTGGCTCAAAAATCTGCGGAGCCGGAGGGTCCCATGGGCTCTAGAGCCGCGCTTTGCACCCAACAGCGTTCTTCCGAAAGGCGCACCAGTCCCGATGTCCGGAGCCAAGCATCGGGTGTTGCCGAGTCGGCCCCAGTTTGTGGAGGGCTAGTCACGGATATCGGCCGCCATATCAGAGCCGCATTTCCGTCCGCAGCGGAAACCAGTTCTGCTTCCTGTCTTTGACAACTTCTCCTGTGCTAGTAGAAAATTAGGCATCGGTCATCCTTTGGGAACAAATGGCACGCAATGACAACCGACAACAGCATTCGAGACCAAGGGGACTCTTCACAGAGGACCTTCTTAGATAGACGCGATGTCGACATTGAAGAGTATGCGGACATCATTCCTGCGCGGTCCAAAACTGCCAAAGGAGGTTCGTCTTGGCTTTACTTGTCGTGCAGTAGATTTCGGTGGCTCACACTATTGTCTAGATGATCCTGCACATCCAGGCTTGACAAAGCTTCCGTCAGGAGTCCTCAACTTCCAGGACGACCCAGTTGCTCGCCATCAATCCAACGTGGAGGTACCTTACGAGATCTACAATCGCTTTTCGAAGCACCGCAAACATGTGACTGTCGCCGTCATTTCCTGGTGTGGTTTGTTATCACCAATTTCCAGTACGGCTGTCTTGTCGGCGCTTCCCGAAGTCGCAGCCGAGTACAAGACTACCGGAGACATCATCAGTCTTAGTAATGCGTTGTATCTCGTCTTCATGGCTATCAGCCCTTGCTTTTGGGGACCGTTGAGCCAGGTGTATGGTCGAAAATGGGTAAGTGGATTGATTCTACAACACCTCGGTTCTTTAATTTCTGGCTCAATCCGTCGGCCAACTGTTTCTTGTTTTCAAAAACAAGCAGAAAGATTGACTCATGTTTCCAGACGTGTATGGTGACATCGTCGCTATTCTTGGGATGTTCGATTGGTACGGCTCTCAGCCCTAACGTTTCCGCCTTTTTTGTGTTCCGCATCCTCACTGCCTTTGCCGGAACATCATTCCTCGTCACTGGTCCCGCTGTAATTGGCGACTTGTATCATCCTACAGAGCGTGCCACTGCGATGGGTTGGTTCTTGTCCGGCACACTCATAGGGCCGACGATCGGACCAGTTCTTGGCGGCATCATTGTGACCTACACATCCTGGCGCGCCATCTTTTGGCTTCAGACCGCTCTTGCTGGTGTTGGCGTCGCGGGTGCTCTCTTTTTCATGCCGGAAACGTTGCAGGAACTTAAAAAGGCAGGCCTGGAAGGGCTCGCTTTCAGTCAAAAGGTCAGCGTGTTATGGGGTATGACGAATCCTGTCCGAGTTATTCGACTCTTCAAGTTCCCAAACCTCATATTGGTGGCGATTGCCAGCGGCTCGCTCGTATGGAACATGTACGGCATGCTGACGCCTATCCGATACGTCCTCAACCCGCGGTTTTCTCTGACATCGCCGGCACAATCGGGCCTCTTCTACTTGGCGCCGGGCTGCGGCTACCTTGCCGGCACCCTCGTCGGTGGACGCTATGCCGATTACACGGTTCGCCGCTGGATAGCTGAACGGCACGGACGCCGCATCTCCGAGGACCGGCTGCGCTCGTGCATCCCTTTCTTGGGCGCCGCCTTGCCGGGATGCATGCTCATCTACGGGTGGACAGTCGAGCGTCGCGTTGGCGGCGTTGCGGTGCCTGTCGTCTTCATGTTCCTCGGGGGCGTATCGCAGCTCTTTTGTTTCCCGAGTTTAAACACCTACTGCTTGGACGTGATACAGGGACGCAGCGCAGAGGTGATTGCGGGCAACTTTATGGTGAGATATTTATTTGGTGCCGCTGGATCGGCTGTTGTCCTTCCAGCGATCAAGGTCATTGGGGTTGGATGGTTCAGCACCATTTCTGCTGGCTTCTTGGTGATCGGGGCTATAAGCGTTTGGGCTGTCGCACTCTGGGGTAGAAGCTGGCGCCATCGCATTGACGAGAAGTCGAGACCATCTGTGCTATGAATTCCAGTTTGAATGACAATCTCGATATAGAATATGGTCTTCAGGTGTTTCCTTGCTCTAGTAGACTAAGATCAAAACGTTTTCCTGGGTTGAAATCATTGTACATCTGGAGAAACGGCAAGAGTACGGTTTCTTTTGGGACAATTTATAGAAGGCCATTTTAGAGTAACGTAGAGCCCCACATAGAGTGAAATACTATGCCCACTTCAGCATTCCATGTAAGGTAATACCAAGCTGTGTATGGGTATCGTTTAGGTTACCTCAGATGAGTACATATGTAGGGTAAAATAGATCGGAGACTAAATGTGAGTGGCTACAGTTCACGACTGAATCTTCTCTTCCTAGGGATAAAGTTTCGACGGCGTCCTTGTTGTTGGTATGGTGCGGTTGTAAGAAAGAAGAAATTGAATTGTATTGGGGGCGGTAAAGCCGCGCTGAGGGAGACAACATAAATGAGATGAGATGGGGCTAAGCGCAAAACGTCTAGACGATGTCGACTGCCTGTGACATTGACCGTTGAAGCAAAATTCAAGGCCAGGGACCCTTGTTCGCACTACACTCACCGTAATACTTACTGATTGAATAATTCTAGAAATTCATGTTCCGTTCGGACTGTTGGTCGCAGCCGGCGCGACCACCGACACAGATTCAAATGTTCTTCGCGCGAAATTCACGAACCCAAGATTTGAGACTGGTTACGATGCTCACGATTGGTCCGATGCATCTTCATGAAGTAAGACCATTTCTTCTATATGCTCTAGCAATAGAGCCTCGATAAGAAGGGGTGTCTATCCAACCACGTCTTCTGCCCGTTTAACAAGGCAATTATAGAACTCAGCACACATCTGATCGAATGAGTTGAAACGATGATGTGACCATTCGTGTCATCGGCGACGGCAATGCTCCCCTGGGCGCTCAACAATGAGCGTGACATTGGTAATTTTGTCTTCCGAATCATCGCTAACTAGAAAACCTTGAACAAGATGGTGTTTGACTATGGCGAGGTCATGACACAAAAGGACGCCTTTCATGTTCTCGAGAAGGCATCTTGCGAGAATTTAACTCAAGAGTTTGTACGTACCCGAGAGTTTCATTAACCTTGACAAGTAAAGATCAGCTACCAACCAAAAGCTTAAGTAACTCTAAAAGGCTTACAAGTCATCACCTCCCAGAACGGCACGAATTCTGCGAAGGAAAATATCAAGGACATAACGGCTCTCCTCAAGACTAACATGGCAGGGTGTGGAATCTTCTTGATATCCGTGCAAACAACTTGGAAGCTTTAAAGACTTTGGCTGGCCGGCGGCGGGACATGTAAGTCTGGAAGGAGGGCCGGGCTAAGGCTGTCGAAGTTGAATTCTTTGATAACACATTCACTCCTCGAGAAGACCAAAGACAATCCACAGAGAATCCTTGGGGGTGATATTGTATCATGAATATGTGTGCGTATGGATGTATTTGATGTATGGCCAAACCCTGGCTCGTAAAGAATAGATACAAAAGAAGATGACTCGTGTGCTAAGGCTTACAGTCCTCTCAAGTGCTTTCCGATGTCGAATGAAACGCACGGAAGTCGAGCTCCCAGACACACGGGCGGAATGAAAAGCAATCTAGTTGGTGACGGTCTGCTTGGCTGAGCCAGCGCCATTCCAGGTTTCGACAGCAATGACCTGGAAGTTGAGCGTACCTAGGTTCAGGCCGTAACTCTTCCAAGCATTGAAGTGGTTGGCAATAGAGACGGTACCGTTGGAGCTACCCCCATTACGAACCGAGATGTACTGGTTGAAGGTTTGGGTACCTTGGATTGAAGGAGCGTTGGTACGCACGTTCTCCCAGACGGTGTACGAGCCGCCATCGCTAGACACGGTGCCCTTCTTCGTCCCGGTCTGAGAGAAGCCGGCAGAGTCCTCAATGACATAGTACTCCACAAGCGGATTGGTAGTCCAGCCGTAGACAGAAAGGGTAGCGAGTCCCTTGGTGACGGCGAAGGATCCGCCGTGAGTAATGGGGGCGGTGGAGCCGGGGTTCCAGCCGACGCCGACAACGAAGTCGTCTGTGGTGTCGAAGGTGAGACTGAAGCTGTTGCCTGAGGGCGTGAAGTTGACCGTGCCGCCGGTCTTGTAGTTCTGGACATAGTTGGTGCGCTCCTCGAGGGTCATGCCGCGTCTCTCGAGAGACTCATTGCGACGTGCGAGCATGAGGGGGTGATCAGGCCCTAAGAAGAAGTCGGAAGGGCCGCGTCTATGGACATGGGGAGGCAGCAACTCGGACGGTCCGATCGCGGGAGCAGCAAGGCAAGGGGCGATTGCCGAAAGAGCCAAGACTAAAGAGTGAATGGAAACCATTTTGAGAATGAAGGTCTCGATTGGGCGAGGTAGGTGTTGGTTGGCTCAAGATTGCCAAGATATCTGCAATCGATGCAGGCGAACGTCGACCTTATACGATTTTCTTGGCATGTTAGATGTCGTTAGATCAAACCAGGGGACTAGCTAGCCCGGTTTGCGTGCTCGCAAAACCTCGCTTGGTTCCGTGTTAATTATCGACGAAACGGTTGCTCTTCCGTGCCGAATGAAATCAGGCAGAATCGGAAAAGTAAGCCCCTGGCTCTATTAAGGCGAGGCTTCTAAGGGCATGGATGTTTCGATTCCACCAGCCATAATTGTCTATGAGTGAAGACCTAGACTCATGCTATAGAATGGGGTCTTTTTTCAAAACATCGGCCTCGCAGGGGAAACCCTGCGAGGAGCTACGCCGGATCACCTCACGGCTCATTAAGGGTGTTGCAACCTGGTGGGCTATCTGAACAACGCGGGGAAGTCACCGAAACATACGGTACATAAGGGTACCAAGAGAAGCCGGCTAAATTAGATATAACGGCTCGGCAATGGAATTATCTCAGCGTACGCGGCTGGATCGCCTGGCGTATATTGTGTGGCGTCTTCGTCACTGCTACACGCACGGCATCTCAGCCGAGTCACGTTGTACTCCTGCGATTTTGCCGGCACTAGCGACGCATGGGGCTGATTTGTAGTTGCTTTTGAAGTCAGGGCTTCTTGCTTTGGCAGGGTCAAGTGATGGAACCGACGCAGTGTTCAGTAGGCAGTAAGGACGGCACTTGAAAGACGTCAAAAGTAATTCTGAGACGCTAGTATTCATTCTGACAGGTTCATTCTGACAGGTCGAGCGGCTTTCAGTCAAGCTACACCTTGTTCGGAGGGTACAAGAACCATAACTTGGGGGCAAGAGGTAGAGAAGCAAGCTGCCGAGGCACAGTTCTCGCGTCGTTCCGGCAAAAACGGCAGTGGGTCGGGTTAAATACGAACCTTTCGGGGAACCTCTGGCAGAACTTCCAGATGACACCATAATTACCTAAGGAGCAATTAATCGGCTATAACATGAACTCACGTCGTATTCTTCTGTCTGTTCCATTTATCTAGGACACACTAGGAAACCTTACTATTTGTCTGCAACGAAATAAATGAGAACGAATCCTGTATTCAATCGCAGCTGAAAACTTTATTCTTGATCTGGTGTTGTTCAGAGTCTCGGAAGAAATCTCCGCAACAAAAGCTCGCAGAATCTCGGATACTTATCTTAGACTCAAGTGCCACTCACAAGGTAGTTTTCGCTGCTTCATCTCTGCCTCAACGATCATATGGAAGTTGAGGTTACATGTGTCTTCAACAAGTGACAGCTGTTCAGCACTGTGGCTCAATTGTTCCTCTGTAAGATTCCCCTGCTTTAGGTATGGCCCCCGCTTGTCAGTTACCAGAGATGCGACTGGAAAATGAGGCAAGCCAACGAGCCCGCCTCGCAATTTCTTCTGACCTTTTATCTCTGTCTGGATGCACCCTTCATTGCCGGCAATATTCCAGGCATTATTGTACCAATATTCCGGGCATACACTGATTATGCGGAGTGCAACTTACCCATGCCTCCGTTCGCTCCGGTTGGTGGGCTGGATTTCATTTACACGCAGTAATTGTCCGAAGCCATTGCTGGGGCTCTGAAGAATAGCCATGCTGTATCAGGAAAGGCCGTCTTAATTGGTGACCAGAATATCACTTATGCGGAGTGCCTACTTTACGAGGTTTTTCCAGGCGGTTGAAAATGATCATTAATTGAAGTCACCGGATCAGGATCACCCGCTGCTACCTCGGGCTACCTCGGGCTACCTCAGGCTGCCTTATACGTGGGTGACAGGGCAGTCGACCATCGACCTGACCCTGCGGAACTGGCAATTCTAGGATGATATCGCCGTGACGACACTGAAAATGCGACCAACGATGTAGCATTCAAGTATAATACTTTTGCCATATTTGAAAAATATCCATGGCCTAGGAAGCAGTACTAATGCCAGGAATCCCAAAAGACTCGTCACCTAATGTAGTCGTTACTGAGCTTTTGATACACTAAATAATTTTGGCATCAGTGAACGCATATTTTCCTGTAAGATTAAGAATAGCTTACTTTGCAACGAAAAGAATAGGTTAGCAGCCCCAAAGGTGTACCTCGCCAAGCTGTTCGCGCTGGCTGCGCTTGCTACAATGGAACGATGGTATGGGGGCCCTAGGTAGTGGATTGAGCTAATGGACAATATGATATTGCCCCAGCCAAAGACGACAATTGCGATGTTTGGAACAGCAATATTGATGTCTGGCCGGGCAGAGCAGCCGAACCAAAAGAGGCTTATTGGAAGAACCAAGCTCCCCAACATAGCTGGATAAAGCCGAAGCTGCTCAAGACCAAAACCGAACAAGATCTATTGTCCGAGGAATACGTACATTTCAAACCATTGTGAACGCGCTTGGACCGGACCCCGCGCACTGACATACAGGATTGATAGAGCAGCGATGTACCCCATTCATCAGCGCTTGGCTTCTAACTTGAGGCGCGGGAGGTGTCTTTTGGCTGGCGACGCCGCACCAGTGAACAACGTAAGAGCTCATGTAACCTTTCTGACGGATGTTAAGCTAAGTCTATGAGTTTCTACAACACAGGTCATTTGTGGCTTGGGTCTGAGCACTTGCCTGCTGGAGTCTGTGGCTCTAAGCGACACTCTCACTCTAATTCTGAAAGACGGCAAACCAGGAAATCCCATACTGATAATGTCCTCGGATGAGCAACGTCAATTCTTCCAATTTTTTGTTGATCCAGTCGCTTCTTGGGTAAGATATCTGTATTTCTCGTCCACCTCAAATTCTCCTCGGACTAAAATAACAAAGATTAACAAATCTGGTCAACAGAGCAAACGCGAATACAGGCAGGCGAGCAAGACGATTGGTTCGTTCGCTGCTTGAGTGACATCTCAAGCCCCTCATTTGCACGTTGGATTGAAATGATGGAGAGCTTTTGACCGACACCAATAAAGGACATGACCAAAGCATTGGATGAGGGTTGTAGTGACCAGTCTCCTACATTTACGCCTTAACATAGCAAGACAGTTACAATCTGCCTTTATATTTGTTTCTTGAGGACCGCATCGTGGCGGGTCCAATGGATGCTGCTTGTATAATACCTATTGAAACCTTAGTTACCATGTATGCTTGACTGTCGCGCCATCTTCATGTGCTAATTTCATGGTGATCCTCGATTCCTTTATCCTGCCTCCTCATCTAACTGGGGCCTTCTACTGCCAATGAACGGAAGAGGACCTCTAATCACGCTCGAGACCTTCACATATTCAGCCTTAGCGCTGAATTGGCGTTCCTTTAATAAGTCAACAAGCAACTTCCAAAGCGTAGCTGACAAGGACGTTTCAACGGAATGGGAGCTGAATTTTTGGGTGCCTTGTATAAGGATACCTAGAGTCTTGTCAGTGGCTTTGTTTCTCAGGTCTTCGAATATCGTATTTTTGGGGTCCTCTTGACGCCCGATGTAAGCTTCGTCGCCATTCGGACTCGCTCCTCATTGGTCAGATCGGACTCCAGGTCAGGAGGCTGAGAAAACGAGTTTTTTTTCTTGATTCACTAACATTTAAGCAGCATTCAATGCATGTGTCAAAGATCGGTGTCTGTTATATGTTTGGTTACTTTCGTCTGTTTTAGGCATGGAATGCGATGGTAAGCGTGTCCGACCCGCGCGGGTAATGATCTCGCTCTACACACGGCTCAATATGTAGGTCTATTCCGTAGTCCGACCGGTCGCTGTGCCACACTCTAGCGCCGTCTACCCAAGTCCGACTAGGCAGACGAGCATCCTTACGGAACACGCAAAAATGGATTGACTAAATAACGGTGTATATATATAGGTGTTAATGGGTTTCTTTTCATCCTCAAAATCATCAGTACCAACGTTTACTTCTCTTGCAGTTTACCGACCTTAGTTGGACATACCTTATCTATCATCATGTCTACACCAGTCAAAAGTCAGCTTCACCTCGTGCTGTATCGAGGCTTCCCAGTCTCCAATGCCTACGTGTGGTCACCTTTTGTCACAAAGCTTGAAGCGCGCCTTCGATTCGCTAAGCTGCAATTCCGCACCGACCAAGGTTCAATGAGCAAAGCACCTCGTGGTAAAATACCATATATTGAGATCGCCCATCCCAACCAAGATCCGCCGACTAGCTTAGGAGACACAAGCCTCATCATCCAACGACTGATTGATGACGGGGTTTGTCAAGACTTGAATGAAACACTTTCACCAATCGTCAGAGCCCAGGATGCTGCCATTCGCGCCCTTCTTGAGGACAAGTTAGCTTTTTATCAAGTGAGTATAAGCCATGGTAGGAATATCCCCAGTAGCTTCCTATGCTCACAAATCTCTCTTCGCGTCACAGAGCTCGGAGAGGTGGCATGACAACTACGACACCATGCGATCTGGTGTGCTCGGTGCAATCCCATGGCCAATACAGCCCCTGATTGGTCTCCTGGCCTACCGCGGAGTGACCCGTACCCTTTATGGCCAAGGCACTGGCCGATTCTCCAGTGATGAGCTCGCAGGATTCCGCCGGGACGTTTGGGGGCATATCAATGCATTTTTGAGCGAGGCTCGCCTTACAGCTCCTGATCTTCAGACTCCTTTCTGGGTCTTGGGCGGCAAGAATCCTTCCGAGGCGGATGCAACCGTCTTCGGCTTCATTGCCTCGGGTCTGGGGTGTGCAGCGTAGGTCCCACCATCCCAATGCGATGCTGTGCGCGAAGGAGAAACTGACATGGTTGATGGCAGGGCACCGGATAGCAAAGAGATCATCAAAAGTTACCCGGTCTTGGTCGAATATGCCAAGCGAATCCATGATGTCTACTTCGAAGAGTACGCTCTTTGGGAAGGAGACGTATGATGGGGCCAGGAAGAGATATAACTTCAGATACACATTTCACCAGAGTTGCTACCGGGGCGCTAGCGGCTACTTTGCTCTGTTTTCCTTTCAAAATTTACTTTAGTTGGACTAGCAAGAAACTGTCAAGTCGGCTTAGATGCTGCTATCTCTACAAAAGGTTGTGGTAGAGTACTGGTCAGCGCAGCAGTCCGTGTAGGCTTGCTGATCCGCTGGCTCACACTCATAGCCAGCTATCTTTTGTTAGTCATTTTGGAAAGAGGTTCAAATCGAATACAACGTACACCACTTCTGAATGTCAGGGCAGCAAGTGATTGACACAGTTGTGCTGCGATCGCACGAGCAAAGGACAGCTTGCGACACACCGATAAAGGGGCTGGCGTCAAGTGTTAGAAAGACTCATAAAGTCGAGCTTGAACGGGGTCCGAGCAGCTTCACTTACATGGCAGCGAGGAAGAGTTGAAAGAACTGCATTTTGATGAGGAGAACTGTGTATGGATAGCTTAATCGCGAGTTGATCGAGGTTAGCTCTCGTCAAAGAGGAAACAATCCGCCGTTCTTATACGAGTCTATTCCCTCACATGACAGGACTGGCTTCCCCCGAGTGATTAGTTTTCTCTCGAGGAGAGCGTTATAGCTAAAGACACGCGGAACCTAACAAGGCACTGTCCTTCCACTTTGGGAAGCATCCGCCGGCAAAGTATATTGACGGGACCTACTACGGAACGGAACACGCCACGCAAAGAGCCATGATCGCTCCTTCGCCTCCGGGTCTGGCAGGGCTGATCAGTCATCCGATTAGGTATCCGAGACTATAAACCCCAGAAAAGGACTCAGCAATCTGCCCATGAGTTTGTGGGTCTAGAAGCAACATGAATCAATGGGACATCAGGGGGTATATGTACAATTTCAAGAACTTTTGAGCCTCTATGGAGTAGGAGCGGTGGCCTGACACAACCACCTCAACGTTTTCTTGCCTCCTTTGCAGACATTCCACGGTTCTACCAGTATTTGAGAAAACTTTAAATCATCCAAGTTAGATTGCAATCTGGAGATCCACCGCTAAGCGAACTCGAATGTTCTCGTATCGGGAGCGCAGAACGGCTCGATCTCACAGCGGACGAAAACAAAAGAGGTACGATTGTGGCAGATTTTCTAGGAAGTCCTGGAAAAGACCGTCACAAAGCTGAAGCCCAACAAATATAGGTATTGGCACTTTTCAATAGCGTTCTAGCATCTGCGAGACTAGATGTTACCTGTATATCTGCTTCATTAGAGTGGCTCTTCACGGTTGTGCTTGAAGTCCAATCAATTGGTCTACGTGTCCTCATGCTCCTGCCCGCAAGGCTTGAAACTTTTGCATGTGACGTAGAGTTTAGCCGCCAACACAAGCACATTACAAATTGTTGCTTAGCCTTACTTAACGAATGCCATCATTTTTCTCAAATTAGTGATGCGATGAGGTAGCAACAAAAGAATACGACAAGGCTGAAAGAAATCTTGTGAGAAAAGAGCTCTATAAAACAGTAAGGGCTTGATAGGCACATTGCAGTATGTCAAGCTGGTATTGCCAGTGACAGCGAACTGCCTGCCAGAGCAACATAGGTAGCCTTTCCAGATGCGTCCAGTCAACAGTGAAAACAACACGGACATCCACACTTGACCCCAGGGAGTCAACATTTTGCCAAGTGATGCAGGTCAGCGTGCTCATGTCAATCGGGGCACTTTGATTTTGAAACACTGCTACGCACTGGTGTTGGGTTTTTGTACCCACGTTGGCCGGATACAAACGGAAGTCAAGGTCCTCCAATTTGATGCCCGCAGCATCCGCAACCTGCGCAAGGGGGTCGACATTGCCAGCCTTCAAGGTCGAGACAAGCATTCCAGGCCCGTCGCGCGAGGTGTTGAAAGCGGCAGTTTTCTCTGGGCCTTGAAAATTGACAACATACCGCGCTGCCATCTCAGCAGTAGCGAGCTTTTGAAGCCGTACGACCGCAAGAGAAACGATATCAGCGTAAACTTTCAGGTCCGGGCGACGAGCTGCCTCGGTGTCGTGCGCGAGGATGGCGAAGCCTGCGTTGAAGTCAGGGACTAGGCCAAAGTAGCTCCTATAGTGTCTCATCAGGTCCTTCTTGGTGAAGATGTCGACGATGGAGCTGTTCGCGTGTTGGCCGGCGTGTTCAATCTCCCAGGGTCGGCCAACGCCGTTGCGGAGGTTTGAGATGTCGGTGGCAGCCAGCGGCGTGTGGCGGCGGGCGAGATGAGACGAGAGCTGAGCATGGCTTGGCCTGCGAGTGCGAGGTCAGAGGCTGTGGAAAACATCGAAAGAGCGCTGCCTTGGATTGGTCAGACGAGATTAATCCATGCTTGTGAGAAATGTACGCTGGTTCTCCAATAGCTTACATGTTCAGGTCTTGAGCAACCATCGGGGAATCCTTAACTGAAGATAGGAGGCCACTGTTGGTCATGTTAAGAGGCTCGAAAACCCCAGACACGAGAATGCTGTCGAACGTGCCTGTTCTGTTGATTCTGTCTTGAAATGCCTCCAAAGTCATGGTTAGGAGATGGAAAGCTGCGTTTGAGATGATGGGCGTCGTCGTATCAGGTAGAAAAAGGGATGGCTTACTACCGAATCGCTCAATGAATTCGGTGCAGCTGCAAGACTTGCCCAGAACGCAAGCGTTGGCTGAAGATAAGTCATGAGCAATGGGCCGCGGTATTCTCATAATTAGCAGGCTTACACTCTCTTGTCAATCCGGACTGCTAAGCTGCTAGTGCACCAACAGTGATTTCATCACACTTGGCTCTTATCCCATCTGGGAGACATCTTTGAGCTCTGGCAAGAATTGGGTGATCGGAGAACCCCATTGCCAATCCCCAATCCTCAATCCCCAATCCCCACAAGCCATGAGTAGACATTGAATCGTTGAGTAAGCGTGCCAAAAGGGAAGATTGTGCCGGAGTCCAGCGCTAGGTGCTTCGGGGCTTTGGGGGCTGTATAATTGCACTCAAAAAACACAGGGTCTTCTTCGGCCTCTTTGGAGCCCGAGAACAAGACTACTGAGAAGAAATTCAAGTTAGGCATGATCTCGCCAAAGTCTTCAAAGCCTCCGGTTTTCACAAGTTAATCGAAAAGCGAAGTGAAATCTTTCGTAAATGACTGGACTTGATGGTTTCAGCGTCCTTGTCGACGGTCGGCACAGGGTAGTAGGCTCTTAGAATAGGGCACGGCTGGAATACCGCGTTTTCGGTCAGGATGCTCTGAGTCCAAGACAGCAATACGGCGCTAAAGGCAATGGAGAGCAGATTTTGGCGCATGATGATATGTGGTCTAAGTCCAACCGGAGATTGGGAGTTGTGTCTTCAATATGAGACAGCGAAATGAGGTGGCGAGATGGTACTCTCCATCATCACTACGGACTTTCACTCTACGTTATATAACAATTCTCAATGCATCCTGATGATTAATTTCATTTTCTTCCCGGCCGTATACCAGTATTCAGGTCTCCTACTCAACTACGGACACGGAGGGCACGCACGTCTTTCACCCTCAACGAATCCAGGCAGTACCACATGCATCGAAACAATGGTCCGGTGCTTAACTGGAGATACGCTGATCTTCTTACGATCACGTGGTTAGCATTAATTCTCCTGCCCCTTTTGACCACGCGTCTCGCTACATCAGACATTAATTCAGTTCGCCGATAGGAGAAGTATGTTTGAAGTCCGTATCCGAGTCCGTGTCCGACCACGCCATGGTTTTTGGCTCAAATCCCTTAAATTGCACCCACTCCCTCTTCCTCCTTCTTCCTCTCCGAAGGACCGCACTAAAATTGCACTCCGCCACCGTTCTCATTTTCCATCACGTTTCCCCAGCCTCTGAAAGGTATGAATGATTCTGGTAAGAAGGAGAGGGTATCCATTACGAACCCGGGGTTCGAAACCATCGTCGCGGTGTTGGGCATGGGAAAGTCTGGATATGCGACGTTTCCGCCCGGCGGCGCCATAGCCTGCGAGAAAAGTGAGGGTGCGACTGTGTAATCCATGCTCGGATTGTGATTTGACAAATCCGAGCTCGGTGTTCCCATGGTCGTGAAACTTGCGGTAGTCGCTGGAAGACTGACATGCAGGTTCTGAGGCGAAATCTCTTGCTGTTGTTGCTGGCTTGCAGCCTGACTTTGCGCCTGCAGGTAGAACTTCTCGACCCGTTTCGCGCGGATCGCAAAGTGGTAGAAGCTGTCGCGGTCGCCCCTGTCGTCAAGTTTTGGTGAACTTGCAGCGTCAAGCCTGAGGACGACCTGGCGGATGGTGTGGCCAATGTCTGCAAATTGCCTCAGATGCTCCGCCATGAATCCCACCCGGGGATCCGCAGCCAGGAGATCAAGCCGTGCAGCTAGAGTGAAACCACAATGCAGCATCACCCAAACTATGTTCGGGAAGTAGACCTCTTGTCCATGAGGCGTATGGAGGAGGACACTAACAAGAGATTTGGCCGATACGATACTCTCCGACAAGCCTGCGATGAACCGCTGCATCGGGGCGTTTTGTGGGTTGTTGAGACCAAAAGGTGTCTCTGGTAGAGACAGCTGGTTCAGACAAAGCTGGATTGTGTGCAATTGAGGTACCAATATTGCTACGATGAACGGTCAGGAGAGTTTCCACACCGGAGGGCATTCTGCTCAAACTCACGACAATCGCCGAGGGCGAAGGTTAGACCGTTCTTGAACACGTCGACCCTTTCCTTGGCTTCTGACACAGCAGCTTGAATCTGCATAGGATCCAGTGTCGACTCGTTCTTGACAATGTCATCAATGTCTTCTGCGAGCCGCTGTAGGCTGATGATGTATGGGAGATACTGATCGGTGGGGTATTCTGACAATTCCGCTAGTCGTTCGGCAATATCGGTAATGTAACTAGATAGGGTGACTATGCGGAGTTTCTGAAGCACGATACTCGTGCTACAAGGATTTGAATATCAGCCCGCCATCTGAGCCTGTGGGAGCCGATGACTTGGCAGACATACCATGATGAGAGATAATATGTTCCTAGGAACGTCCTACATTCGTCCAACGAATCGACATAGTCTTGTGAAGTGCTCATCCCCTCAACATTCCATCGTTTCGGATTCTTGGGTCTATCGAAACGCAGATCGGAGACTATACTGGTAGCTAGATGAAGATGCTGTGAATATCTCTTTGGCCTGGGTTGGAAGTGGGCCCTAGGACGAGGTTAGTGCCGGAAGACTGGCAAGGCTAGCGTGGTTTCGCATTACCAGGCGAGATGGACGAGGAGGCCCTGGAGTATGTCGAGACAAGCAAAGTCACCCTTCACCAAACGAGCCGCGATGAGTTCGTTGAACATCTGACCCAGCGCTCGTTGCAGCCGGACATCGTCAAATGACGATACAGCAAGAAGGGCCAGCAACAGGGCTGGCCTGGTCTGTCTCAAAGAGCTCACATTTTCTGACGCTGGGATGATGATGAATGGGAAATGAGGTGTCAACTTGGTACAAAACCTTTCGAGTAGCTCCTGGCCTTGATCGATAGAAAGCTGGCCGGTCTCGAACGGGTCATGAGCGCCGCTGCAAAGGCCAGAACCGGCTTCCTCGGCTGGACCGGCTTGCCCGGCTCGGGACTGTTGAGCTGATGAACTACCAGAAGGGGCAGTAGGTTGCGGAGGGGTCCGGGTATGATCGGACGTGAGGCTTTCAGAGGCGGAGGGACTTTCGGTCACCGATGGGGCCGGCCTCTCCGGGACCTGCAGCAACTTGTTGGACCTTTTGTGCAATATTTTGCGTCAGTTCTCGATGGCAACCACCCCGATGCTGGAGAACGGGACTCATGAAAAACTACCTTGAACGCGGCCCCGGTGGCCTCCTCCCGCGGGCTACGGCATAGGTACACTCCTTGCCCAGCCGGAGACACCTATCGCAGACGTTGGATTCCTGGGAACGATCGCACTTGATTTTGGCGTGGGCACATGTGCGACATGTCTTCAAAAGCGGGGTTGGACTGCGTTGGCGAGACTCCATGACGCAGACGCACAACGGAATAGGTGCAGACGGAGGGGCGCGGCGCAACACGGGAGGGAATGGAGCTAGGCGGTTCCGAGTTCTCGGTGTGGTTAGCCAAACGGTCGTGGACGAAGCAGCATCGCTACGGACACGGGATGGAAAGAATTGATTTGGCGTACGGACACGGGGCCAAGAGAGACATTAATCTGTTCCCAGCGAGATTGCGGACGGGGTCGACGCCGCCGACGCAGCCGAGTGTTTAATGTCCGATCCAACGGTGCAGGGGTCCGCAGTGGCTTAGATTCCTGAGCTAGACCGGGCTAATAGTTGTCACTGAACTCTCATAGGGGCGCGGCCCACTAATTCAAGGCTGATCGGCAACGGGGAAGCATTGTGATGTGGCCAGTAGATCCTGATCTTGTCTTTTCAGTCATCTTTGACCAGTCAGCGAGCGGCTCATATCGCCAGCTCAATCGCAGCGTTACATTGAACTAGCGGAGGAATCAATAGCATCAAAGTCAGACTGGCAGCTAATCCCAAACTTCGGAAAACCTCAGGGGGGTAAAATGTCAGTGCTTTGGGTCAATGGTCAAGGTGCAAAAAATAAGCATCTGATATGTTCCATGCTCCAGCTCATCACACTAATCCGATATAGGTGCGTAAGTCTCCCATCGATCATCGATGATTGGAAATGAGGTCGCAAGTGAGATGCAATGCTAAATATTGAATTGCGATTAAAACCCATGACATACAAAAGACGCAATCTGAGACTCGCCAGCTGCCGCCATGAAGAAAATAGTAAGCGAAACACGGCAACACGTTTCAAAGCTCAGAACTCAACGTTATCAGTACATTATTACACAATCAACTTCAAAATAAAATCTCAAGTCGTGTACTGAAACACCAAAATCTCTGGTTCATACACAGATTTAGTCACTTACAGATACTTGTGCTTCAAAGGAGGCCTTGACTATAGGATTAGCGGATGTTTACTTGGGCGTCGCCTGGTTTCCGCCAAATTCATAGCCACCCTAGAGAACAAATACCGAGGTCGGAATTTCTTCATCGAATTCATTTCGAAGAAACCATTTCACCTCTATCATTCCATTTGCAGTCACCATCACAACGAGGAGATGCACCCACACCCTTCGAGACAGTTGACGGCAGTCAATTTTCATCTCGTAGCAAAGTCGTCTCCCCTTTTCCCGGTCAAGTCCCGGCATCACAATGCTTACAGTCTACGCGCATGTCAGCTTGTGAAGAGCGCCGTAAAAACCGACAGAGGTTCACCCAGTGGCTGTTTTCGGGCATTGGGGTGTTTCACTTCTCGGCCAAGCTTGGAGCTGGCAAGTCGACCTTGATGGAATTGCTAGCCAGCCCTGACGAGACCCAAAAGCTGCTTCATACGTCAGCGACAAGTTGCAAGGCGTCAACCGCGCCGATACAATTACTTCTGTCCGCGAATCCATTGTTGAGAAAGCACAAGGCATATTTTCCTGGGTAGCTCTTGTCATCATGGACATTCGGGAGAAAATTGAGAACGGCGCCAATCTCAAAGGTCTCACGCAGCAAGTAAACAGCTTCCTAAAGATACGAATGATATGTTCGCTCACATCCTCTATTCGTTGAAGCCATAGGCTCAAAGACGAGTATATGAGGCCCTGTCTGTGATGTTGTACGCCCAAGAGATGGATTTTAAATCAAGGCGTGCGGTGTGTCCCTCATGGGGGACTCAAGTATCTGCTGAAATGTACTGGGTCAGGACAGGGGTGGCCTCTACGGGCCACGAAGGTGACGAAGAAGATTAATCTCGCGGTTCTATTTTTGCGTAACCAGAAGGGGAAAAGGGAAACTTGGCCTGAAGTACCAGGTCCATAGATTATATACACATGAGGGCTGTTGGCCTGAGCTTCTGCGACAGAATCCATCCTCTGGTTTCACATACGAGCCGACAGCATCAGCGAATTCGATGGCCCTCTGAGGGTTGATTTTGCACATCGCTCAGTTGCGAACCTCTCGACGTCACTCAACACATGCGCGGTTTAGAGAAATCACATTTAACAATCTCCAAGATTTCTTCATGGAGTTGAAGAAGGGCACTTTGGCCTGGAAGCGATAACCTACAAATCTCTAAGGTTTTTTGACTTCTGGGTCAAAAGATCTTATCCCGTCCCCTGTCTTTTAGATGATCTCAAGGCGCGTTGCAAGGCAGAATATCATAAGAGCTACTGCCTCGTATGCGTTTCTGAAAAGGGCATAGTGAGGATAGATGTGGGCCCCTGAAAAGACTGGAAAGACTCAGCTGTTGTTTTGAAGTTTATGTATTGTGAGCGATGGTGCACGTGGAATTCACTCCTGTCAACATGATCAAAGCCTGATTGCTAGTTCAAACTGCACTTCAAAGCCACAGGTTTGGAGTTTCTAGGCATCAATCGATGTTGGAAGTGATATGGTGTTCATTGAGAGCTTCCTCAGGCGTGGCTTCATTTCACCATGCACGGTTCTGAGATTGCAGCATAGCTTATGAGCCACTTCTTTGCACTTTTTGGGGGGGATAATTGAGCTTGATTTAAAGTGTAGCTTGAGTTTTGGATTTTCGAATTTGACATATTGGGTAGGAGTTGCGGATTGAGTTGGAATGAAATCGCTTCTTAGATTGATATGCGCCTTTTGATGCTACCTTTTACCCGGAGATATTTATCTAAACCCCACGCAAGTGAATCCATCATATCATGTAAAATTTCGCCCGCCGATAATGGGCATGTAGGAAGAGGGTGGAGGGTATCAAGACAAACCAGGAAGCTCCTCAAAATCGAACCCCTTGAACCCATCCTCAACAGCCCACGCTCTCCCCTTCTCCCTCTCATACAACGCCTCACACGCTCTGCCCACAACAAGAAGCCCAGGCGGCCTGCTTCCCTCCGCTTCGATAGCCTCCGCCACATACCACAACGTCGTCCTAATCACCCTCTGATCAGGACAACTCGCCCGTTCAATAACAGCGCACGGAGTATCCCTCGGCCATAATACCCTCTTTGGTAGTGTCTTCTCTTCTTCCCCTCCTTCGCCTTGCTCCGTTTCGAGGTACCTCGTCAACTCCCCAACCAACCCGGTAATCCGATGCAAAGCCATCAAAAACACCACCGTCCGGCTCGGGATGTATTCTGGCGGCGTCGGCGCCTTCCCCTTCTTCCCCGTCCCCGTACACACGAGCACCTGATCGGCAACATCCCGCTGCGTAGGCGGAATCCCCGCAAATAAAGGCGCGCTCAGCGACGAGGTAATACCCGGCAACACGGTAACCCTCTCCCCGAACCCGTGCTCCCTGAAATACGCAACCTCCTCCCCGCCGCGCCCGTAGATGAAGGGATCCCCCTGCTTCAACCGCAGTACCGTCTTGCCTTCCTTGGCCCCCGCGAGCGCGAGCTCGTGCAGCTCCTCCTGCGCCTGGTCCGCGTTGCCGGGGAACTTGCGCGCGATCTTGACGGGCGTGCGGCGCGGGATCAGGTCCAGCACGCCTGCTGGCACGAGCTTGTCTGCGAGGATGAGGTCCGCCGTCTGGATTGCCTTATGCGTTGCGCGGGTGAGGAGGTCCGGGTGGCCTGGTCCGCTACCGGCGAGGATGATTCTCCCTTGCTGCTGCGGGTGCGCATTACTACCAGTGGCTCCAACGGTCGGTGGTCTCACGTCCTCTGATGGCGTGTTGCCGAACCCGGAATACGATTTTAGTACGGACTCAACGTCCTCGTCGTTGATGGCGGCAAGACGCTTCAGGGGCCAATACTCGCACACCTGGCTCAGCCAGCGCATACGTCGATTCTTCGCAGCATCGAGATCGGCCTCTGTTACGAGCTTATTGAATGACGCCGTCTGGTCAAACGAATCATCGACCTCATCCGCTGCGAGGCGATCCTCCGTCTGGATCCGCCGCCGAACATCCCCTAACCTCGCGCACGCGGCACCGAGGTCCCGGGGCAGCGCGGCGGCGACCTCACGCCGGATGCGGGAGGCGAGCTTGCAGCCGCGGCCGTTAGTCGTGACGCCAATCTGTAAAGGTCCATCCGTGTGCGTTGACAGCAGGGAAAAAGAGCAGAGGTGCGGCGCGTCGACGACGTTGACGGGGACGCGGTGCCGCCTGCACAGCGCCGAGATGTGTGCTGCTTGCGGGGAGGAGGAGGAGGTGACAAAGACGGCGTCAACGACGTTGTCGACTTCGTCGCGGCCGAGGGTGAAGAGGTCGGTGTCGGCAAAGGGTTTCCTGTGCCAGGTCACCTCGCCGGCGTCGATGCGCTTCTGGAGGCCGTAGTGCAGGTCGGAGGTGTCCGGGGCGATGAGGATGGGGGTTGCGCCGGCGTTGATGGTTTGGGTACAGCGGGCGGCGGCGAGGGGGTTTGTGCCGATAATGAGATGGGTGTTGCCCTTGCAGTTGAGGGCTGCGAGGAGGGATGTTGTCGTCGCCATCTTGTACTGTATCTGAGTGAAGATGATGAGTCTTCTTCCTCTTCTTCCTGAGGTAATCCAAGTACACGACCCCCGTCTCTTACTGGCAATCGTCTAAGTGGAGTTTGCGACAGAGGGAATGAAGCCGCCGGCCAACAGCGCCAGTGAACCACAGAAGCAGTTGTAGAATTAGCCAACTCTCACAATTTGGACGTCAAGAAAAGAAATGAAGCATCGATATGAATTACTAGACCATGTATCTCTTCAAAGATAGAGTGAGGAGAGTCGAAGCTCACTAATATGGTAATTTGCCTTGCCAGGTGCAAAGCCCGAAGACGGCCGTGGGACCCAATCATGCGGCGGGCAATCCGCGTTGGTTGGCCAAATTTTCATTCGCTGGCGATGACACCATCCCGACAGCCGACCGCCCCAATCCCTTATCGGCGCAAGCAACCAGGGAATAGCGTGACCAATCAGCGGCACCAGCACCGACTCCCGCGGAGCCGTCGCCGGAGATCCTCAGTCCCTCGACCCGTGCACGCCGATGCATCTCCGCTGTCAGACACCAGGTCCGCCGCCGCGCTCACACTTGATCTCACAAACCCAGAAATATTGAATCATTGAGTTGTGGTATTGTAACATGGTATGCTTGGCTCACCTTCTGAGCTATTTGGTTAGACCGTGACATGCCTCCATTCCCGCCCTTCCAATATCTACTTAGTGTTTCGTGGTGTTGGTACAATACAGAGGACACTTAATACTTTTCCCGCCCAACTTTTTGTACACAATCCTGTTGTTACATCTCAAGCTTACACTCAATCCTGCTCCGCCTTGGACAGACTCCTCAACAACTCCTGGCGAGCAGACTTCCGGCTTGTCTTGCGCTGCGGCCCAGGCGTCCTACCCTCCTGTGAGCCAATGACACCCATCTCGTCAATACCGACACCGATAACCTTCTTCTTCTTGCTAGCAGCCGCCTTGGCACGCTGAGCACGAATGCCGCCGTCGTCGAGGACCTCGGGCCTGCCCAGCCGCACGTTGCGACGGTTGCGCGTCTTCGCGCCCAGCGCCCAGAGGTCACCCCACTTGGCCTTGCGCGCGTCGTGGTACGCCTGCTTACTAAAGCTCTTTGGCACCGTCCAGCGCTCGATTTGCGCGTTGGGTGTGCACACGTCGAGCGTGACGTGACCGCGGCGCTTGATGGGCGGGAGGATCTGGCGAGGGAGAGAGAGCATGTCGGGTGCCGTCTCGGACCTCTCGAAGCCCTCGAACGCCCGGTCGGCAGCTTCCGCTCCGGCGAGCGGTCCCTGCTTTGCTGCGACACCGCGCTGGATGGCGATGTAACTGAACTGCACATCGTCGTGGTTGCGGTGCGTTGCGCCCATAATCCTCTGCAAAAACGGCGGGCGTACGAATCGTTGGCTAAAATGGCAAAAGTCCTTGCGTCCGGTACTCTTTCCGGGAACCTGGTACATCGGGCATCCGCGGTGGTTTGTGCAGGGCGCAATGATCATGCCGGGTTCCTTTTCTCTTTCAAAGGCAGGATTTCTCTCTTCGCTCATCGTGAGTTCTTCGCCTCCGGGCGGGATGAGGAACTCGGTGAGTAGGCGCTCCCGAATATCAGCCACAGCTTCAAAGCCACGGGGCTGGCCCTTCTCCAGGACGATCAAGACACCACCCTCGGGATTGAGGAGAGACCATATGTTGTTCAGGATAGCCTTGCGTCTGTGGCCTTCCTTCACGGGAAGCATAAGGTGAGAAGCGATGATGATATCAAACATCTTCCTTGGCTGGGGGTTCTCGTTGGCATCAAGATGAAGGTGCGCGTTATCAACCGAGTGGTGGTAATCCGGAAGACGAGGCAGGAAAGTCGTGTTGTGCAAGAACTTGGAGACGCGAGTCCGCAGCTTCTCCGCCCCCACAACCACACTCTGCTTTCCGGGGGGGTTCTTACCCGTGACCTCTCCGCGGGACTTCATGGCATCCCACTCAGCGCGCGACACGTCCTGCCACGCCAAAAGGCCAGCTCCGCCTGCGCCAACGTCAAGAATACGAGGCCCGCTGCCATCCTTGAACAGATTGCGCAGCCAGTCTGTGCCTAGCCGTTTGCGAACCTCAACCAAGCTGCCCATGGCGGAGGCATAGGCTGGAGGCAGGAAGGTAGACACGAAAGCGTCCGCCTCAATGTCGGACATTTTGTTCTGCCAGACAGCCATGCCGATGGGATGTTGTTCCAAGCCCATCTTGGACGCGGGGGTGGCGGGAGAGTGTGGCAGACCAGGACCTCCGAACGCCTTCTCGGCAGCCTCCTTGACGTGCTTGATGTCTGTTCTGTCGAGTATCGCTGTGACTGGCGCGATGTAGCCGCCATACGGCAGGCTGACTGTGCTCGGGTTCGTCGAAAAGTGACCCTCTCGCGAGAAAGGGTGCAAACGTCCTGCCCGCTTTGAAGTCCCTTGTTCCTGGATGCCATCCTCGCTGTCGTCAAACTCTTCGTCCTCGTCCTCTTCAAACTCTCGTTCTTCGTCCTCTTCAAACTCCCGTTCCTCGTCCCGTATCTCGTCCGCCTCCAATTGCTCCCTGTTTTCCTCCTCCACGGCGCGGGCATTGGCCTCGAAGTCCTTTTGCAGCATCATGAGCGCGTCGTACTCCCTCTTGTTTCTCGCTACCATATTGATGTATTTGTCGTTGCCCTCTGGCGGCGCCTCCTCGGCCGGTTTCGCCTCTGAGATAGCTTCCACGGCAGCATCATTGCTCTTTTCGTGATTCGCACCGTCTTCGTTTTCCAGCGTTTCTTCAGCCTTGCTGCGAGTGTACTGCACCTCTTGTAGCGTGCCACCCTGGACCTGGCGTAGCAGGGTTGGGCCGCCCGGCTTGTCTTGTCGGAATCCCGCAGACTGCTCGTCATTCAAATACTTTATGCCTACATCGTCTGGCGACGTCTCGCGCAGAGGAGGCCCATACCACCGCTCGTATAGTGTGTATTCCTCCTCGCTGAGGTAGCCCTTGGGCAGGGTATCTCGGAATCTCTGTTTTGCCTCTCGAACCGTCTTCTCGATATCGGCGGTGCGCGCAAGTGATTCGGCATCAGTTCGACTAGACTCCGGGTCTTGAAAGCTTCGCGACGTTGTCGAAAACACCCGTCGAATGTTTGCAGGTCGGTTTAATGATCGTATCGCAGCTAGGTTACTCTGTCGCGGAACGCTCGATCGATGCTGTCGGCCTGCGGGTGATGAGCCGGCGAGTGCATTTCCTGTCAAGCTCAATAATCGAGCTCGACAGCTGGGACAGGCATTCCGAAGGCCACCTGCTGTCAACATGATTGACTTGTGCGTAGAGAGGCAGCACGAAGGTGTGACGGAGAAAAGTCGCCTGTCGGTTCGACTTTTTTGGAGCTGTCGCCGGGAAATTTGGTTAGCTCAGGAAATAGGAAAATCGGCGCCCCACTTCTTGGAAATAAAACGCTCCCGATTGGCTTCAGCCACAGTGCTTTACCTGAGTATGAGCAGCTAAGGGACGTAGTATCAATTCAATAAATCCAAGCCAAGGTGTCAGCGTGTTCATAGTCGACGAACGCAGAAACAACCTTAAGGGCGCGTGATGAGTCCATGTAGTAATTAGAAGGACTGAAACCTTTATTGGTCATTTTCCTCCTTACCCTGGCAGGCAACTGCAACTTTCCTCGCAAGTTTCCCCCTTCTCTGTCGCTCTGTAGCAGCCATAAGGAACTGGAGGACTTCTTTCAAGTTCTCATCTTCCCTTCCCAGGCCTTCAGGTTGATAATATGCTGAGCATATTGTAACACAGAATCATCTTCAGAAAACTTCATGGTCAAACTTGCAACCCTTCTTATGAGATTCCTGCCCCAGATGCCCCTCGGTCCTGGGTGCTACAAAAGAGCAACATGCTCCCGTCTGCAAAGGGAGTCGCGAGGAGCAACCAGGTCGAGCCACTTTTGAATTTAGCTTCGATTTCTGCTCCACTTTGGAGTAACACAGATAAACATTGAATCGTTGACAGTTAACCAAACTCAGTGGTGCCAAGCCTTCCTTCACGTTGGCCTTAATATTAGCATTGCGCCTAAGTAGAAGTTCCATGCCCTGGTCCATTGCTGAATGTTTATAAATGCCGAAAAGCCGTATTGTAGAATTCTATATCTCTGTTTGGCGCCGAAGATTTTGAAGATCTTCTTTGACAACTGATGAGAGTAAAATATGGTGGTGTCCCTGGCTGTATATTTTGAGCCTGTTCATCCATCTTCGCCAGCATCGGATCCAACCCACTTCTTACAAAGTTGCGAGTCGGGGTCCTATCCGCCATTTCTCATACAGACGGTTCTGACTAGTGCTACTCTCTAGTCTCTATGAACCAAATGATATTCTTGCCTCGTATGGATACTCGAATGTTACAGAGGCACAAACTGCAATCTTCAACGAGGCATTACCACTACGCGACTTCCAATGCGAGGAGAGTCAACGGTGCTCATTGCAACGATCCCTCATATTGGGTACAACTGCATTCTTCTACCCTATCGACCGAGATGTTCAGTACTGGTTCTTCACCGCCGTCCGGCTTCCCAGTTGCCACGAAGCTGGAACTTCAAAAATCATAAGCACTCTTCAAGATTCGATACCAAACTCGTGGTTCGACTAAATTAGAATTAAAACTTGCAGTGATCAACTACGGATTGCGGACGCCTTGCTTCATGGGCCGCACAAAAGCATTTGGTGGCTGATCTACGTGAGTTCATCGTCTGAGCCCAGCCTCGGTTGACCTATCTGCAACTGACACAGCCTAGCACAGGAGACCTCCTTAGTTTAGTAGACGAAATCCAAATAGAACCTACAAGCAGACGCCTCCTAGTTCTTCTTACCAATCCCCGACGCATTGCAGACATGAGACTGCTGAGTCAAAGCCCTCGTCACATTTAAAGACCACCTCGCAAGAACCCCTCATTGCTCCCGCCTCCTCCAGAATAGCCTTCGACCAGAGTTGAGGCTCTCCATCGACGACTCATCACGACTACGGCGGAACAGCTGAGCCATTCCCACTCGGCTGGTTTTCAATGCGTGTTCCTTGGGAGAAGTACCATTGCTATCCGTCGTTTCGATACTGGCTTCTCTCAATATCAGTAGCTTGGCAGCCTTTTGGCATCCTTTCTGGACGGCGATGCTCAGCGATGTCTCGCCCTTGTTGTCCTTGGCTTCGATGCCGGCACCTATATCGAGTAGAAATCGAACCATACTCTCATTCCCTTGTAAAGCCGACATAAGGAGAGGCGTCGTACCATAGTCATTGGATGACTCGAGGTCAGCCTCTCTCTCTAACAACATCTGCACAAGCTCTTCATATCCTCTTGCTGATGCTAACGCCAGTAGACTATTGCCCTCTTGGTCCTCAGTCTCAACATCTGAACCCCTGTCTAGAAGGAATTGAACAGTAAGCCCGTGATCTTCAGCAACTGCCTCAATCAAGAGCCTCTGCCTTCTTTCGGTCATAGAAAGCGTTGCATCGGCGTCGATTGTGAAATGGCTGCCGAGTAACGAGTTGACCATCGAATCAAGCCACTGACTGGCACTATCAGTGTTCAGTTTGCCAAGAACATTTTTGCGAGATAGTCAAAGCATGGGACAGGGCGTCTCGCTGTTGTTTGAGCCCTCTATCTTTCGTTTTGAGTTGCTCAACCTCCCGACTTGTGTCCAACAGAAATCCCCTCAGTATCATCTTTTCCCGTTCTAATTTATCGAGTTGCTCCTGGATAATTGCGAGCTTTTGCCCGGTTGCCCCTGCGCTAGCAGATTTCGATTGAATTTGCGCCTTCAGTGTTGCTCTTTGAGGACCAATCAGGCGATCTTCTTCAAGTAAGTCTCTGAGATATTGTTGTCGTTCCAACTGTCCAAGCTCAAGGATTGCGTCGACGGTGATAGGTGGCGGGGCGAACAATGACTTCAGCCGGACAACAAACATGGGGGTCGCGCCGACACGTTCCTGATCCATAGCAAATTCCAAATGAGACATTCCATTGCTCGCACTTCGTTTTCCAAAAGTATGCTGATTAGTGTCGAATATTTTGGAGTTGATGGCATCCAGGCCGGTGCCTCTGGCCGCCGTCATGACATGGCAGCGAGCTTGAACCCGAGACTGGAGAACCTCGAGTTCCAGTAGAACTATGAAGTCATGGCACACCTTCTTCTTGCTTCGGAAACGCAACCAAGTTCTCTGTGTGACATCGAGCTCGAAATCCACCGTTGTCGTGATGGTAGCATTGTCCCTCTCCCACCTGTCCCGAGGTGCTACCTCGATCATCTCGACTCCGGTTTGTCCGATGACTCTTCGACATAGAATCCATAACGCCGGTGGTTATCAAATTCTTCCTGTGTCTGGCGATCTTTTCGTATGCGAACGAGCCTCGATGTAGTTTCGGGTTGATTGTCGCAAATCAGAATTCCTTGGTGCCCCTCTGGTCTCATGTACTCGTCAGAGGCATCATCGAGCATCACTTGGCGAAGGGGAATGCCGACAGCTGTACGAGAATCGTCCTTGGGATGGCAGTCGAGCAGACCAAAGGCTTCCTTGGTCTCGGTATTATATATGCGAAGATGCATCCGCAGATGACCACCGAAAACATACAACGGGTCGATGGAAGAGCTGCGGTGTTCTCGACAGACAATGTCCCCGCTGTTGGCGAAAGCCGATGGACTGGTGGCCAGAATACCTCCGGAGACAGCTTTGGTAGGGCCTTGAGAACCCCAGTCAAGTTCTGTATTGCTGAGATTCCATGCCAGGATTGAGTCGTTAGTGTTGCGCCTCATGATTTCCTCTTGAAGTCTTCCGAAAGCCTGATCACCTTCCCCGTATATCATCGGCATTGAGACCCCAAAAATTCCAAGAAGGCAGTAAGCGATGTCCTCTCTTCTCTTCGTGACTCTGTTTGCAGCCCATGACATCCGCTGAGCGACACTCGCTTGAGATAGCTCAGCTATACCGAACAGAAAGGGTCGAGGGATCCCAGTAATCTTTTCGATTACGGATGAAAGCTGCTGCTTAGTTCCCAGGTATTTCCAATCATTGCTGTAGAATCGGAGGTCTCTAGGTGCCAGAAGCTCTTGAAGCGTCCAGCCTCGCTCGAACCAACGACTATTGCGGAACTCGGATGCTGAGCTGGAGATGTCGTCCTGATAGGATACGTGGGCAAGGAACGCGTAGCACACAGTCGCATTTCGGTACCATTCGAACATTGAGTTGATCGCCTCACTCAACTCCGTGGAGTTAGCCTTATCGATGCAGCAAGTATCAATCCAAGCGTACTTCAGCCCGTCCTGGCTGGACTGCCTACAGCACCCGTCAAACTTGGACTGCCCCATCCCTGACTTTCTTTCGTAGCCATCCTCGATGTCGCGAAAAGTGATCTCGTCTTTGTCAGGGCCCCAAGTGTGGGAGAGAACTGCGTAAGGAGGGAGCTCGTGGAAGAATTCCTCCAAGCAGCCTGTCTGAACGTTGATGAGCCGCATTGGTATCTCTTCTCCCAGTATTACACGCAAAGCGGGCCGGTACTGTACTGATTCGCAGAATTGGCTTCCTGGGAATGTAAATCGTACTTCAACTGATCGTAAACGCAAGCAAAGGCTGAAGACGTAAGCCTGCGTGTTGCAATCGGGAAAAATGGCGCAAGGCTTCGGAAGGAAAAGGCTGAGTAGATGTACGAGCTGGATCCGCCGACTTTATCAATGGCCCAGAGCCCAGGCCCAGAGCCTTGCCACCAAGTGGCTTGCGTTCCTGCAGTCAGATGCTTGGCAACGGAGAGTCGGCTGCTGTCCACAGCGCATGTAAAGCCAGCCTCGCGAGAAGCCTAAAAAAGAAAAGACATTGTTATTGGCATGGCGAGGTAATACAGCATAGAATTCATCGCGGAAGCGCCGACAATTGGCCAGAACATAAGGTAGGCACCTACCTAGTTTGAAGACTGGTTTAGCCGACGTTGACTTGGGCCCTGTGCAGTCATCAGATGGACAGTCCAACAACACCAGAACCGTATACATAGCATATTGAATGATGTTTGTACAGTGGTATTTCATCAATGAGAACTTGGGCATAATCAGATGCCATCAATTCCAAAGCAGGACAAGGCTAATTGCAGCTCAAAGAGGGCTATGGCGCCTTATCATGACATGCCCTCAAACACCTTACGCCAGAACGGAAGTCAAGGATCATTCATCACCGCCCAAATCAGCCAAAGTCTTGAAAGCCGGGCCCCTCGGCGGCTGTCTCGTGCCGGGGCCAGCACCCTTGGTGGATTTAACCGTCGGTGGGGGCGGGTTCACGCGGTTAAATTGCGACATCTCGGCCGCCTTGTGGGGATCAATCTACCAGTCCGTCAGCAACCGGTTCTTCCTGCTTCCCTTTGGATCGACCGTAAACCAACGCACCGCAAAGAGTGAAACCAGATAAAGCCCGATAAATGTAATGATGTTGCTCAGAATCCCGCGGTAGTGCCACGCAAACGGCTTCTGCAGGCTCGCCCGCGCGGGCTTGTCGCCGCCGAGTGTCCGGCCGGGGGTCTTGAAGGACGCGGCGGAGCGACCGCCCTTTTCGGGGAGCTTCAGTGCGTTCTGGATGGCCTGCGTGAGGGCAGGCGGGTTCGCGCCTTTGATGGTCTCGATCGCCTGGCCGCCGTGGAAGATGATGAAAGTGGGCATGGCGCTGACGCCGTGGGTGCGGGCGATGGTGGATTGGTTATCGACGTTGATCTTGCAGAAGGCGACCTTCTTCGGTTTGGAGTGTTCTTGCGCGAGGCGTTCGACGTGCGGCGCGATCTGCTTGCAAGGGCCGCACCAGTCGGCGTAGACTGCCACAATGTTTTGTCAGCGGGCTCCCGGATGCGCGGGGGATGGCCGCTGGCTGCACTTACAGTCTGCGATTACGACGTTGTTGCTGCTGAGGATGTCTTGCCATTGACCGGCAGACTGGATGTTGACGAGACTCATGATTTCGGTGGTTTGTTACAATGCGACAAGGGACATTGGTAGGTTGGCGCAAAGTGTCTTGAAGTTGAAAGGAGTTGTAGGGAGCACCTGGGAGATGCCGCGGCGTAGCTGACAGATACCTTAGCTCGCGGCCTGGTCCCAGCGGAAAGGTGGCGGGAACCCGAATAGGAAGGCGGCCAGACTCGACTCCGCAGTTCTGCCGGATTTACCCCAGGATTATCGATAGCGGGACCGTCTCCCAGAAACTTTTTTGGGACGCCGCTACCTACCTGAACATCGTCCCGAATTCTTCTTCAAGAGGACATTGCCAGCGTCACCGATAGTACTTTTGCTCCAATTTCCTCCAAAATGGCCTACGATCAAAGAGCAAAGGTACTTCCGTCCTCTTTAATTTTTCAATCATCTGACTAACCCATTGTAGAGGAGAAAGACTGACGACGACAGCTATGTCGACGCCTCATTCCCCTCAGAGGGCGGTAGTGGCCGCAAGTGGACAATCTCCATTGCGATTCCCAGCAGTGTTCTCGCAGAGTATGTTTGCCAACAATATTCAGTGGCTCGCAGTAGAAAAATTGACTCATCTCCTCAAGTGCCCTGACTGCCGAGCGCCGCAACTCCGTCGCCGGCCGCATCGCCCGCGCCCTCGCCGTCTTCTCCGTCGACGAGATTGTAATCTTCGATGACAGCCCGACCGAGTCCCGCCCCAAGAGCGTCGACACAAAGGCCTACACCGGCGACATCGACCCTTGCCACTTCCTCGAGCACCTCCTGGGCTACCTCGAGGTCCCGCCCTTCATGCGCAAGATGCTCTTCCCGCTGCACCCGAACCTGCGCCTCGCCAGTCAGCTCCCCTCCCTCGAGATGCCGCACCACCCGAACCCGGCCGAATGGCTGCCGTACCGCGAAGGCGTCGCCGGCAAGGGAACGCCCAGAGGCACCATGATCGACATCGGCCTCAAGGACCAGGTCCTCATCGAGGACGAGGTGCCCCCCAACACCCGCGTGACGCTATACCACCCGGACCAGCGATCGCAAAAAGCCGAGGCTTGTGACCCGTCGGCGCCGAGGGAGGAGGGCGGTTTCTACTGGGGGTACCAGGTCCGGCGCGCCAACTCGCTGACGGCGCTGTTCACGGAGTGCAAGTACGAGGGCGGCTACGACGTCAGCATCGGCACGTCGGAGCGCGGACGCACGCTCTCCCAGGCGTTCCCCAGTGCGGCGCCCCTGGAGTTCAAGCATCTTCTCATCGCCTTTGGCGGACCCAGAGGTATCGAGTATGCGGCGTTGAACGACAAGGAGCTCGAGGGCATGGATATGGGTCCCTCAAAGGCCAAGGAACTGTTTGACCACTGGGTCAACATCTTGCCTGGCCAGGGCAGCCGCAACATCAGGACGGATGAGGCTCTCTGGGTTGCGCTGACGAGCATGAGGAGGTTGTGGTACGAAGTCTGATGCTGCTGTGTGATGTTCAGGGGCGCTGTGTTGGACCGGCATCTTGACGGAGACATGATACCCATAATAAAAGTTTGATTTCATGGACTTTCTCTCTTGCCCGTATGATCGCATGGTGCAATCAGTCTAGGCAGTTGCATTGTCGATGTAGGTACGTTCACCTGCTGCTGTCAAATGTGCTATGAGGGTTGACTGCCTCGGACAGCCTCTGCTGTATGGAATGAAGCGCGATACAGCATCATTGAATATGCCAAATACATGAAGGAGTAACCACCACAAACGTATCACATGTAAGGGAAAGTACATTATTCCCTCGAAACATTCCACGTTCACAGTTCTCGCTAGCACAGGTTTCCACTAGGTTATTGGTGTAGGCCCATGTTTTGTATCTAGAATCGCAAGCTTGACGGAGGAACGCATCCAGCGGGTATATCACTTGAGATGGCCGAGTTTGCGGGATTCTATTTACTTGGAGCCGTCGTATGGCATCGCCAAGTCCAGAATTCCGCAGCAGCACGAAAATCTATCAAATGAATCGAGATTGCTCTTTAATTACGCAGTTCGCGGGTCGAAACCGTCATTGTCCTCCAGCCCACCGATTGACAGCATTAGGAAAATGACGGGGACTTGACTCTATTTATCGCTATCCCCAGGTTGCACTGCGTTTTTAACTCCCGCAGAGTGTAAACATGCAATTTGCCACTGCGAATCAATCAGGCGCACCCCGAGAGCTCACAAACCCTGCGCGGGGGTAAGAATTGCTGTGAAGAAGTGCGTGATTGGTTATGTACTCAACTCAAGGAATCACAGTTAGGTTGAGCGTTACCTACTATCACTAGTTATTCTCAACCCTCCTCAACACGTTGGCCCTGTACACCAATGTGAAGGTGTGCGTGATTGGTCATGTAATTCGGGGAATCATAATTAGGTTAAGCATTACTTATTATCATTAGTTATTCTTAACCTTCTTTAACATATTAGCCCTATATATTAATATAAAGGTAAACGTAATTAGTTATATAATTTAAGGAATTATAATTAAGTTAAGCGTTACCTATTATTACTAGTTATTCTCAACCCTTTTTGATATATGTTAGCCTTATATATTAATATAAAAGTATGTATAATTAGTTATAAAATTTTAAAAATTATAGTTAAGTTAAGCATTACTTATGATTATTAGTTATTCTTAACCCTCTTTAACACGTTGGCCCTGTATACTAATGTGAAGGTGTACGTAATTGGTCATGTAATTTGGGGAATCATAGTTAGGTTGAGCGTTACCTACTATCACTGGTCATTCTCAACCCTCCTCCACAAGTTGGCCCTGTACACCAATAAGCACTACGTGTCAAAGTAAAATTATCCTCACGGTGACATACGAGAATTAACACTATCATTACTTATACATCCAAGAAGTCCAAAAGCTCAGTGCTGGTACAATGCAATACCAGCCGTGAACCCAGCGATATTATCCTTGTAAAACGCCACATCCTTCCCGTAACGCGTCACCATGGCCGTCGTGCCCACGATCTGCAGGTTATAGATGTCCAAGTTGTCCGTGGCGGTGCAGTTGCCTGGCGCGTCCCGGACGTCGACGATGCGCTGCTGGCACCTCGCCCCGGCCCCGATCTGGCAGCACGCCGTGCTGTAGTTGTTGAAGAAGGAGTAGTGTCCCGCACCAAAGGCGACGACGTTGCGGCTGCCGATGACGCGCAGGCCCCACGCCATCTTGCACGGCGGGCCGGCGGGGTCGGCGTCCTTGCACTCTTTTTTGAAATCTGGGTCGTGGTAGCCCTTTACGCGGGGGAACGGAATCGTTGCTGGCGGGTTGGGTTGGTACTGTTGTACGGAGTCAGCTTTTGTTTTTTACCTCTAGTATGCCTCACAAGTTTGACTTCATGAGGGGAGACTACATACGTAAGGGGTCTCGGATTGAATCTGGCCCATGTATACGTCTCTGGTCTTGAAGAGCATGTACTGGTAGAGCGTGTGGTGCTCGACTCCAGATGCGGACAGCCAGATCTTGCCGGCAGTCGACTCGATCAGCAAACCGCGACCATTGTAGATAGTGACCTGTTTGTAGTCGGGATCCTCAAGGTCATGATCAGCCGTCCAGATCCAGCAGTTTTCCTGCAAAAGTCCACTTTTGGGCCATTAGCTTGCTCTGTTCGCGAAGGGAGAAGAAGTAGAATCATGTGGAAAAGGGCCAACTCACGAAGCCGGCTTGGTAATGTGCATGCTCATCCACGCCGCAATACAGTTCTTGTCAATGGTATCCGCGGTGACGGTGGCATTAGGCGTCGTAGGACATTCCTTCAGCTGCTGCTGCGTACCAGCAAACCCTCCAACGCGAATATGCACGTCCCACATGCCAGACGGCTCGCCGACGGTGTTGAGGTTATACTCAATGACCTTGGCACCTGGTGCGGACCCGCGCGTGGAGACAATCATGTCAGACCACTCAATCGTCCCGCACTGGCCCGGGATAGCAACTTTCACGACCGGGTGCGGCTTGTTGATATGCTGAAACTTTGCACCGCCGCCCATGATGATGGACGCCAGGGCCTCGCCGACGATGCGGGCTCCGGGCGGGATGAAGACGGTGTCGGAGACGAAGTAGGTTCCCGCGTCGACGAAGGCGAGGAGGCCTGCGGCCGGGTTGGCGACGACGTAGCTGAAGAGGTTGTTGAGGGCCACGGTATCGTCCGTCACGCCGTCGCCCCTGGCGCCGAAGGAGCGGGCCGAGATGACGAGGCTTGAGGGGACGTCTTCGTAGTGCGGCTTGGAGCGTTCGTAGTACTTTTTCGTGCCGTTGCCGGAAGAGGATTCGAGGAGGGCCGGGTAGACGGGGAAGTAGCCCGCTTCGGAGCCGGTGTAGTCCGTGGGACCGGAGGGTGTGTAGATGTGGCCCATGGCGAAGCCCTGGGAGACGGTGGCGCTAGCGGTACCTGCGATGATGGTGTTGTTCTTGGGTCCGAGGAGGATGGTGCGGACCTTGGAGAAGGCTACGTTCTCCATGACGAGAGTGCCGGCCGTCGCGGGAATGGTGACGCCGGGCTCTCGGCTCGTGCGGATCGCGGTCTGGGTGTTGACGAACTGCGAGTCGATCAGAGTGACAGATGACGTGCTGTTATCCTGCATACGGATACCAATTCCGCAATTCTCGACGTAGATGCTCTTGTACGTCCAGCCCCAGTCCCAGAGTTGGTTGATGGCTACCTGAGCGTTCCAGAAGCGCAGCTATACACATAACACAGGTCAGCAAAGATTCTTCTTCTCCTCTATTGAGATAAGGCTACAATACCCCTCTTGTAGTGAATTGCTGGTTGCCAAAATTCGCGCCATACTGTCCTCCGTAAAAGTCCAGATCGTTGAGGAGGCCACCGGAGCCGTCCTCGATGAAGATGCCGACGTGCTTGCTGTCTGGGCCCTCGGCGAGGCGGAACACACAGTTGGTGATGGAAGTAGCCTGCGACGAGGGCCAATGGATTCCCAGGGCAGAAGCAGAGGCAGGGATGGCCGTGGTATCAAAGATGAGGTTGCGGACCTGTCTGAAGAAGACGTTGGTGGCTCCCCAGCTGAGGCCATTCGCGCCGTACTATGGCGGTTTTGTTAGTCTTTCGCTCCACTCACAAAAACATTGAGCTCGTTCAAATGATTGAAAAAACTTGATCATACGAGACGATCAATTTGCGAGGTGAAGAAATCATGACTGGCATACTTGGTTTCCGTCGAGGAGGCCGAGGGTGGTGTTGGTGGGGAAATCGGCCGCGGCCTTGATCACTGGGCGGTCGGTAGGGTCACCGATGATTTGCGTGTAAAAGTAATCAATGATGGAGCCAGAAATGAGATACGTTCTGGAATATCCTATCAGATTCTGATTTCATCTTCTCACTCAATCGAAAAGAACTCATAAACTCACCCGGGAGGGAAGTAGACGGTGGCGGGCGACGTCGTCTCGCCCTTGCACTTCCCCGGCGCGCACCGCTCGCCCGAGCTGATGGCCAGGTTAATGGCCGCGGTGTCGTCCGTCAGGCCGTCGCCCTTTGCGCCAAAGTCTTTGACGTTGCGAAAGACCTGGTAGTTCGGGTCCGGGTGGTATGGTGAGATGCCCTGGTGGGCAATATCTTCCATCCAGTACGCCGCTCTGGCGAGGGTCGCCGCCGCGAGCCAAAAAGCAGCCGTTACGCGCATTTGGCCGGTGATCGTAGGTCGAACTGTTAAGTGCAATTACGAGAGTAGCAGTGGGTGTGGTGACGAATCAAGTGAAAGCAAAAGATTGTGATGGTGAGATTCTAATAAGTGGATGAGTCGAGACTCGAGTAGCGATTGTGCAATGAGCTTAGTACTCCCCCTTTGGGACCAAAACCCAGCAAGATGATGGGAGGGATTAGAAAGTTCATAAAGGGAGCGACTGGAACAGGAGGTCAATCAGGTTAAGTACGGGCAACAGATCAGACTATAGACATTCAGGGACCCCCGGTGGGATGATCTCAAGATCGGTGTTACTCCTCGGCTCTCAGGGAAAGGAAAATAATCAAAGTTGACAGAGCGATCAGGGTAAAAGTAGACAAACTCTCGGGATAATTTATTAGAGTTGGGCCGAAGTGGAGGAGATGTCGAGGAGCCGCGGAACGACGGGATCAACGCCAACGGTACTCAGGAACCAGGAACCGCCCTTTTTTTTTGGCAGGACATCTGCCCGTTTACCCACGAAATGATCACAAACGCTTTACAGTGTAATAAAAGGGATAGACTGGGGGTGACGAACGTGGGCAGAAAAGGACAAGAGGACAGAGCGTGTGTCTCATTTTGTTTCTTAGCTCCCCATAGCTTTTGGTCCTCATGCCCCTCCCTCTCTCATTCCCCACATCTTGCTTGATTCGCTTCCATGCATGGACGGCGACGTTGTAGATGCGATGTCATGCAGGAAAGAACGGTACTCATGCCGGCTTGGGGACACTCGACAGTCATCTCTCTATGAACAACTCAACCGTCACTTGATAATTGAGCGAGGCTCAGTACACACACTTCAATCAAAGAAACGCAAAGCTTCAGATGTTGCCTTCCGGGGCGACAACGCGGTGAAGAGGCACTGTTGACCGCTAGGCTCTAGTGGTTAAAAAAAAAAAAAAAGGAGACATCTGCTGATTGTGGCTGGCTGTCTACGCCATTCAGGTACGCGAGACCTTTACCGAGAAAGCTCCATTTGTTTGAATTTAGCCCATAGGGGGGAAATGAGCGACGCCCTCCGGAAGCGCATCACTATTGCAGGACGCATATGCAGCTGTTTGCTCAGCTTGGTGGCAGATGGTCTATTGATGATGTCGCGGAGATGAATCGGGGAAGAGAAGAGAGAGAGAACCTGAAGGAGGGTGGGCCTTTCGCGAGAAAAGGCTTTGTCTTAGTCTGAAGGTAGCGGTGGACGGAGCGGTGGACGGAGTGGAATTCCAACCACCGCGTGGGAACGAGGAGGGAAACGTTGGCCATTAGCGTTTACTTGATTCGGAGCTGGGGTGCCTATTGCGTACAACAAGTCGGATGTCGACTCTCGACTCTGAACAGACTGCCTCGTCGTTCGAGGTCTCAGGGCACGACTTTTTCGCGGCCCTCAAAGATGGCCGAGGAACGAAACATGAAGGTAAAGATGGCAGGAAACAAGACCAAGCTTTCCCCACCCCAAGGAAACAAAAGTGATGGTGCGCACAGGTGTCGGCCCGGGGTGGAGTAGGCATGTGTACCCCGTGGTCATTCAAGTCGACATCGACCGTCCATCGATGCACGAAGGTTGCATCGCTACCCCCAGCCCGACAGCTGCCCAGCAAAGATTGTTCAGCTGAATAAAGCCAAGGTCGAAGCAGGTATTGAGCCACGTAGGCTCCCATTCCGAAGTGGTCCATTCCCTAATGATGACCCAGGGAATCGTCTTAAGTGTACAAAGAGGAATCGAGAGGGAACACTAGGGAGAAAGCCCTCCTTGAATCATGAACCGTTGGGGTGTCTCTCAGTTCACATGCAACAAACCCGATCCGACGCGTTACACCTGTACAACACATAACGGTCCTGTTCCAGTCAGGCCGTGGACAAGAAACGCGCACCTGGCACGCCGGGAAATTGGGCCTCCCCCTCAAACCGCTCCCTCTATCCGTTTGAGCTTGAGATGCGGAAATCCGGCTTTCTGACCCTCCCCAAACTCCGGATTCCCTATCTCGACCTACCTCAGGCTCAGACAACGGTTTCCCGCATTCGGATGCGATTGACAGGTACAGGCGAGACATTTGATTTCAAGATATAGCCCCCCTCACAATCATTGGAGTTGCACGGAGTAACGTCAAGACTGAAGAAATGCTTCTTCGTAACCCTCGGTGGTCATCGTTGAAGACCACCCGGCACTCGAATGCTCTCCTACATCTGACATGTACCTACATAGCTTGTGTAGAGGAAGTCTACCGCCCGGGGGGAAGAGATGGCGATGCCCATGATGAATGAAGTTCCCGTCGTCCAGCCCAAAAATAAACGCCAACCATGCCATCTAAATCCCCCTTCACGATGATCCATCTAGACCTGTTTCTATATCATCACCGTCCTCAAAAATCTTACAGCTTCAGCCATCGCGAACCCCTTAGCTCCATGGAGGGGATCTACAACGTCTTGAACCCTTCCTCCAAAGCAACAGTCTGCCCAAGCCTCTCGCTCGCCGCCAACCCAGCCTTCTCACCTGCTCTCTTGCGCAGCACATTCTCGATAAACGCCTCACCCGCCTTGTAACTGCTCCGCACCAGGGGGCCGCTCGCGCAGTACAGGAATCCCATTTCCATCGCCCGCTGCTTCCACATCTCAAACTCGTCGGGCGTCACGTATTTCTCGACCTTGAGGTGGCGCTTCGTCGGCCGCATGTACTGGCCAAAAGTGACGACGTCGACGTTGGCTTTGCGCAGTTCTGTAGTGCCCCCCAGTGTCAGCGATTTCTCGATCTTGATCTCATCATATAGTCCACAGTCAAAAAAGAATGACCGGGTTGAAAAGAAGGGGGAAAAACTTACGCCTCAACGCATCCATAATCTCCTCCTCCTGCTCTCCCAACCCAAGCATCAGACTCGTCTTGGTAATCATCTCAGGCTTCACCTCCTTCACCCGCGCCAGCACCTTAATACTCTGCGCAAACGTAGCCCTCCGATCGCGCACATACGGCGTCAGCGCCTCCACCGTCTCGACATTATGCGCATACACGTCCAGCCCGCTCTCGGCTACAATCTTCACCATGTCCAGATCCCCCATGAAATCCCCCGTCAGCGCCTCGACAAGCAGACTCGGCTTCTTGGCCTTAATCTTGCTAATCGTCTCGGCGAAATGCCGCGCCCCGCCATCGGCCAAATCATCGCGGTCGACAGACGTCAGCACGACGTACCCCAGCCCCCACCTCGCCAGCGCCTCGGCCGTGTGCTCCGGCTCGTGCGGGTCCAGGGGCGCCGGCGCGCGGTTGGTTTTCACGCTGCAAAACCGGCATCCGCGCGTGCAGGTGTCGCCCATGAGCATGATTGTCGCCGTCGCCGCGCTCTTGGAGGATCCACCCCAGCACTCGGAGATGTTGGGGCATTTCGCCTCCTCACACACCGTGTGCAATCCTAAACCGCGTAGGTCCTTCTTGATGGCCTTGTAGTTCTCGTTGCCAGCGGGGATGGGCGTCTTGAGCCACTCCGGGAGGCGGGTGATGGTCTTCTTCTTGCCCGTCGGGCCCGTGACCTCGACGGTGCGGATCTCATAAGCCTCTGCGTCGGAGAGAGCTGCGGAGTCACCCTTGCCAGCGTTGCCTCCGATAAAGTCGTCCAGCGACGCAAGGCTCTTGTCCTTGAAGTATGTCGGTCGGCGCGCAGGTTTCGGGGGCTGCGATGCTGCTTCGGATGTCGTGCCGAAGGTAGGAGGGACGGTGGCGAAGGCTCGGGAGCGAGCCGACGAGGCGAGGGCCCTCCGCAGAGGAGCCTGGACGCGCGCGAGAGGCGCCATGGGCGATGGCATTGTAATGATTCTCGGAATGGTTCGTTGGTCCTTCTCGAAATTCCCGTGTGATTGCAGCACCCGACGATGTTTGCTGGCGAAGCTCTGGTTGAGGTTGATGCAGGCAAGAGCTGTGATGGGGCAAGAAAAAGGTCCTAAGAAAATATGACCACTAGAAATTAAGCCCTGCAGCTGGCCACCCCCGGTCCCCGGATTGAATCAGCATATCGGGTGGACCGTGATTATAATTTGACCAATCAGAATAGGCTGGCTGTCTAACAGCGGCAATGCTTATTAAGAAGTCTAGTCAAAATCTCGGCGTGCCGGGGCTTTCCGACCCAACGGTTTCGACGGCCAAGTGGCCATTGTCTTGCTCACTCAGGTTCTTTCCAATCAAGAGGCGAGGATTGCCAATACCGTGGGATTGAAAGCCCAAAACTCGGTTATCGTCCCCTTCAGTTCCGCGGTTGTAAGAATGCAAGGGTTCGGTGCTAAAGAGCAATGAGCTCAAGTCAATGAATTCGATCATCTATGCTACCAATAATTGCCTCTCCCCCCCCCCCCCCTCTTAAGTCCTTAAAACTCCATCAATAGCCTCCAAGCCCCCCTCGCAAGGCAAAGTTGTCACGAACCAGCCATCATTCAATCAAAAACATCGTCAGTGCGGAAATAATCAAGCAAATCCATCGCGTCCTCCTACCGAACGGGCAATGTCAGACATCCCAAACAAACGGAACCCGGAGATGTCCCTTCGTAAAGGGATAACCTCGGAATCGCTGTTTGCCTCGTCCATTCCCAGACGGTAGCTATACAGCAATAGGGGTATCAACAACTCGATGAGAATGTGAAACTTTTGTTCCATCACGAGAACTCCGGTAAACCCCCAAATCATCCATCCTGATCATTTCCATCTTAAATCCTCCCATGACAAAGACGTGGCGAAAAGATCTCGTAAATATCATTTCCAGCCAGCAAGCACACCTGCAGCAACATCGTTGCGAGCCCTAGGGACTCGACTTCGCATGCCATGCGACCCTTGTGCCGCTGGGGAAGAATCGAAACATTAAAACGTGGGGTGGCACACCATCTGCTGACCACAAGTGAAAGGCAGCAGACAGGCGGTGCCGGTTGAAGAGTGAAAAAGGCTGATCGCTGTCAAGTGGTCCCGGTTGACTAGCGTCTGCGGTTCTTTTCTTGCAGGATGGCGATGCAAGCGTCGCACAAGGCTGGTGTCGAAGAGGAAAAGGGTATGGTTGATGCCGTCAACCGAAGTGGTGTCCAAATCCTTATGGTCGTTGAGTTCGTAAAGATAGGCTGCACCCACATCGGGAACGATGTGGCATTGAACCAGCGTCGGAAGCGATGACAAAAGAGAAGGCTGAAAAGATGTCACATCGAAGAGTTCGGTGTGGCAGTGCTTCGCAGTTGGCAACATCCCTCCCACGATATCGCAAATCGAAACCAATCTTCCATTTCCATGAAATCCCACACCCCCCATTCAGCGCTGCCGCCTTACAGAAGGACAGCAGCGACCATACCAGCAATACCGGCGAAAGCCAGGCTGCCAGCGTTGAGGGCGGCGCCGGCATTGGGTTTCGAAGTAGTCGCAGCGGTAGCCGAGGCAGAGACGACGGCAGAGCCGCCCGAGCCTGTGGGCTTGAACGTCGCAGTGCTGTTGCCAGCGCCGTAGGTCACGGTGGTGGTGTGCGCGCGTTCGAGAGTGATAGTCTTGGTGTAGGTCGCGGTAGAAGTAATAGTCGTCATGCCGCCGCTCGACGTCGTGCTGCCGCTGGGCGTTATGTCGCCGCTCGGGGTCTGGGCCATTGCCATGACAGGCAGGAAAGCGGCAAGAAGCGTGGTCAACTTCATCGTGTCTGTAACTGGTTTGGTTGGTAGAGGGCTGTACGGGTCAACTGTCGAAGCGTGACGAGGTATAGACCGAATCGAATATGTGCGCCGAAAATAATCCGCTCAACACTATGTGAAGCGTGTGCTTGGTGTTGAATCTTTCAAGATGGTGATACGAGTCCTCCTACTTGGCTTGTTCCTCCTCAATGTGGGATGGATCGGCCAGGTGTATATATGCGTTGGCGTGTTTGCTGCTGTGTCTGAGCGAAGGCAGTGAGTGATGGAGGCGGGGAGCGCTTGTTGTTGGTTTGCGACAAGAGGGCGTCTGTCCGCGGATGTAAATAGGAATGAGCGTCAGTCCGAATACTTGCTCGGCGAGTAGTCAGGTTTGGTGGTATTTGTTTCAACGACTGTGCGTGAAGCGAAAGAAGGGTGAGGCAGGAGACTTTGCCAACGAAGTCTGTGGGTTAAGGATCGGGGGGGGAGTGGTTTGAATAAGAGGATGCTGGAGAGAGGACCCGGACAAGCGAGTAGTAAGAAAAGACGTGGGTTTTGGGTGTGGGGAGACAAGCAACGGGGGGAGGCGACGGGGGCCTGGCAACCTGGGACGATTGGACCCAGGACCCGTGGACTGTGAGGTGACTGGCAGGGGTGACGACGATGCAGGCGCCGACAGGGAAAAGGCCCTCACACCTAAAATGAAAGCCAAGCCCGGCCGAGGAGGAAGCAGAGGACGTTAGCTGTGGTCCGTGAGCCTGTGAGAGGGCAAGAGGTGGAGGTACTCGGCCCAACCTTCCCTGTCCTGTCCCGTCCCAAATGGATGCCGCAGATGCATCCCGGGGAAGGAGCAAGAGTAGACGGCAGGGACGGCTGGGACGGGACAGTGACACAGGAGGGAAAAGAGATGAAAAGAGCGCTATGGTGCGAGTCGCGAGTCGGACCGGGTCTGCCATTGCGAATGTGCGAGTGCCAACCGAATGAATCGAACGGAAGCCATCGTCACTCGGCCGGTGAGGTATCGCAAAGGTAGCTGCAAGGTACCCGTGTCCAAGGTTGCTCTGTTTAACCCTGTTAGCCATACCTCCAGCTTAACTTCCAACAAGTACTGGGAACATCACTCACCATCAAGTTTGAGCGGTAACTATTTGTACACACGACTATTGGTATGAAGGCTCAATATGCAGGCAGGGGTCTGGATCTTCGCGGGAAATTAAGGCGCAAAAGCACAGCATTGCGTTCGCTAGCCGTCGACCACGTTACCTTGCGCCTTACCTTGCTGCGCTTTGCGAATGGCTGAACACTGAATAATTGTGCAAACCACCCAAAGCCCTTCCTCATCGCGCCAGCAACGAAGGATCGGCAGGGCGTCGATTGGAAGCTGTTCGTTGTTTGCCCTGACGCGGTGACAGCGCTTTTCTTAGAAGTCTTGTGTGATCCTGACGCCGGCTGAGCACGATCCTCACGACTCAAGGCCCAGCAATAGAAGCAGAATCCCAGAATAAACAACAGCCGTCGCGGCGGGCTAAGGAGGAAACACCACTTTGTGCCAGGCAAGACAAACCCAACGGTGCTTCACTCGGCTTGCTTTTTCCTATTGTCTACCCAGGTCCGGCACAAATACCCACGACAAGGTCCGCATAGAACCGGGAGAGAAAGAGCCGGAAGAAAGACATTGTGGCCAGCCGCAAACGGGCTTAGTGGGCGGGGATTGTTCGTACGATTCGCTGCATCGGGGCGAATAGCGGCAGCATTATTGAAGAGTAAAATGGCATAATTTACACCTCTTCGTTTGGATCCCCTCCCGAGTAGGTAGCACGAAATGCCGCGCATTTTGGGCCACCAGATGAATGAGATTGTGCTTCCGAAATGATGGAAATGAGTGGCACGCGAGAAAAGAAGAAGGAGAGTGTTCCATGCCCGATGCAGCAAGAATGTGAGTGGGCTTTTCATAAAAATTGAATTGCACAATTTCCCCAAACTGCCAACGCCCAGTGATTGGTCGGCATGGTGATTGTAGCGGGGCTCAGCTGGCAAGAGTCGAGACCCCCATCTCGCGACTGGCCAGCTCGTTCCTGCATTTGAAGAGAAATGGTTCCTGACGCTAAGCCCTGGATGGTCAGCTCTGTGTGTCTCGTGCGTTCTGAATGGCCGGGGGTGCCTGAGGGCCTGCAGCCAGTTGGTTGGTTAGATAATGGGTGGATAGCGTCAGAGAGGAAGAAGAGATTGCTGTCAGTGCGGCATTTTGGAATTTGGAAGGAATCGGGCAAGTCACTCCAAGTCGGGCAGTCAACAAGGAGTCACCCCGGTTGCCTTCGCCGGTTCCTTCCCAAAAGTCGAGTGTCAAATCTTAGGATTCCCTCCTTCCTTCCCAGAGCGTTCGTCCGACGGTCTGTGCGGTCGCAAGAAGTCGCAACGAGTCGCAGCTGCTCATCGCCCGGGAAAATGTCATCATCCTTCATCCCTATTCCCCGTTCAGATCACTTGCGGAGAAGCCTCTTCTAGTGTCGATTCCTTTTACTTACACGTGTACTTACCCACCTACCCACAGAGACGGATTCTCCTCGTCCGCGCAGATCAATTTAGGTTCCAGCGTGCAGCTCGCAGCTCATCCATCCATCTATCCATCCATCCATCGTGAACAAGGCCAGCCGCCAACCGTCGCCAGCAGCAACACAAACTAGGCACAATCATCTCATGTGTCTCGGTCTCATCTTTGTCTCTCCGTCCAAACTCGCACATCAACGACAATCAAACTTGAGGGCTGTAGCCGCAACCGCAAATCTTCGGATGAAACCCGAACCCCCCACCGTCATGTCCTCCAACATGGACCAACCTGACCTTCTGGAGATCACGTCGGAGATCAACGAGCTTGGTGGACCGGCGAGGGAACCCCTTCTCAACGTCTCGCCATGGACTCACCATTGATGATGGACATCGCCTAGGTTCTCAAGTTGCCCAACCTTGACAAGGGAGTCTTGACTCTGGGCGGCCTGACCTTGCTACTTCCTCTCCATCTCACTTCGCGCACCGCTCGCACTAATACGGTAATACCTAATTAATCGCCTGTCGTCGCCCCTATCTGTCGCAACTTGGTCACAACCTGCATGGGCCTTCAACAGGCCTCTGTCGCAACAGGGCCATCGTGACTCCTCTTTTGTGCCACCAACCCGTCCACCCACCAGTATCTGCGAAAACTGCTCACTCAGACGCTCAACAACCGGCCACTTTTCCCGTACGCGTTGCTTCCCGGTGCTTCGCTGCCACAACGTGAAACTTGACATTGTGCGTCCATTGAGGGGGGGATCCGGGCGCTTACTCGCTGCTCGTTCAGCAGCTGCGAGCAAACCATTTGATCAAAGTCTTCCTGGTGTGAATCGTCTAGGCCGCTCACGAGGCCTGCCCAGACCCACGACAGCTAGCGCAGCAAACCAGCCAGCGACGATTTACTTGGCAATACCACGAGTCCACGACATGTTTTCCTCTCAACTTCTCAAATACCTCGGGTACAGGGAATTCTCTACGCACCGCCTCCACCGGCGGCCTAACCCGAGATAGAGGACAGTCAAACGAGCCCAGTCACCGAGGATTGATTCGTTTTCCCAGATGGTTGCCCTCGGCCCATTCATTCCGCCTTGTCCCGGCCCCCAGACCCGATCTCGAGTTCTCGACCTCTGCACCGTGGCAAATGTCCCTTCGAAAGAATTTTCGCCGGTTGCCCAGGCCCTTTGGCGGATCGGAAGGGGGGCAAAAGAAGAAAACTCAGCGTTGTCGCACGCCACCAAGCGCAAAAATGAGACGTTATGATAGACTTAGACAGCGACTTCCAACGTTTTTTCGGTGGGTCGAGGGATGCGTCACAGCGCCGGCGCTTTGCGGACACCAAACATTTTTGCTCCTGTGGTCTTCGGCCTTGAGTCTTTGGTCTCACTTTCGCCTATTGTTCTCGGGCAACAGACCACTAAAGCAGCTCAAGTTTACACAAAGATCCATCCGCATAGCTGCGCGCTCACTCGACCCAGCGCCACCCGTCCTATACGCAGTTCGAATATCATGCAAAGGCACTGACCATCCTCGAATCCATCTTGTATTTGCTTCTCTACATCTCGTAACATGTCTCGGACTCAACGTCCCAACGGCCACATGCGGCGGCTTGCAGCCTGTATGCGCAACGCAGGCTGCCGCTGCGTCCTCGGCATTTGAATCCCGGTTGCACGCACAATAACCTGCAGCACAGAAAATAGATCCTGAGCCCCGGCTGCAGTCGCCCTGGAGCTGCGACAGCATCCTCCAACACTTGTCGATTCACAAGAGATTGCTCTCCCTCAGACTCCCTGAGTGTTTGTGCCTCAGCGGCATCCCCGACTCGTGGCTCTCCATCCTGGCATAACATGACGTTGCTGCTCGAGTGGGAACGCAGCCATGTGGGATATGATTGAAAGACGACTAATCCACGGGCGAAAAGTGGGATCCTTCTCCTGATGGACCCGGGCGAAGATTCCTCCTCCCATTAACTTGATGTGAAGCGACGTACGGCACCCCGCCCCGTCTCCCGATCCTCGAGCCGATTACCAGCGGCAGAATCCCTCGTCAACGGTCAGCGTCGTCATCGCCATCGTCTGCGTAAATGATAACAGTGACTAGACAACTATGGACCGTACTATGAGTATGACCCCCAATTGGGATTCGTATGACAAACGCAGTGCTCGTGTCAGCAGTTGCCTCTAGCCCATCATCTGAACGATTGGATTCAGCAGCATCTGCAGCCCTGAGGACAGCCTGAGGGAGCTGGGTATCGGCAAGCAATTGAATGACTAAAAGTAGGTCTCTCGCCAACGTCGCTTCTGGGCTCCCTGGTGGTGTCCGATCTTGACATCCGATGAAACAAAGGGTGTTCATCTATCGGGTGCGTTTTGAAACGGATCAAATGGTTCGTCTGAGCGCGCACTTATTTCCAAACCCTTGGGGCCAGTGACGAACATGGGCTGGCACCAGACCCTGCATTCTTGAATAGCAAGCAAACGTGAGCATCTGTGCATGATGAGCTCAGACAACACGGTACAATTTGTGAAAAAGTCGGGACCGAAATGATCTCGATGACGCCGGATCTTGCGACCAGAAGCCCGTCTGCTCATCGTTGTGCTAAGCATTGAGGATGCCGATACGCGGGGTAGTGCCGTCGTCTCTCGGATGTACCCTCTGCGCATTCGAATCTCTCTACTTTCCCCACCAGTCTCTCCGAGATTTAAACACATGCACTGAGTCGCAATGTGGAAGGCATCGCTCAAACGCAACTTACACTGCCGAATCCAGAACCTAGATGTTTGCGCGGTAGATGACTTGGTCTATTATCTAGGATTCTCAAGCAATCTCAGGAGCTGCCAGTCCAGCGCGAATAATTAGCGCCGGTTATCACCGGTCTATTAGTCTAGTTGGTTAGGACGTCGGATTCTGATTGTCGGAACTTCCGTAGGCCCAGGTTCGAATCCTGGATGGACCTCATCTTTTGGCTCCGCTGTCTTTTTGGCTCCGCCTGAGGCTGCTTGGTCAGTTAGACAAGGATGCTTAGTGTCTTGCAAATGCATCTTAGCGACTTCTATCCATCTACGTCGCCTAGCAAGAGGGAACGTTTTGAGAGCCTCCCCTATATAGGCTTACCTACTATACTATTTGGTCTTTATAGTATATTGCCTCTGGTACAAAATACCTTTCGGCTTATTTGACAAGACTGAAAATACAACAAATTCGTCAACTTATCGAAAGAGTTAACAAAAGGAAGATCTGGTGAAGTGGAAATGTTCCTGAACTAACCAAAATGAAGTCACAGAGTGAGCTGCTAGTCTATGCGCACCAGGCGATAGATTTATAAGGAAAAGGCAAGATTTCCTTGGGGTGTGAGTGGCTCTTGTGCACATGGAAGGGTATCTAAGGCTGGGCATAGGGGAAAACCATATTGGCCTGGTGGTAGGTAGTATTAATATAAGCACCAGTCAGCATGGCACTCAATGATGTGCATGACAGCAGATAAATCGAGCTCATTTGTACAAACAACTCCAGTATTAGAATCTCTCAATAAATCCTACAGTTACTAAGTAGGTAGCTCTGGATCATTTACAGTCAAAGCACCAGCTGCCCTAGAGTTGTTCGAGCGCTCAAGCAGTTTGACAAGACAATATGCACTTATCGCTGGAATCAAATATCGATTTGCTAGAGCGGTCTGCGAGCCACCGCAGTGGGCAGTGGGTGAGTGACCCCAGACAGGTCGAGACCTTCTGTATGTCACAAAATGAGTAAAGATGTGAAGGCCTCCAGCCTTCTCCATTACAGAACCGCCTGACAGTCACGACAGCAGCCAGAAGAAACCTTGCAGACTCGACAGACTCCAAAGCTAACGTCCAAATGAACTACCGCAGGGAATGCAATACCGGTGACCCTGCTTCGCTATCCGGCCACAGCGATTCATGCAAAGGCCTGAACGCTGGATGTTGCCGGCGTGTATCTCTCTACCGCAAGGGCCGCAGAATCGATGGCCCGGGACGGCGGGAAGGGAATGGCATCGCATACATGCGGTCATGGTGGGGAGTTTTGTAATGTTCCTTTGTAAGACGCGGACCTTTGCGCTGCGTTAGCTTTTGGGCCCAGGAATGCGTGCAGATGACAGGGTGTATTAAGGATACTTGCCAATCTTGAGTTCTGGTTGATTAATTTTCGGAAACTCTAGGACCATCGATCATTTATGAATCTTTTACAGTTTTGGGGGTATTGGTTGACTATAGAAATAGGAAGACAAATGTCCAAACTTGGAGAGAGGGGGGAAAGCACCCGTCTAAAATCGACTGCGTTATCTCGCTGGCGTAAGTGCACGTGTCATAATTGCCAGGTTATGGATCGTCCTCAAGCAGCAGGCTGCCACACTTTTGGCTTTAGTTGGCCGATGGCTGTGCCAGGATGCCACACTTGGACTGCATGTTCCCATCATCATAGCCTCATTTTCAACGTCCCGAAACCGAAGACCTATGCTATTAATGGAGCTTTAGAAGGCATTCAAGTGAGGGGATAACCCCAAAATCGGACTACTCGGGTGGCATGATGGGATTAAAATCCACCCCTGGTATCCTCAGATAAGCTGCCGGGGCAAATTGTGTTACTTGGGTTTGTCTCGTGATTCCTGTGCAGTGTTAAGAAGGAGAGGGGGGTGGAAGGAAACCTGCTTAACAAAAGACCTTGCATATTGGCAAGCTGCAAGGCCGGTGATGCCACCAAGAGGAGTATCATTGGCTTCTTTCAGCAAAGAAAAAGTTTTCTTGCCATGGTAACAGCAGCAGAAGATAAGCCCACAGCGAGCCAATGTCATCTTTGGCATCTATGAACAATCTTCCCCTGTGGATGAGTTCGGCACACGGAAGAAACGGATTACATTGTCTATGCGCCAGCCTCTGGTCAGCGGCTGGGTCGATGAGTAGGTAGATATACTCGATGGTGTAGAATACTCGCGGAAGTGGACATGAGTTTGGATGGCTATCAAGCAGACCTATCTGCAAAATAGGCCTTTGAGCATATATGGAATCAGAGTCGGGAGTAATTCGCCTTGTGTTCCCACTCAAAGACGTTCACCTCGAACGCTACGCAATTTGACGTATGGGCTTAACCGCCTTCTAATATGGTTCAGAACCACGGAGAATTTCCATCATCATTTGATCGATCGTGTCCTTCAATCTCCTTTAACTCTAATGGTTATAGGATATCTTCAAATCTAATCGACTCGGATTTCTATCAAGCGCCAGGCTGACTTTATTCGAATCAACCAATTCTGTATTAAAATGTAGCCAGAGCATCCGTAGGTTCGCGAATCTTTGTCCTGTCTGGTACAAGTCCACGAGTTCCTGGACATGAGGCAGTATCTCCATGGTACACCCGTGAAGCTCGAGGCTTTCGAGATTAGGAGGAATATGATTTACGAGCCGAGGAACTTGCTCCAACTCTAGCAGCTTTTCCTCTTGGCTGAGACGGTTATAAAGACTCGGAACTGTCCAAAGGTCGGTGAAGCCAGTGAACGCCTCCATGCCGATGTGCAACGTCTTCAAGGAGATCATGTCCCGAAGGAACGTGCCGATGAATAAGCCCTCTCTCTGGACGTACCATTCTTGATCACGCCACTGACCATGGTAATTGATGTGTAGACATTCGATATTATCCCGATGTGGCGACATTGCTTGGGCTAAGTCTTGTAGCTTGATCTGCATATCCAGGAAACTGCTGTCACCTGGTGTCCAGTGAAACGACTTGAGCTTTCTACACGCACGAATGACAGTGCTTAGTCCCTCTTTTGTGATATTTGCATCGAGCAGGGTCAGGTTTTGTACGTGTGAACACTCCGGCGGGTTGGCGTCCTCGTCGAAGAGATGCCCGTTCGGGCCACTGCTCGATAAACTGGCGCAAGTGAATGTACGCAACTGGGGTAATTGCAGGAATTCCTTCCCAATGTTGAAGAAGTGGAAAAGACTCTTGGGCATCTCTGGCTCGCCATAGTACTCTCGCAGATGATGGAGTAACGGGCTTTTCATGCTCTTCCCGTGCAGCGCTGCTGCTTTGATCAGCCGAGGGAGCAGCCGAGGCGCGAGAGGCGTTCCCAACTCGAGGAATTCGATCCTTGGGCATGCAAGGAACAAGAGGCCAATCTGCTGCTCGACCAAGCCGTCGGCGAGGCCGCGAAGCCATTCGTGTCGCACGGCCTGCCATTCCTCGACGTGGTCGGAAAGGCCCGAGGCATCAATCATATCCGCGTACACGCCAATCTCATCGCTCTCGGGACCCAGCGGCTTTTTGCTTGACGGGGCGGTGCGGTAGATGAGGCTGGTGGAGACGTGCTTGATGGTGATGCGCCGCACATACTGAGCGAGTTGGGGTTTGGTGATGACGATGTAACGCAGGAAGTCGAGATTGCGGCTGCGCTTCTGCGCGTACTGGCTCGTGTTCTTTGGGCCGGCGGCGCTCTCGTAGGTCTGGACTGAGAGATGCAAAGCGGCTTGGTAGAATTGTTTGCTCGTCAAGAGAATGGCGCGGATCGATGCGGGGTGTGAGGAGGCGAGGTCCTCGAGGATGTGGTTTTGGATTTCTAGCGGCAGTCCGACGAGCCCTGGTGAGAATGTCGACGGGTGTTCGCCCGGCATGATGCACTTTGTGTATCGCTAACTACGTTACCATCAGAAAACTTGGTAGTTGTTTGCAAGAAGTTGCATGCGCCAAATTGAAATGTGGCTGGAGGAACTACTGGCTTCCGAAGGTGCTTAGGCGCCAACCAGAATAGACCTTTCCGCTCGGTTCACGTTGGAAGGTGTGGCGCTTGATTACCTATCATTGGTCCTTAGGATCAGCGTCTTACTCTGCATAACTTCTACTTCTTTTCAAAACACCTCTTCTTATCTTGAGAGGAAATTCAACGAAAATTAATTCACCGATTTCACTAGATCGGAACCCGCTTGGCTCTTCTTACAAGCCACAGCGAGTCTTGCTTGAAAGATGTTTGAGTGAGGATTACCGAATTATCAAAAGGATCACCAAAAGACAGCTGGCCTGGAAAGTAAACAAGTATTGTGCATAAAATAGCCTTGACCTGAGCTGCAGAATCCGTCTCGTGACTCTGCAATAAAGACGCAGCTTTCAGCAGCCAACGCTTGGGTTGATTTCAAGTTACCCCCGGCATTCTCCGATTGCAACTTGTCACTATATTCTAGTGGATAAGCCTGTGACCGCAACTGCAGTCGCAACCACACGATCGGAATTCTTTTGGGAACGCTATAGCGTCCAAGGCCATCTTTTGAATTTTCTGGCTTAGCTACTTTCACTGCCACGTGGCTAAATGCAACTTCGGGTGGTCGTCGCTCTCGGGTTCGTTCAATAGGAAAGTTTATGTCAAGTCCGTTAGTGTTTATTAATTTCAAGTGAAGATACGCTCGAAATTCTACTCACCGTTCTTTCCCCATCCTTCACCGCCCGAGCTTACTCGTCGATTGAAAGAGGTCCCTAGCTAGCTTGGCTTTGAAAAGGCTTATCAGTGAATGTCTTTTGTTTATTTGTGCTAGTAGACGACCAAGTCTGCCAGGAGATGCTTATCTCAGGGGACCAAGTTGACGATCGCGACACCTCGGGCGAGTACTGGCCTACCAAATACCACGTCACCAGGCGCTTTAGCGTCTTCTCCATGAGGAGGTTCCGGACGCTGCATCCCGTATCTGAAATGCGAAAACATGCTTGTACTAACGGGATGAATGAATGCTGCTTAGGTACCTCGGTGCGATTGGGACGGTGACGTTCGGAGGTCTTCCGCTTGGCTACGATGACATCGGTTGACCGCATCGGCCCACTGCTGAGAATGGACTTCTTTGAAAAGCGGCATGACGAAGACGGCATTCTGAGGACTATATCTGTCTTTTGGACTAAGTTTCTGTAAAGACAGCTTCCAACAATGCTGCCACGAGTCGTAGATGATATGGAGGTAAGGGCTGGTGAAATGGGATGGGCCTCAGTTAATGATCACCCACACCATTGCATCTTGTTCTTCTACCTACACCAAAGACCTCAACCTCGATTCGCTGTGTGAATACTCTTAAGAAGTTCTATTTCAGCTCAAGCTCATGGGAATACTCCACGATTATATTAGAGAATATAGGTCCGAATCCAAGATGAAGTCCTGTGGACAGTCGGCGATATCCAAAATCACGCCATGTTCTGTCTGGATTCTTTGTCGACCCAGTGTGTACAAGTTATGACTTTCAAAAAGACTCTCTCTTTCTGCGCCCAGTACTCTTATCAGACGCAGAGCCGCTAGCCTCAATTCCAAGCACTTGCACTCCATCACGATGAAAGATAGAATAGGTGAGAAGGCAAGTTCGAAAACGAAACGCGGTACTCGTATCGTCCGCAGTTTGTTAAAAGCAGAAGCCTGTGTAATCATCTTGCGGAAGTCGTGTATGTTCTTTTCGTTGCTGTCGGCTTGGTCTTCGGGAAACACCATGTCGAAGCAAACCTGGCACAGTTGGAAGCGCATTTGCATCAGCGCTTGCGGACCTGCGCTAGCACAGTCCGCCTGTGACGTTGAATCAATATCGAGATTCTGGATGAGTTCTTTGCATTGATGCAGCAAAGAATCGATGCAGCTTCGTTCCTTCACCACGTCGAAATGAGTCCCTTTTTGCTTCCAATGTCGCAGAAGCATCAATTGTTTGAAAATGTCGTCGAGCATGGATTGTGCATCCTCTATGCTCTCAAATCTCGTTGGGACCACAGGTCTTAGGACAGGCGCAAAGGCAGAGTCCGCTAGGGGCTTTCCGATGAGCAAGGGGAGGACGCTTAAACGCCGAAATATAGGTAGGAGATGCTCTAGAATCCAAGGATTGTCGTTGTTGTAGTTCTCCAAAATGGCAAGGCCGTGGTTGCAATGCTGAATTGCTGTTTCGTTATTCGACAGTAGCAGCTCAATACAGGTAAACAGAATGCACACCACCAGTACCAAAGACTGGTCTTCTACAGCCTTCAAACCTTTGATTGATGCGTTGTAATATTGCAATGCAAGGCTAGGTCTGATGGATGGGGTACTTTGAATCTCACGAGCCTCATATAGATGACTGATCGCCAAGAGAGAATGCTTCACGATTGGCTCCGACTCGCTGAGTTGCATGACGAAGTGCGTCCAGAAGACAGGTCTCCTAGGGCCAGAAAGGCGTGGCGCAGCGTATTCATAGAAGTATTGCAGTGCTCTTCGCTCACTTGCAGAGTTTGATCCATGCCGGCCTAGGTCTGAACGAATCTTTGATTCGAGTGACGCCTGGACTGTGTAGCCGTCGCATTTACGGCCAGTGTCATTGCAACATCGGCAAGAAGGCTTGGTTTCGTCACACTTGATCTTCCGAATTCTACGCGAGTCAGTCAAGTCGCTTCTTATTCTGTGATTAAGAATATTCGTACTTGCAAGTCAAACACCCGGTCTTGGTCTTCTTGCAACCTTTCCGCGCCATGGTATCAGTCGTCAGTTGAGATGGGCGGCGTCATTGCTAAGCACGGCTGTGCCTAAGAGAGCTCCGATATTGCCCCGATGCTAATTCAACGAATTTCGTTATTCTTTTCTCCCGAGTTGAGCATGTGGCTGGGATTGATCTTTACAAAATTATGACGGGCAGGTTTGGAGGTTTGAGTATGCGGCCGCAAGACCCATTTACGTGACGGTGGTAACAGCATGAACTCATGAAGGATTCGAAAAAGCCGAACGAGCCAATCGAGTTGCACGCTAACTGAAATACGATTTCTAATCACCAGCGCCACGATACTAACCACCATAAACTCACTCTGATTGGCTCATTCGGATTCAAGAATGCTTTGAAACGTCATGTTCCTTGGGACGAGGCTATTGAAAACCCTTGAATAGCTGCGTTGCAAGGCCTCGTACATGTGGCATTTAGCCCATTTGGCCACAAAGGCGATAACATAACATTGTCACCTGCTTTTTGCGTTCTTTAAGGAACATGGCAACTGAGTAAGGTATTTAAGTGAGGGCTCTGTCCGGTGCTATGTTGACCTTCTGATCAAAGACAAGTTCATTTCCCCCTTCAGTGTTACTTCCTTCGGTTTTCTGATTCTATATTCTTTCGGACACGATGACACATTTACGACAAGCCCGCAAAATTGCCATGGTTGGCGCCAGCGGTAACCTCGGGCAACACACTCTCGAAGCACTGCTCACCCATGGCCTCCACGATATCACCATCATTGTCCGAGAGCAATCTACCTCACAATTCCCAGCTAGCGTTAATGTCAAGAGAGTAGCTTTCGATGACGAAGCCGCTCTCACTAATGTTCTGAAAGGCCAAGATGTTCTCGTGCTTCAACTGGGCATCTCGTCGGTCGGCCTCAGCGACGTCGTTATTCACGCAGCCGCAAAGGCAAATGTTCCATATATCCTGCCTACTGAGTTTGGCAGTGACCCAGCAGGCAAGCTCATTGACGAGCTGCCAGAGATTGCCGCCAAGCGCAAATATCGTGATCTCATCGAAGAGCTCGGAGTCGGCTCATGGATTGGTGTTGTCACCAACCCCTGGTATGATTTCTGTCTGCCCATGGGTGATGTCTTGGGCGTCAACGCCAAAACGCTGAAGGCTACGCTATGGGACGGTGGAAACACGAAGATGAATTACAGCACGCTGCCTCGAGTCGGAGCTGTGACGGCCGAAATTTTGGCAATGGCAGACAAGGAATTGGCACGCTATCGGAATCGATGCTTCTACGTCACGTCTTTTCATGTCACACAGAGAGAGGTGCTGAACAGCGTGATGCTGGCGACTGGTACTTCTGAGAGTGAATGGGACATCGGCGAGGAATCTGTGGACGCGGTCGTCGAACGAGCCAACGCCATGAGCGAGGCAGACCCGCACTCTGTGGTGCTAGTGAAATTCATGCCTTTGCATTACAAGGAGGGCCAAGGGGGCGACTTCAACAACAAGGTTGAGGATCTCAGACGTTTTGGCCTGGAAGAGGAAGACTTTGATGCGGTGACTAGTGAGGTGGTTCAGCGGATTTTGTCGGCCTAGTGTGTTAAGAAAGAACCCTGGAATCCACATAGTCTTGACCTATCGCACATAGCTAATAGACTGCGACGCTGTTCTTTTGTTGGAAGACGTCTTTGCTTGAACTTGAACTAGGTACAACCCGATTTGCTGACTTGAATATCATTTGGCAAGCAAGAAAATTGGCATACATGACATGTCTACTTGATGTCGTGTAATTGCGGATTCGCTTTCATGTTACGACCCAAGAGGGACACAACAGTGCCGACCTCAATCCCTTTCAATGGTACCAGAAAGCTTGCAAGTAGACGATGCGAGATGTGATACAACTTCCTCTATTAATTCTCTCACGGGCAGAATAGCTCCTGGCTGACTCTAACGGTTGCACCCATGGGGAGTCATAATTACCATGTATCAATCACCACAGGGTATCTTCCCCCTTTCGCAACCACTGCCTAGAAGCTGTCAATAGTTTTCGCTGAAGTTCTACTTCTTTCCCGCAATGTTACCTTGGCCGTTGATCCTTTGAGCGTGACCAACTGCAAGGTTTCCCCCTTGGCATCTGCTTGACCAATGCCATACCAACTTTCCGGCCAACTTGCGGGCCGACTCCGCCGACTGAAAACACTTCAGAGCGGTCGACTGAGTGGGAAATACATGCAGCGTTATCAAGTCGGTCAATGGAGGGATTGTCTCCCGAGTGACACAGAGTGACGTGACCATCAACTGGATCATCTGATCCCAAAACCACATACACAATTCGGACGGGTCAACCTAACCTGCTCATCAACGGCGCCGGAATCTACAAGCCACCTTCGAGCGACTTTTTGGACCCGCCTAGAATCTCGCTAATAATGATGTCTAGCCGTTAATTATTTTCTTTTGAATAACGCGGCGCTGACGCGCCACTCAGCTGACCAGCTCTCGAAGAATTCATCAACTTGTGCCACAGCCACGCTCCGTCTGGCCCGACCATTGAGCTATGATTGCTGCGAAAGACCATGTTCTTTTTTTCCATTAATGAGGTGTATGATGGCTCAATTAGAGTTTGAGCCGCAGCGAAAACATAAATGATGTGTTATTCATCTCTTCGAATATCGAAAATCAACGAATTAAAATCGTACCATGATCCAGCCAGAGGAGGAGACAACAGGCGACACGAGTTTAAAAACAGCCCTTTTCATCTCTATGAACAAACGGATATGTTACACTTCATCTTGTATCTAAGATATGTTTGGCAGTCGCAGCCACCTTTCAACCAGCTTCTTATTGACCACAGATTCTTTTCGTAGGGCGAGACTGCCTTTGCTCTTTTTTGTGCGGTGTGAGATCCTGCCTGATTCGGCCGAGATCACTGGTGCCTTCTGTAAATTGCTCTTCAACTGCCTTAGCTGCACTTTCCCCCTGATATGTCCGTTGCTGCCTTCCTCCTGTGAATTTTGCCCTGATCCACCGGTCATGTGACTAAGGTAAGGTAAGGGAATTGAGGAGGAAGGAACTGTCTTCCAAGGTGAATGTAATCAAATGACCTCCAGATTCACCTCTGGATTTACCTCAGTAGTCTGTTGTCATTCACCAAAAACGTCAATTCAGAACGCCATCTCGATAAAGCGTTGAAGGTCGTGCCTCCTGTTAACACGCCTTCTCCTTCATTTATCACTCGTTGGAAAGCTTCAATGACACAGGCCACAACAACAACCCATTTACATTCTTTCACCACCAATACCTACCAAATGGCTGGCGAAAATGAACAAGATCCTGCTTCCCAGGATGCCCAACCTCCCTCTTCCGCTGCCCCCGAGGCACAGCCATCGGACCAAAATCAAGACCAACCCCATCTTCGAGGAGGCTGCATTGACCACGATGGTATGTGCTGTGGTGTCTGGTAGGTACCCCAAGATCATTGAAAATTCGTATGAGGAGGTGAGTCTGACAGAGTATCAGGCCGGCCGATGGTTGCTACCCCGGAGCGTTCTGTGCCCTCTGCACCATCATGTGAAGCAGCCTACTCGTCGTTATGGAGATGAGATAATTCGATTTCTACATAACTTGGAGGAGGTCAGGACAGTGGGAGCGGGAAATGATGGCAAGCAGGAGAACGATGAAGAGATAACGGAGAGGTAAAACTAAGTCATTCGACTGAACAGTCAACGCAACTTCCGCCACTGCAATTCCGCACCCAAGATTGCACGCGTAATTAATGATTGCATTATCTGTCCATTTTACATGGAAATTCTTCACTGATACTGTCCTTGGTCACTCATGAACATTCAACCGTTTAGCGCTGGGTCCTTATGGTTCGATGGATCTCTCATTTATTCGCTACAGAGCGTCCTTGTTAGGAAGTTTTCGTTGTTACGAATGATAGGGGCAGGCTTGTCTGTGCTTTGGGCCATCGTAGGGAAGCACCCGGCAGGACCGCCATTGTCTTGCGTGCCTACATATATTAGCGGAACGGTACATCATGTTAGAACGATCTTGCATCATGTGATTTAGGAAAGTACCAAGACCCAGGTAAAGAGCGAGGTTTTGAGGCTGAGTCTGTTGAACGGTTTCTTTTACGGCGTAACATCTTCGAACACTAGCAATGTACAACGTTTTGGCTCTCGCACTACGTGCTACTATTATTAGGGATTGGCAGCCAGTAGCCCTAGAAACAAAACATTGGAAATATGCAGAGGTGAACAGTATACTTGGCATCGGAGAGCAGATTGTGGCTGCACAACTGGAACGCTGTCTCGTCTATAGGTCTAAGCCCTGTTTTAGGTCAGCTATTCGACAGTAGGGTCTGCTAACAGAAGCTGGGGATTGACGCTGTAGATCAGATATCGTACTAAGTAGTAGTGCTGAGTGTGCTGAACAGATCAGTTCCGAAAAGAAGGACATCAGCGCTGTTTGAGGACACGAACTGTCTGCTTGCTCTATGTATAATATCTATGCGATGACAATCCAGGCGGATGATGATGATGAAAAGAGCGGGAGATGAAGAAAGAGAGGTGACTCAGATGAGGAGGCGGCTAGGGTTGATGACGTTGCAATATATATAACTGTAATGCGCTCGAAGGTTGATTTGGGTTTCACTCACTTTTATGAATCTACTTCACACCATCTGAACCTAATGTTACTTCAGCGGCTTGCCGGCCGCAGAGTTAATGAACCCTTCAAACCATAACCAATTGGCTCATTCAACAAGTAACGAGGAGCCCTGATGTACCGTCTGCCTACCAAGGCTGGTGTCGTTCGTTGAATGCAATCGGATGCCCTCATTTGCTAGTCTACTAGTAAATTGACACATTGACAATCCTTCGTCTGTGGTAGTGGTGCACAAATATATGATCGCCCGAGACCATCCGTGACATGAATGTTGTGTAGCTAGATTGACGACCTATGGTCAATGACCTGCGCAACAATGCCACTTATTTCGTTGCATGCATCAGTATCCGTCAGCAATCCCACCGGCTTCCTCCCGTGCCCTGCGTTCCCCGTCCGCCGCCCACCACCACTGGTGAGACTCGTCGTGACCCGATGCATCGCCTTTATTATCAGCCCAGGGTTTGGGGCTGAAGATGTAGTGAATGTTCTTGACTTCCTCATCCCTCCAAATAGCATCGTGCACGCCGTGCCACCTCAGCGTCTTCAGCGCGTTATACACGTACGGCAACCCGACCCATCGTCCCCGAAACAGATTTGCGAGGAGGTCCTGATCAGGAAATACCCACTCTGCAGGTGCGTTCTTGACGCAGTCTACTATCGCAGCGTAATGGGCTGCGGAGGGGACCACGACGAGAAGACCGCTGTTCAGGAGACCGAGCGGTTGCCGAGTGAGATCCGCGCCGTTGGTCTGAGCTGCACCGGGGTTGGCGTGGTGGGATGTGAATGGACAGTTGGCCGGCACCCAGCTCTTTGGGAAGTGGGGCTTCTTGAGGGGGTTGCAGGTGCATGCATGACCGGCGGCGAAGACCTTTGTGCCGGCAGTGGTGGAGGTGCTTGTTGCGGCGGGGTCCAGCGGCAGGTCCATCATCAGCTCGTCCATGTTCTTGCGCACGAGCATGTCGCAGTCTAGCAGGACGACCCGGCTGTACGCGGTGAGAGAGAAGACGGTCAGCTTGGTCCATGTGTCTTCGAAACGCGGCTCGCTCGAATAGTCTCTTCGTTTTTGGGGACTTAGCCGAGGTACCCGTTGGAGGGGTATCCCTCGGGCGGCGATGGCGGCGCGACCCTCCTCGGGAAAGGAGTCTGTGTGAAGGGCGATGAAGGGATAAATTGTGTTTGAGGCTTCGAGGGAATGATGCAACGTAAGAAGCCCGGGAAGGTAACTCATATTTGTGATGAGACTAGCCCAGACTCGAGAAAGAGTCAACGTTGGTGAGGCTCCAGGTTTGGGAAGAGAACAATACCTTTGTCCGATTGGACCACCCGTTCGACTTGTGACATTTTCCTAGTCAATTGTTTTTGTGCCAGGCTTGAAAGATTTCTGGCAACAAAGATGAAAAGCACACCAAGGTATTATATGCAGTATACGTATCCAAGATTGAGTTCCAAAACAAGATAGTTTTGGTACCGAAACCAAGTTTCCGTGAGATAGGGTAGAAACAACGTTTCCGTAGCTCAAGTATAATAACAGGGCGCCAGCTGGCTACAGAAAGGGCCATTCAGCCGCGGAGCGACCGGAGAGCGACCGGAGAGCGACCAGTGTAGACGGAGCCCAATCAGAGACCCGTCCGGAATCACATCTTCTCCGGCCTCCGGATCTAGCCTATAATCACTAGCTTACTACTTAATTAGGCCTAGCTCTATTTCCACGTCTTCAACGGTTTTTCCACGGAAACCAGAGCAACGTTTTTTGTGACGGAAACGGTATGCATCGACCCCTAATCCAAGGCGTTCGTCTCTTGGTCCATGAGTCACCACTATCCCATACTATGTAGTGGGTGGCCGAGCTAAGATTGGCACTCGGCAATTTGCAAGTTGGCCACATGCGTCGTGGAACGGGAACACCGGGCCACTACCAGCGGCGTAAAGCTGGTCACGCGGGTTTACAAAAAACACAAACACCTTACAAGTACTACTAGTATAAGCCTATCATTTTCAACTATCATACCTTCCTACATATTATCAGAAATAATCTTTCCACTATGTTGCCCCATCCTATGTCAACGGTATCTTGTTCACCATCTTCCTTATGAGGCGGTACGGGTGCCGTAGCAGAGTCTCTGGTCTTGTGATCTTGTCCTCGACCCTCTCCATCGCGCCTTCGTTTGCGGCGATTCTCTCTTCTGAGTTATGCTCGGGCCGGTATAGTGCGTTTGCCCTCGTGTTTTTGTCGATTGCTCGTAAAAGCTCTACAACGGTGGCGTCAGCATGACATCGGACTGGGCCGGTCTCGAGTCTCTTGGTAAGCATTTCGCAGCCTGCTTAGGCCAATCTGCGGATGTGGTCGATATTGATGTCGAGCTCTGTGAAAAGGGTGTTGTCAGTAGTGGCATTGTGATTGCACCGGCCACTCTGCCTCTATCCCAGGATCCATCCGATGCCAAGGTCGGAATGTATCAGACCTACGCCATCAACACCATTGCCCCAATCAGACTTGCCCAGAGCGTCATTGAGTACTGGCTGCAGCCCGAACACCGGCATCTCGCTGGTAATGTTCTCTGGATCGCCAGCATGGCGGGCTATGTCCACGGTCTTATTACTCCGTTCTATTACTCGAGCAACTCTGCTGTTGTCAGCATGTGCAAGTCCTTGGGTTCCCTGGAAAAGATTGCTGGCATCAGCAATGTTGCCATCTGCCCCGGAGTCGTTGATGTATATTTGGGCTTCCCACAACACTTCATAATCTCGGAAGGCGAATGCTGATAGCCTTACATAGACCCCAATCTTTCTACCTTGGTATAGTTGAGAGCACGTACACGCCGATGATTTGATTCTGACCGTAGATGAGGTGGTCAATGTTGCCATGTCTGGTATCTGCGACCCCAGGTGCGGCGACGGTAACTTCATTGAAATCTTTTGCAGAGGAACGAAAGAGGTCCATGAAGTTTGCGTTCGGGATATGCCGTTGGAAAGCTTATATGACGCTGATGGCATGAAGGGCCTAGCGGCTGGAACGCACATTCTTTCCCAGTGCAGCAAGAAGATTTGGAAAACAAGTTGAAGGGGAGAGGCCGAGGGTTCTCCTCTAAAATTTAGAGGCGGCCATACTGCAACTGGACCAGGGTCCTTGTTGTACCGCATTTCATTGCTCAGGTTGAATGAGTAAGGGATTTGTCTCATTATGCCGACGAGATGATTCTTCGCGTATGGCAGAACCTGCCTGGCCTTGTAGAGCCTTGCACTGGTAATGTAGGCCAGAAAAGGAGCAATAATGTACGTGGCCCAGGCTGGTATGTTGCGATCGTAGGTAGTCTTAGCAGACCAGTGCCTACGACATCGGGCCAAGCTACGGGCCAAGCTACAAGCCATCGATGGCTCATCTGGTAATTTATTTCCTCCATTCGTGTACTTTAATGTAAACGAAAGGGTACCTCTCCAATTTGCTGATGCATCGTGTGATGGTGTCCTGTAGGCCATCCAGACGCGGCCATCAGATTGTTTAGGCTTCTGTTTGACAACCTACAAATTGTCCAACGTACTATCTGGCTTGCAATATTTCAGTCAGCATCTAGACTAAGTTACCCCACTTTCGCCGGATCTCGTTCAATGTACTCATGCAGAGGCCTACTATACTTTGTCAAAAGTACTTCCGCCGAACAGAACCTCTAGTTGTAGTCCCTCAGTTTCATGTTGAACCTGGATTTTTGGACACGGGCTACTCCGCCTTCCCTATACCGTCAAGCTTCTCCATGAAATCCCGCACCTCCGGGTCAAGCTGAAGCCCCTGCTGAAGCCCATCTCTGGTGGTATTCTCTATTTTCAGCCCCTTCAGAGACCGGGCGCGACTCATCGCTACATAGGCCTGTCCCTTTTCAAAGACGGAGCCCAGATCTACGATTACGCGATCCAGTGTCATGCCCTGGCTCTTGTGGATGGTCATGGCCCACCCTGGAGCGAGAGGTATCTGCACCCTCGACAACATGGAATAAAATCTGGGGCCTTTGTCACCTATCTCGTTGACAGTGCAATCTGGGCCGATGACGCGGCGTGTGCCATCGCTGAACTCGACCTCGGGAACTACATTGGAACAGAATAATTAGGCAAACATCACAAACTCAAAATACCTTTCCCTCTTCACAAGGTAAGGTGTCGTGTTACTCACACATGACAGGCGCGTTGCTCGCTTCCAGAAAATATTTTGTTTGGCGATATCTTTCCATGGCGCGGCGATACCCTTCAGGGTCTCCTTCGTAATTATGTCCCTGTGGCTCAGCAGGCGGATCGAGCTTAACACGCGGCCAAAAGTCACGAATGATGCCTTGACTGCCGTTGCAAAGCTTTGCGACTAGGTCTAACTGCGATTTCTCTTTGTAAGAAACTTGGTCCTCACTTCGGATCAAGGCGCGGGAAACCTACGTTTGCGAGTAGAATGACAGGCATGTTAATCTTGAGCTCTAAGCGGCTAGCATAACGGTGGTCTTTGAGGAAGTTGGACGCGCTCTCTGGTATTGTAAACATTGATATTGTAGGATCAAACCTCTGCGTCGGATGCCCAATCAGTATATCCCTATTGAGTGAGATTTGGCCTGTATGGATAATATGCGGTTCTGGGGGAGGAGAGAACTGACATCATCCACATCATATGTCTCGGGCTTATATCCATCGAGGCACCGATAGTTTATTGACTTGCCGGGCAGCCTTCGAAGTTCCGCTGCATTGCGCGCGTCGACTTGGTATCGAAGGCTGTATAATCGAGTCCCGTTCTCGACTTCAGTGCAATGTTCGAGAAGGGTGGTGATGTCGCTCTTATCGAGGATCTTGCCTAAGCGACACTTTTGCAGGATACCGACAAACTCTTCATCCTTCTGGCGATGGATCATCTTCAGATGCACGTACTTGAACCTGCATCTTTTCCACTCGACAGATTTGAATGCCCATTTGTCGTTATCCTGAAAGTTCTGGTGCCCTCGAGGACAGGAGTATAAAGTCGTCGTCTCCGACTTATCCCGCGCCATCTCTCTTTCACAGTCCGTGCAGTGCTGGAAAGGTCTGACAGGTGGTAACTGGCAAAAGTCGCCAACCACAATAATTTGAACACCCCCAAATGCGCCCCCAACATCCCCTTTGATCTGGTCTTCTTCTCGAACCTGTACTTCTCCAGGTCTTGGTTTTGCAGATATGCCTCGGACATGTCTCATAATGTCACCCAGTCGTTGAAAAAATCGGTTCTCAACCATGCTGATCTCATCAATAATGAGTACATCCGTTATGCGGAAACGCTTAAAGATGCGGTCGCCTCTTGACTTTTTTTTGATGAAGTCAAAGGTCTTCCTCATATTGTCAGGCACCCAACCAGCGTAATTGAACGCCGTCCTGCCATTGATATTGAGAGCAGCGAGGCCAGTAGGCGCGATTAGGTGGACTGTTTTCCTCGAGGCCTTGAAACTATTCTGAAGAGCTTTGACGAGGACGGATTTGCCGCATCCGCCGGAGCTACGAGCTCGACGAGTCAGCAACACAACGTCGCAGATTTATTACTTTTACAAAGGTGAGATTTCACAGAGTCGTCCGCACCAACACAATGAGCACATACCCAGTGATGAACAGGTTGTGACCAGCCATGGCGAGGTCCATTGCCCCTTGCTGTTCCTTGCAAAGAGGAGGCTCTCGAGGGTCTGGTACGGGCTCCAATTTGCCACTTTGAGGCTCTCCCGCGACTGCAGTGGTAGCGACGGGGTTTGCGGCGGCGCTGTTGGAGGCGGCAGGGGTGTGTTGAGGCGTGCGTTGATGTGTGGCTTGAGGTTGCTCTCGGAGTGACTGCTGAGGACGATGCGCTGCATTATGCATCTCGAGCTTTTGCTTAAGCCCATTGCGAAGAAGGGCCACCTGGCGTGTATTCACATCAGCCTTGAATAGCGCAAAGGGCAATGTCGGCTCACGGCATGATCGAACTCCTTGGTACTGGTGTCTGTATTGAAGTATTCAGCCCGGGGACCTGCTTTTTTTTTTTTTTTTTTGGTCATGTTTGAGAGGCAACTCACGGATAATGCCGTCCTTAAACCCTTGGCCCGAGAATCCTTTGACAGATCCCTGGACCTCGGGCCAGTTTGTAAATATGCCACATTTGAGTCCATTCCAAACTACATAGTACTTTCCCTTTTTGCCGTAAACTTGGCGGGGAACGCCCTTAATGTATCCTTCAATCAGACGCTCCACCTGGTGTTCGATTGACATTTGGGACGGGTTGGCGGAAGACCCGGGATCGACTTGCGGTTGATGGCCGGATGCGGCTTGAGGCTGGCCACCGGCTTCGCTGCTTGTCGTCAAGTCGATGTATACGGGCTCGGTTTGGGATCGTTGTCGCTTCGGTGTCGGCGCAGAGGACGAGCCGCCCGGCGCGTCTGTGCGCTTGGCGCTTGTGTCTGGGGACTCGTGAGAACATTAGCCACAGCGTGTCTCGAGTTATGGATATGGGCGGATAGATCTCGTTGAGTTCTACCTACGTGCTCCGTGTATGGAAGGCATTTCTTGCAGTCGTCCATCGGCATGATGGTGTGGTTTGGAGTTGGGAGATCGCACGTCATGTGCAAGGGAGCGAGCATCTTCGTCGTAATCGCAAAGACACAGCGTTGCGACCCTTTTTTTGCTGATCAGATTGCTTCCCACCTCCCCGCCGGCGCGGGCCATCCGTCCGATAGGGATTGTGGGGCCACAGGATCAACCATCGTACCACGGCCTCCCAGGTTCCTGTGAAATTACCTTAATCTTCGATAAGCCACAGGTGCCGATACGGTAACATGGAGAAAGAACAATCAATGCCGCCTCAGTTTACCAACAAAACCACCCGTCTAATGATAATTAACACTTTTCGGAACTTTGTAACGTCGACGGCCGTGGTTGGGTGAGTTTTGGCTCAGGGATCGGATGAACTAGCCTTGCAACGGCTAGGCAGGAAAGGAACCAACACACCACACACATAACCACCGCGGCTTGCTGCTTACGTTGTTTTCAACCAACTCAACGCCCTATTTCCGATTCCTGACATCCGTTCCAGTCTCCCCGCATGAAGCGAGTCAGCCACTAGCAGGGTCCCCATCCCGGGGCCCCGGACAACTCCCGAGCCTTCCCCAGTTCCAACGTCGTCGCCGGACACTTGTCCGCGCAAACCTGGCACGACTCGACGACTAACATCCCCGCCGCCGCAACGCCGCAAGCATCGTCGTCTCTTGGCGAATTGAACCTTGGAACATGGCGGGACCGCACCACTTTTTGAGCGGGGAGAAACAAGCTATGGCTGGAGTGGGGGAGCAGGCTTGTCTCGAATCAGACCAGCACTGGCGTTATGGATCCCTGGACCCATTGACTACCACAACATGACCCCCACCTATGCCTTTTGGGTCGTGGATTCATGGGGCACCTAAAGGTGTCAAGGTGGAGATATTTGGCATCGTGGGCCATTCGCGGGGTGGGTGAACTCAGCTGTGTCTGCGCGACGGGTCCATCTCAAGGCCCATGGCATTGGGGAAATATTGGATTGACCCAGGTCATCCCAATCTCTCATGCGCCATGCCCTTCCTTTCTAGCGTTGATACTCACCAGTCATCATCACCATGGTTGTGAGCGGTACGGAGGTCGCTAAGAATAACACCAAAGACTCGTGTTGGGTCGTCGTGCACGGCCAAGTATGGGACGTAACAGGCACGTTCAAGCTCTGCTACTCATCTTCGGTTCCCCGACTGACATCACATCAGACTTCCTGGATGAGCACCCAGGTGGCGCAAAGCTCATCATCAAATGCGCCGGCCGAGACGCAACAAAAGACTACGACTCCATACACAACCCAGACCTCATCACCGAAACCCTATCACCAGACCGGTGCCTAGGTCCTGTAGACCCTGCAACTCTGCCAGGTCCGCAAGATGTCTCGTCGAACTTCCCCGAAAAGCAAAAGCCAGCTTTTCCGCCTCTAGGCGCCATCATCAACGCGGACGACTTTGAAAAGGTCGCGGAAAGATACCTCTCGCCCATGGGCTGGGCGTATTACTATTCGGGCGCAGAAGACGAACAAAGCCTCCACGACGCGCGACGTATCTTCCGCAGGCTCGCCCTACGCCCACGGATCCTCCGCAATGTCGACTCCGTCTCCACCTCCACTAACATCCTTGGCCTCCCTTCCTCCCTACCCTTCTACGTCTCGCCCACGGGACAGGCTAAATACGCCCATCCCGAAGCCGAGACGCTGCTCTCGATGGCGGCGGGCAAGGAAGGGATCATGTACTGCATGCCCACCAAGCCAAGCGCCCCGGTCGAGTCCATCTTCGGCGCCAGGGTCGACGAGACGCAGCCGCTATTCTTCCAGTTGTACGTTGACCGGAATCGGGAGAAAGCGCAGGCTATGATTCGGAAGGCGGAGAGGTTGGGCGCGAGGGCGATTTTCGTAACGGTCGATTCGCCTGTCATTGGCAAGCGCGAGCGGGATGAGAGGTTGACTGCCGGCGATGAGCCCCTTTCGGAGCCCAGCGGCGTGGCTAAGACAACGGCTTCTGGCTTGCTGAATGCGGGTTTGACGTGGGCCGATCTTAAATGGATCAGAGAAACGACCTCGTTACCGATTGTCATCAAGGGGATCCAATCGGTCGAGGACGCGGTCATGGCTCACGGGCACGGCGTGGACGGCATCGTGCTGTCGAACCACGGCGGGAGGTCCCAGGACACGGCGCAGGCACCCATGCTGACGCTGCTCGAGATTCGAAGATATGCGCCGCACCTGCTCTCTCAAGAGACTAGAGCTAAGTTCCAGGTGTTTGTCGACGGTGGCGTACGACGCGGTACGGACGTTCTCAAGGCCATTGCGCTTGGTGCCACGGCCGTTGGCATCGGTCGACCGTTCTTATACTCAATGACGGCTGGCTATGGCGAGGCTGGCGTGAAACGACTGGTGCAAATCCTGAGGCATGAGCTGCAGACTAACATGGCGCTTGTGGGTGCCACGAGTGTGGAAGAAATTGTCCCTGAGATGGTTAATAGCGAACGTGCTGAAAAGGAGGTTACGGGGAGAGTGAAGTTATAGACTAGACCAGTCCGAGGAACAAGCGTCATTTTAGAATACAGTCACAACTTCTACTTCTCTGTACCAAGGAGCTGCTTGTTTGTCGTGAATGCAATCAATTGCGAGTCTCCCCCCAAGCTTTATTTATTGCAGAGCTCGCCCGAGTGACAGCATTTCATTTTTCATGGCATGGTACGTATGGACAGACACTCAGATGGCTGGGCTATCCTCAATCGTGATGGAGACGGCTGAGAAATCGCTGCGAGAACGAGCCAGTCCATGGGCAAAGTATTTGATCCGGAATAAGCGAGAACTTATCGATTCCCCGGTGGATATCAGCGTCAACAGAAAGTGAAGATCAAACCCATCCTCAAGACGAAACTAGCCACAGTACATTGCCTCACGAGAACCTCAAATGAGATATCTAAACCCTCCAGCAATTTGCGCCTGCGTCGGCCCATGCTTCCCCACGTCCTCGCCCCGGTCCAACTTGGCATTCAACCTCCTCAACCAGATCCTCGTCACCGTAGCGAACCCAATCGCCAGCCCCGTCGCCGCGATATTCACAATAAACGCCGTCACGTACCGCGGCGCGCCGTAGTACAGATAACTGCCCCAGATATTCGGCGTGTTGCACATGGCGTTGATCAGCGCGATGGCGCTCGCCCGCTTCACAGACGGCTGCGCCAGGCTGCCCGTGATCCACGACAGCACCACCACGGCGGCGGCGTAGAAGGATCCCGGGAGGAGCATCATGGCGACGTAGCGCGCGGCTGTGCTGGTGGTGGAGACGGCGATGATGTTGGCGACGAGGGTGACGCACAAGGGGATGACGATGTGGAGGAAGCGTTCTTGCTTGCGGTCCGAGTGGAAGCCGTTCAGGAGCATTGTGATGACGCAGAGGAGGAAGGGTGGCGCGGTGAGGGCATAGGTCATTGTGCGGGAGAAGCCGAGGCCGCCAACGACGGAGGGGAAGAAGTTTGCGACGGCGCCGACAATGTAGGTCTATTGTAGTCCGGATCGGTTAGAAAAATTGCCCATAGGCTTGCTCCCTGACAAGGATCTGCGAAGGGATCAGACGCGTGAAGTATGCGTGCGACTTACTGAGTAGAGGACACCCATGAGCAACCAGGTCTTTGGGTCCGTGACGGCCATCATGAAGCCCTTGAAGGCGGTGACTTCGGTCGAGTCATCTTCCTGGCCCTGGTCCGCGGCGAAGTTGTACTGCACCCATTCGCACTCCAACTGGGTCAGAGTGGGAATCTTCTTGTTGGAGTTGGGCAATATGCAGGCAAACGGGATGGCCAGACCGACGGTGATGACGCCTTCGACAAGGAACAGCTACAGCAATCAGGGTCAGATCCAGACATGCAACAATCAACATGAATTCGGCAAGGAAAGACAGAATCTTACCCAGCGCCAGCCCGCTAGCCCATGAGCACCATCGAGAGTCAGGATCCCGATGGCAAAAAGACCGCCAAAAGCATTACCCAGCTGCGAACCGGAGTAGAGGATGGCGGTGCGCAAAGCAAACTGCTTCCGGTTACTAAGTAGACACATGTTAAACATGCCAGGAATCAACGGCACGTGGAGACAGAGAATGACTGACTAGAACAGGGACAAAAAGTAGAGCGCGCCAGGGAAGAAGATGGCCTCGACGAAGCCGAGGAAGAAGCGCGCCATCAAGAGACCCTCGTAGTTGTGCACCACGGCCATGAGGGAGGAGATGACGCCCCAGGCCGCCATGCCGCAGCAGATGTACGCACCAGGCCACTTGATCTTGCCGACAATCATGTTGGAGGGGACCTGCATGAGGACTGCGAAGATTACATGTCAGAAAGGGCCAAAGACGGCATTTCTTTGACGAAGGAAATTGGAAAAAGAGGGCACGGGATGGGGCCTTACTGTAGCCTACAAAGAGAATGCTGACTGTGGTCTGGTATTCGACTTGGCTTAGATTTAAGTCTGTGGTGATGTCGGCCAGCTTTGCGCTGGCAATGTTTTGGCGGTCGAGGTAGTTGACTTCCACAATGTTAGACGTGTCCTCGAGGAGAAGATATCTACAGAGGAGGCAGGGTTCACTTACGGATGTACATGATAACCATGATGGGCATAATTACCACGTCCATCTTCAAAGTCGCCTTCTTGCCGATCCTCTCGTATTCCTCCTGACTTAAAGCCGCCAGGCTGGCGGGCATGACGAGGTTGCCACCATGATGGCTCAACTTATCGGCATTGACGTCCTCGACCTGCTGTGAAGACCGTTCTGTCTTGTCCACGTCCATGGCTTCGTATCGCTGGGAGACTGGGGAAACTTGTTTTGCTTTCCTTCCCTGTTGTCCAGGCAAGAGCGATGGAGAGAGAGGCAAAAATGGTGATGAGGTAGAAGACGAGAACAATCTTACACAGGCCAAGCCTGCAGAAGCACGGGAAGGGTCCTGAACTTAATCTCCTTTCCCCGGAACCACCCAACATTGAAGGAACCTCCCATTCCTTTTCCTCGTCCCACAATCATCTTCTTCCCTACCCTTTCCCCCATCCTGAAAACAATGTGGAGAACCGCCCAAACGCGGGGAAACGCCCCATGGGGTAGGACCTAACTTCCAACGATGCCTTGGTTCCTTGCTAGGTCAGCCTTCCTTGCCCCATCCCCCAACATCAGCCGACTTCTCGTCGGACCGCCCCCACCTTTCAGCGCAGCGGCATTCGGTCCGGCATCAGGGCAGAAGAAATCTGGGCATTCCTGGACACACAGGGTCAGGGATGTGTGCGTAAATATGTGGGGGTCAGATGTTGGGGTAACCCTCTCTGGCCGTCGGGGGGATAGTGGACGTCCAAGCCTTACACTCCTGGGACTACTTTTTGTATATGTGAGGCATTCATCTAGAATTGGAGGTACTCGCTTGACGCGGACTACACATCGGTTCAGAGACTCATCTCTACATTCTTGCCGAAAACACCACTGATCACAAAAGAAAAAGAGAACATGGATGACAAAACAGACCTCACATCAGTTATTGGCCTTCGAGGTCCTTGCTCCACTGGGGCCATCATCATTCCACCCGTTCTCGTCTATGACCCCCACCTCGGCATACCTTTTCCAGCATCCAGGAATCGCTGACCGCCTGGGCAGCATCCCTCCCTTGGGCGCCACCACCACGGCAGCGGGATTAAGTGAGCCAAGAAGTAGCACGCCGGCGACGTCAAAAGGCGGTAAGAAAGCAAAATGAACAAGAAAGAAGGGTAAAAATCAAAAGATTTGAAAAGACGGCGGCCGGGAAAGTAACCCAATGTAGAAAGAAAGGACGGACAGTTGCCGTTGTCGGTCTCATGATGCCTGTGGTTCCTGCAATACCCAGATATGTAGTCTGGGATCAACTGTCCATCGCCTAAACCCCATAGTCTCGGCAAGTTTATTTATCCCCATTCACACGCCAAGCCTATGATGCGTTCGCTTGCTCATATGCTACATTTATTCGTAATCGTCAACCACGGAAGAAAACAAGAAGCGTTTGATCACTCCAGTCTACCGCCTTGATTCTGAGCTTGTCAACAGTCCAAGCCGCATCAATCCGTCTTGCATACAGTTTGGGATCCTCATGGTGATGTTTTGTCACGAAATAAGGCCTGGCATCAGCACAGACGAAGACATCTGCTACGTGCTTTCTCATTTGGCCCTCACTAGCACCCAGTATATAGACTTGACCTTTTCCTGTGTTTACTTTAAGTTAACAAATACCTCTTAATACCCACTTCATATGCCTTTGCTCTGTGCTCTAACTCTTGGCATTTGTGAAGGGCGGCGTACACCACCTCCCTACCTAGTTTCGTAGACTCGTAGCTGGGGCGCAGCGGCGGCGGCTCTTGATATTGATATTGATATTCTGACTAATCGTGGTGAGTGCTTACATCGACGGGTCTCGGTGCCGGAGCTCCGAGCAGGAGACTCGGGTCCGGTCGACACGACGCTCTCATTGGTCAAATCAAGTTGAGTCAACAGGGAGCCTCCTAGATGGGCAGAAACAACCTCATAGGTAGACAGCAAACTACAGGATGGAAACCGCGGGAGTAGTCCTGACATGCCGATAATAAATACCTCTACTCCACGGGCTTATGACGGCTCCTTTGAGGCTCTGCGGTGCATTCTACGACCCGAGAACAGAGGAGACAACTGGTGATAAGGCAGATAATAGACTTGAACACAGTCACAGTGTTGCCCTCCGGAACCTCTAGAAAGCAACCATTAAAGAAGGCATTAATGACATCATAGCAGGTCATTGGGATGATCTGATTACACTAGACGCTGTAGGTGAGATATCCTGAGAGAATGTCCCAGGGGCGTCGATTTCTACACCACTTAGATCGTGCATCCTACATGTGTCTTGCATCCTACATGTGTCTTGCACTTATGGAACGACATTTCTGAACGAGCGAGAAAGTGATAGTGCATAGTCTATTGACCATGGCAAATAAAGTGTAAATTTATAAAATGGTACAGGAGAATGGAAAGAACAATCAAATGAGAACAATCAGATGCAGATGATACTGCCTTAGAATACCATCTCAGCAAAACCCAGACACATCCACCCTTTATCACCCCATCCCTTGCCCGATGCAAGCGGTACTAGACAGAGCATATGCTGGGCAATATTGACTGTCGGGCGGATCAGTGGCGAAGCTTAGCGCAACCGACAGTAGAATTTGCGCTGGGAGTAGCAGAATGAGTAGCGGAACGCGTAGCAGAGCGAGTAGAAGTGATCAGGGTCGTCGAAGGCGGGTGGGTAGGGACGGTCGGCACAGAAGCCGCGGTGCTGTTGACGCCGCTCGATCCGCCGGTCCACACAGCAGGGCCGGGCATCGGGAAGGGCTTGTAGCCGCCGTAGAGGCTGAAGCTCACGTAGGGATCGGTGTACTTGTACGCGCCCGGGAACTTGACCAGCGGGCCGGGGGTGCCGTTGCCGCCTCCTGTGATGTTGATCTGGACGCAAGACACAAAGTGCTCAGGCTCATGGTCGAACGACTTGTGGACGCCTGAAGGGGTTTTCGTTAGACAGCCAGCACACACGCGTCATGAGTGATGTCCATGCAAAAAAATATCTTACCAATGTGCTCAAAGCGCAGGAGGTACTCTCCGGAGGGCGTATCCTTGGGGATGGTAGCGGTGAGAGAGCTCTTGGCCCAGGAACACCATGCGCCCTGGGTGAAGTCGGCACCTTGGTTGCAAACGCCCGTGTCGCCAATCTTGAACCAGTCGCCTGAGCCATCGTAGTCCTTCACGTTGCCATTGGGGGCTTTTGACAAGTAGTACAGGGCGGGTCCTAGAGATGGCCATAGAGGTTAGTCGCTGTGCGGCGGCAGGGAAACACCAGGCGGCACGGCGGCGGTGGTGGGGTTCACGAACCAGGGTGCGCAATGGTACCGCTAACACCAAGCTGTACGGTAACGTCGCTCCCCGCAGTCACGTCGAGGACCTGCGTCTTGGCGGCGTTGGTGAAGGCTCCCTGGTTGCATCTGCTGTCCGGGCCGTCAATGTAAGAGTTGTCCCGGATGTCGGCAGCCGGATTTTCTGAGAATTTAATCGGGTTGTACTTGGTGGGACGAGTGAAGTCTCGAATGTACTGGAAGGACTTCCCGGCAGTACCGCCTTGAACCACGGAATCGAAGAAGTAATGAGCGGACGCCACCTGGGCAACAGCCAAGACATTAATGGCAGAGAACCTCATGATGACAGAATTTGCTTCCCCGTATAGAATAAGATGGATTCTAGTAATAGGGCCAAAGAGGGAACAGAAGTAGAATGAGAAACAAATGAGGTGAATGATTCGAACGATCACGGTGGCCAAAGACAGGAAATGCACCCTTCTTCTAGTATCTCATCTCAAAGATCGTCGGCCGTAGGTCCAGCGGCCTACAACTCACATTTTCCACTGCAATGTCCAGGTGCTGGTAGCCGATGTTTCAGACGAAGTGGGCTAGTGGTGATGCCGCGGAGCCCGTCATTCAGTCTAGTCGCTTTCCCGCTGGTTTGTATGGACCTACAGTTGTCACGGATGAGGATCTCTACGTTCATTATACCACTTACCTTGGGCCACGGACTAAAGGAAGTTGATTCAAGCGCAGAAATTGCCTGTTGCATTCTGCAGATACCGGTAGACAATGGAACAGACATCGCCTAGCCCCTGAGCGGCAGATTCACTTTACTTGACTACCTGGTAGGTACCCAAAGACAGACCGGCAGCTAGCTATGCGAGGAGTTCGGGCCAACCCGAGGTAAGGTTGATTGCGTCTCCCTGGCTCCCCTAGTACGCCACCACGCCTTAGTCACTGATTATCCGAGCCCAGCTAGAACCCCAAATATATTATCCCGACTCCTTAATTCCGGGTCCACGGCGCACACCCACGCCACCAACATTCCAACCGCCAAAGAACCACCGTGATCATGAACCTTTACTGGTTGCTATTGCGCCTTCGCTGGCCGCCATTGCATACGAGGAGATGCGAGGCCTTCGCGTTCATCGGCATGTCTGGAAATGCTTCTAATATATTAGTTCCCCAGCACTTTGGCAGCTGTCAAATTTCTTGGCGCGCAGAGCTAACCCACTCACTCCCAATTTCGTTTCGTTCCATTCTTAATTCATCTCCCTCTTTCCCGCGCTTGATTGGTTGATCCAATGGCCCCCTTCACTAGTACGCTACTTGGTGTTGCCGGCCTAGGTGTCTTGGCACTGGGTCAGGTAACGGTCGATGCCACCTCCAAGTTGCAAAGAATCGACGGCTTTGGCTTCTCTCAGGCTTTCGGCCGTGCCAAAGAGTTCCAGAACGCGCCTGCGGCTCTTCAGAAGCAGGCGCTTGATCTGCTCTTCAGCCCCACCACCGGTGCCGGGTTCAGCATCATCCGCAACCGCATCGGTTCCGGCGGCCAAGGCGACAGTATTCTTCCCACCAGTCCTGGGTCGCCTTCAGGCACGCCGGCTTATACCTGGGACGACGAGGACAGTGGCCAGGTTTGGTTCACGAAGCAGGCCGTCAGCTATGGCGTCAATCAAATCTACGCCGATGCTTGGAGTGCTCCTGGATTCATGAAGACCAGTGGCAACGACGCGACGGCGGGGTGAGTTGCTCGAACGCAAGCAGTCTACTTTGGCAGCCACTTACTAACACCCTCTCAGCTATCTGTGCGGCACAACCGGTCACACTTGCCCCTCTGGCGATTGGCGACAGGCCTACGCCGATTTCCTTGTGCAGTATGTCAAGTACTACCAACAAGCCGGTCTAAACGTAACCCAACTCGGCTTTCTCAACGAGCCCGACTACTCGTGAGTATCAGAACCCTCCCAATTCCAACTAGATACGAAAGCTCATCACCGTCCAGGCCCGGGTATTCCCAAATGCAAATCAGCCCCAATGCCCAGGAAGCCATCTCTTTCATCCCCATTCTCTCCAAGGCTGTCCAATCTGCCGGTCTCAAGACCGCCATAACCTGCTGTGACGCAGTCGGCTGGGGCTCCACCGTCAAGTACACCAACGCCCTCGTCGCCGCCGGCATGGAGTCCTACCTGGGCCTCATCACCTCGCACACCTACTCGGGCGACGCCAACACCCCCCTCAACACCACGCTGACCTCGTGGGTCTCCGAATCCGGCATCACGACGCCCTTTGACCTGACGTGGTACGAGAACGGCGGCGCTAGCGAGGGCATGACCTGGGCCAACAAGATCGCCGTCGGCATCATCAACGCGAAGCTGTCCGCCTACCTCTACTGGGAGGGCTTCGAACAGAATCAGCTGCAGTCCGACTCCCACCTCGTCGACACCCAGAACGGCACGACCGCGACGCCTTCGGCCAACTTTTGGGCGTTTGCCATGTGGTCGCGGTACATCCGCCCCGGCGCGCAGAGATTGCAGACCTCGGGCATGGTGGCGGCCGATGTCTTGACGGCGGCAGTCCAGAACAAGGATGGGTCTGTTGTGGTTGTGTTCACGAACAATGGCAGCGCTGCTCAGAATGCCAGCGTGTCGTTGACAGGTTTCACACCCGAGGCTGCGAGCGCATGGGTCACTGACAATACTCACAAGTTCGTTTCCACGGAGGTTAGCATCTCGTGCTCGGGTGTCTCCGTCTCAATCCCATCCAAGGGTGTCGTCACCGTCAAGTTGACTTGATGGGAGCTGATCTTACAAGTCACAAAACGCCCATCATATTCGCAAAGTCTGCCGCTCATCTTTTCACGTGGTCAATCTTTTTACTCAGTACATATCAGACTCGGTCCTTTCCTTCATTCACACTTGGGCAATGCAAGCTGCGTTCTACCCACCTTGTTTTCCTTTTGCTGTGTGCTCTAACACGGTTTCATTAGAAGTTTTCCATGTAATAAAGCGATATGCTCAATCGCTGGCCACTTTGCTGTCCATCATTTCTAGCTAGGAGCGTAATAATCAAGGTGCTACAGGCTCATAATCCATATTTATTATCAGAGCAGATTGTGATACTCTAGAGCCTGAAGTAAACCTTTCCAGTGGTGTGTGTCGAGTCTCGAAAAATGGGAAGCTTGTCTGGTGCTCACTTGGCGAGAGTCTAATCAGCCGCCGACCAATTTGTGAAGGAAACTATCAAAGTCCGCAAAATCGCCATCAATAAGATGATAGAGTCTTCTGGCAAGTGTCAAAAGCCCCGGGAGGAATGTAGCTCGCATAGAGGCGCGAAGGGTTAGTTTCGCTAGTAGTCTGGCGGCTATTTTGGCCCGAGCCGTCATGCACGTGTGTCTCTGCAAGCTAAGAAATAAGACAGTCGTAGTAGTAAGCGGCTAACGCACGCATGCGGCCGTCACAGAGAGGCTTGGAGTGGGCCTCCATGTGTAGTTGCAATATGCTTACGAATTGGCACCTGTCTATCGCTAAGATGCGGATATAATTGTGGAATGCGGATAAACTATATGTGCATGACGACTCGGGTTAAATCCGTTTTCGTCTTGAACCGATGCATGCTAATCAAACCCAGTAATCGTGGCCTCAACATCTTCACCCGGCAATTCTTGGACAGCAATACCGCGAAAGGCACTGATGTGTTATCACAGTGCGTGCGTTGGGAAGCACGTGGGAACGATCTCGCCTCACTTTTGACTACATCTAGGCGACCCAAGGAGCACATTTCAGAAGCACCCACTCTTTGCTTCCATCCTTGATCATGCCAATTTTAAAGCTGACAGGCTCCAATTAGCCGCCATGCACGACTGGGTCGATGATGAGCCGAATGATCTGCATCAGGTGGCCGATATCCACAACTGGCTGTAGATCGCAGGCCTGTCATTGCCGCTGTATCCGCTCCACCACCAGCATCTCCTGAACCGCAAGATTATGATCACTTAGCAAATAGAACATGCCCTTCGTGTGGACAACAGAACGTGTCTTCATGAGGTCTTTGCCTCACTGGCTACTCAAGCCGTATTACTTCTGGACGAGTACGTTATCACGCAGTACGTATGTCCAACACAATAAACCTATCTCTACAACTGTATTGGTCGACGAGACCGCGCTCCCAGCCTTCCCTTTTCGTACGCGGCCTTCACCGTTCGGGGGCGATTTCAACATTGCCCAGGAGATGTACCTTAATTCCAAAGGGTAACAGTTGCAAGGGGTTGGCGTGGAGGACAGCCATGCGAGAACCTTTGGGTACATCACCCATCGACCCGTAGAACGCCCCGCGTTTCCATTGCTGGGGAGCTCCGCTTCAGCCGGCTCAACCAGATCTGCTTGTCCTGAAACAATATACCTATCACTCCACAGCTGCATATTTCACCAGAACCAGTGCGGCTCAATCTTCTGCAACAAGTGGTTGGTAAAGAGTGGGAGACATCAGGGGCAAGGATAATGTCCGAGGTGGTGTCATAGGTGGCACCGCGTCGGTTAAGTTGCAGCTCCCTTGTTCAGCAATCGGTTGGCCCCGGCCTCCTCGTCTGAGCAGTGCAATGGGGTCCGAAGCTGCCAACGTCTCCACGACAGAACTCGTGGCCCGTGGGGGTTACGCAGGCCCGACGACCTGCGGCTCGCTTACGCTTGTATGGGGCTGTGTTGTCAAAATCTTCGCCTACATGTGGACTGTGCTATCTATCAGCGTTCCTAGACGATAAGAGAGTGTAACATCGATAATTCTCCGGAAATTGAAGTGGGTAGCTATTAATGTTTTGTTTCTGGAGTTCATCTTTTGTTAAGGGTGTTTCCGGCTTGCGGCCTGTATTCGAGAAGCTTCGTGGGTTCGATGACAGCGAACAAGAGAAAGAGCCGGAGAACAATCGACTACTCCGGATATGGACTGTGTCTGGTGAGGGCAGCCACGAGTGGTCCTGGAGTTTGAGTAATTACCAGCTGTGGGCGCACTGGCCAAGAAGTGGATGGCAAGGCCAATTCCTAAGCTTACCTATGGAAGGGAAGGCAGCCGGAGTAACACCCGCAACCCTCTAGCAAAGTAGTTCGGTCTTGGAGGGAGACTCAAAGTTCCACGCAAGACAATGTGAGCCGCCAAAGCCAAGAGAGGAGATGGCCATGAGGATTAATAAGAGGGGACTATCGCCCTTCATCTACTCGAGGTCACTTGGAACTTTTTCTAACCTGTTATCGACTCATTCATCCTCTGTTCTTGCTTTCGTTGGTGACCGCAGGCGGGCGGAGCATGAATTATTGTGTCTAGGCCTGAGGCCCCTCGTAATCTAGGAAAGGAGCACACAAAACTGGCGCCGGGAGGACGGTGGCGTAGGAAATGTCTTTTGGTCTCCGCTAGTTGGCCATATAGCTACAGATAGCCTTGACAGCAAATGAAATCGAAGCAGTCTCAAGCTGGGTAATTGGAAAATGTATAATACAGCGAACTCATCAGACTTAGAATGAGCCACGAGACCTGAGCAATAACGATTTCTTTCAAGACCTAATCTGTCTCGCTTTTGCTTCCGTACCTAGGATGAGGTGATTGAAAAAATTGAGTTTGTTTTCGCCCATGAAATTATCATCGCGCAGTCAGAATGTATGCCGTACAAACTATAGCCCGATGAGTAGCAGTACTGAATATCCCCCATCTGAGCATAGTAGGAGTGTATTACAGTCCGTTTCTGAACGGTTCACTATCGAATCGGCAAGGCTTCCTCTCGCGTCTGGGATTGGCCAGCTTCTCTGCCTGCTCTTTGAGGTGCCATCTCGGTCTGGTGGGGCTCTCGTGGCTTCTTTTGGTTGAATAAAAGAGTTCCCGTGTTTGTGTGCCTATGGCCATCGCGATCAGGCTGAGATTCAACTTTAATATCGCTCTAACGATCATATGGCTTGGCCTCGGAATGAAGGAAAGTATGAAATTTCGAAATTCGTCGAAGAAACGGCTTTTAGTTTGAAGTTTGTCGCGGAGGCGTCAGTCCTGATAGACGATATAGCCACTAGCTACACCGACAATCAGCATGTATCAACCCTCATACGCAAGCTTGAACAGCTGAACGGGTGGCAGACAAGTATTTGGGAGCACGTCACGAATTTCGAGTGGAAGGAGTGAAGTATTAAAGAAAAACAGTGTCGTGTAAGTAATCCGACGGGATTGAAAACCTGGAAGAGGAAACCATCGCCCGAAGCAGTGAAAAAGCACAAAATGTCCAAATTTGTATAGTCTCTAATGATAGATAATTCATATTTTGCAGATGTAATAGCTAAATTCGCAAGTACTAGGGAGAAAGCTTGACAATCGACTCCATATGCGGCCCGCAGTTGGCGTAGTACATAGTTCAAAGAGGTTATATGGTGTATCAAATTTCCAGAAGAAGGGGGTGCTTTAATCTTGGCAAGAATGTGAGGATTTTATCAGAGAAAACGTAGCGGCTCCGTCTCGGATATCCCTTACCAAAGTTGCACCGTCTTTATACTATGAGCTTGTAACGAGACGCAGAAGAACTTCCTAGAGAAGAAAGGTGTCGAGAAGTGCTCAACAAAGTATCACTAATCCTGACCACCGTCAGCAGCTTCATCTACACAGTTGCTCACTTGAATATCCTCTTCCCCCTTTTCACATATCTTAAAAAGACACCGGCAGATTTGTACAGGATAGCACGGTTCAACTTCCTGCCGAATTTCTCTTGAACGCAACAACGCGGCCTTATGGGAAGGCTATCCGGGCGTGTCGATAATTTAGACTCAAAAAATTCTGATCAAGCAAATGATATCGGCTACACGATGGGAAAGGATTCAACGGGGAACCAGAGCCTATTGAACGCTCAGTGTGAGCAAAAGAAGAGAGATTATATTCGTATAGGCGCTGTTGCGGAGTCCCTCCAATCTATTTTTGGCTCCATGTAGAGACGCATGAGAGACGTTCAAAGGGCGATGACGTTGGAAATCTTAAAATGGTCTGATAATCATCTCCGTAAGGCTCAAAATAAAGTACTTGCGTTACGGTCGCATGGCTCGCCAATCCCAGTGCCAACAACCTAATCTTACAGCTCGATTAGATACCTTGAGCGACTGCTAGTAAATGGCGTATGCCAATTTGCGAGGTGAAGTTGTGCAAGACGACCATCACTCAGATCACCGCTTCTTCGTTATCACCGCCATCCAGCCCCCCTCCCCCAAACCTCAGTACCCTTTCCTTTATGGGAGAAACTTTTCAGATACTATAACGATCCTAGCAAACATACCAGTTATATCCCGCAGCTCTGGGTACGTATTATAGACTGTAAATGACTCACTAAGGACGACGATAGTGTAGTTGTCAATTGGCAGCAGTTCATCGTCCTTCTTTGGCACGTCGATATCCGTTTGATGATCACCGAGTTGGGTATGGCACTTGTGATGGCTAGTAACTCAGCCTCACCCTCATAATCTTCTATATTCCCCATGAGATCAGCAAGTTGCGTACAATGGCAGAGTCAGTCGCGGATACGGAAGAGCGTACATATGCGCTTGATGTGGGCGACGCTAAAGAGACCCCACATGGCTCTTTGATAAGACGACAACTCACATTAAACAACTCAAAATAATCCGAAGACTTCTCAGTGCAACTAAGAGAAGCATGATCTTAGTGTCAAGGGTTGCCGAGGACTAAAGGTACTGTTTGTGTGAGCAGATGATCTCTATAAGGCTTGCGGGCTGGATACCAATGTAGATTGTCATGATAGAAAACACGAGCAATTCCGCTAGCTTAGTTGCTCGGTGTTCTTTCACTGACCTCGTCGCATCGCTGAGGGGATCTCTTAAACAAATGCCGAATTTTCCAATAGTCGGGCTTATCACTGCGGCGAAAGATATGCGAGGTGTAACGCTGATGAGAGATTGGGCTTCACATCAAATAATCTCACGCAAGTCCTAACCCAACTGTATTCAGACGCCAGGATTCCCGCAAAAGAACATCTTTCACCACTGTGAAACGCAGTAAACTTACGAACGGGATGAAGAAGCTCAAGGTTCGATAGACTCATTCACCTTACAGATTTCTAGAGGCGAGAGGACTGGGCTCAGTATTAGCGAAGTTGGTACGAAGCCACAAGCTGTCCCTCGCGTATCAAAAGTTCTGCAGGCTTATTTTTGTTCATTTAACTACATTCATCATCTTAGTTGCGTTAGTCGCACGAAACTCCTGGGCTCGGGCATGGAGGAGACCAGATCACGGTCTGCTGGTTGCTGAAAGGGGCGGCGGCGTCCGCACCCGAGTACGTCGAACTCAGGGTGCCATCGGGGGTCATGAGTATTCTATTGAGGTGAAAGCGTAGACATGCAAAACTCCGCGTAGAGTATCCATATCTCATCCGGCGTCCTAATCATGGCACAACCTGCATGTTATCACGCTACATATCACGCCCAGTACACTGTCTGTTCGGTCTAGTAAGGCAAGAGACCAAGTTTGATGTACCTTGGTTTAAGAAGTCTTTGGTCGTTCTGTTTTTCTCCTTTTGTTACTGCATTAACATTTCATTCAAGAGGCATTCCTCATTACCGGAGTCTATGGCGGCATAGACACAGAAGTCGTTAAGGTTTCTAACCAAAAGACTGCCCAGGTATGGCTAGCAGCTCGCAGCCAAACCAAAACCCAAGCTGTGGTAGACAAGGTCAAAACCCCGGGTTCAGTGGAGAAAGAATATTTCTGAAATTTGGACTCTATGACCTGGCCACTATTAATGCATCAATACAGTAGCTTTTGTACGGAGAGAGCCGTCTCGATGTGCATCAAACAACGCCGGTATGACGGTCCCCCATCAAGATTCCAACCCTGTGCAGCAATAAGGGCTACTTTTGGGCATTTCAACATTGCCTACCGCGTCTTGGGAAGACTCCTAACGCGCCTCGTACAGTAGAGCGCAAAGAAGGCGCAACAAGACCCAGTGAGTGTCATTTGGGTGTCATTCAACGCTGCTAACGGCGCACCTCGAACAGCCATCGGCAGCTCCAATATGTACTTACGAAAGGACGAAGGCATTTGATCCAGTTACTCAAGATGGAAGGCGGAGAGTGCTCTATAAGCGGTAGAACTTGCTCGTCGAGCGGTTCGTGGGGGAGAAAACTAGAGTCCGCAGACTAGAGCTCTTCTTGAGCAACCTGATCTCACGATGCCTTCACATACGACCATACCCATTGGAAAACTCGGGATCCCGTCCGCTCTCCCATAGATAAGCTAATGAGGGCCGGATTAGTAGTTGGGTCGGTGACGACCAGCGAATACCTGGTGTTGTATGTTTTTGAATCTGTTTTCTCCATTTTGGTGGAGCGAAAGAAAAGCGGAATCGTCAGATAACACTGGCCCCGGCCCCGGCTGAAAGTGCCAGAGTGTGTCTAATCATCTTGCTCTGATAGCCATAGATCTCGGTAGCTCTATTACCGATTCACAGCAACACATGCCAAAATCCCAATTGGAAACGTGTGTAAGTTGCAATCTTGCATGGCAGCGGAAGAAATCGCTCGCATGGCATGGAAGCTCATCTCATGCCCACCATTGAGCAAAGCACTTTGCCTATACCGAGCCGTTGCTGGGTCAGGCCAGCCTGAGTCCATCACTATGGAAGGTAATGGCGGCTGGGGTATGTAGATAAGCATTGACATCATGTAAAGACATCGCTGATTGAAACAACAGTATACTGAATCACCATCCAGGAAGAAAGTAAATGCTCGAAAAGATCTCCTCGATCCTTATTTAGCTTGCCAACATTGGGAATGGGTTGACGCCCAGATCCAGCCTTATTTGGAGACTTTGTAAGGCAGGCTGTGAGGCTCCAAACATTCTCAAGCAATGCAACTCTGTGGGATCGAATAGACTTGGTTGTTGCCACCATATGAGAAGTTTGTGGTTCTACGTTTGCCAGGTGGGGAAATATCGGCCCACGACAACCCACAACCCGGACGCCGACTGTTAATGGGCAATATTGTTGATTTGATTGCCTGCAGACTGATATAAGACACTACTATTTATTGCGCTTAGGACCAACGATGCAGTTCAATTGTCGTATTGCCGGTGCCATCGAAGACGAGACTTCCTAAAATATAGTGATGATGATGATGATAGATTGTTGAACACCACTTCCACCAACTTAATTGTGCCGATTCAACTACCGGAAACTATCTACCTTCACGTGAAGAGTATGAATGTAAAAATAAATAATACAATCCTGCTTTAAACCTTTAGATATGCTATAAATCGATCTTGGTGAAGGTAAAGAGAAAGGAAAGTGACCGGCAGATCAGGGGAGACTTCTACTAGAGGAGAGTTCTATTAGGGAGAGTTCTAATACTTCCAGGGAAGCTTGAATAGGTTCAAGACCGTTGTTAAGAAGGGCTAGATGTCCGGGGTGTGCCTGACTCTACGTATCCAGCAGGGTAAGGTAATCTTGAACATCTTCATGACGAGGGGAAGTCGGGAAGCTCAGATAAAGTAAATTTGGAAGCCCAGTGACACAAATGTCTTACAAGAGCACATCACTGGCGTCCGCGTCTCTTCCTACATCTCGGCCGAGACCCGAGGTGACGTTTGACTTGATGGCGATCGCGAACTGAGAACCGGACCACAGCGTCCCCCAAAGCTGACTTCCTTGCATGACAAAGGCCGCGAACGTGGAAAAGATATCGAGTGTAATATACCTCTCTCTTGAATTATGGGAAGCACTGTCAGCCGGAATTACAAGTCGGATTTGTCCGCGACTTTATAGTTGGTATATAAAAATCGAAACTATATGTCAACCAATCATCACTCAAGGGCCCGGCCTGACCGATCAAACTTGGGTGGATCCTAGAGAAATATAATCCTGACTCGAACCAAGGGCTAACTCGAACTTTGACTATTAATATCTAATCTTTAACCCCCGCCCTAGCCTGCACCCCACATCTACAAGTATGGTCAGGCCAGGTCAGGTAGGTGGGCAGTGGTCGGTTGACCTGCACCCTCGGAATGTTGGGGCATCAGAATGGGGAGGGCCCCTTTGCGGGCATCACCATACAAAGGATAACCCATTGGTCTCGGCTGTAATACGAGAAGATCAGCAGTCATTTGCCCACAATTAAGTTGCCCGATATGACTACCAACACAGCAGAACATCGTTGCGTCCTCTGTTCGGGGTTGGCTATTATACCTCCTCTCGGGCGCGCGCTCTCTCTCTCTCTCTCTCTGTCACCACTGTGGGCTTGTTTGCCTCCCTATTTTCGTCATCTCCAGCAGGAAATCTTTTAGTTTCCCACACTGCCATCGCTTGCCACCAGCCTTGACTGAATTCGACTTTCAAAGAGTTACTCACCCTGGTCAAAATAAAGTCAATGATCGGTGTGGAGCATAGGACGATTCATCTCTTGTGCTATTTCTGGCTGTACACGTAAGGTAAAGCTACTTAGATAGCTGTTCGTGTTTACTCGCTTCCGGCATTGCCATAGTTCCCTTTACGAGATCTAAAGTTCCGCGGCCATTATGGGGGCTGCTGGACAGTCAATCTCCACAAAATGGCCACCTCCCAAGAGACAGTGACGTCGAAATCACCAGCCTCACTTGTGCGACCGACCCGACTCGGCGATGATGATCATTTGCTCCAGTGCCCAATCCTGAGTATAAAACTCCCACGGAGCCTCTTCCAAGTCAGACAACCTACTCTCGTAAACACTCTTTGCTTTGCGACAATAATTCAACCCTGATCAATATCACGAGACACCATTCCAAACCGACTGCAAGTTGCAAAATGAAATTCACTCTCGCTACTATCGCTGGCCTCTTTGGCGTCTCTGCCATCGCTGCTCCAGCACCCCAGGAATCTGGTGCCTCTTTGACATATGAGAACATCAACATCGCCGATCTCTCCGTTTTCAAGCAGCAAAATGGCACAGTGACCAACGTCAGATTCCTCCTCTCTGGCAACAATGCCGCGGATCTTACCTGCGAGGGTGCGACCGGTGTCCCCTCGGATGTGATCACCTGCGGCGAGTCCAAGTACCGTTTCACGATCCGTCCAGGCAACGAGACTGAATTTGCGCTCCGCATCTACCATGAGCTCGGCCTTGCGTGAGTTATCTCTGTTCGCAGTAGTTGAGAACGATGGTGAACTAACACGAGCGGACAGATTCGGTTACTGGGGTCAAGGTGATGTACCCACGTACTGTCACACCGCTGGTCTCGGAGAGACCTGCAACCAAGTCAACCCTACGACGATTGTCATTGACAGCGCCCCCCCGCCTGTCAACCCCTAAATGCTGCTATTATCCGTCCATAGCACAGCTTTTTGCAAGTACATCATGGGTATAATTGTATTAGATTACTCGTTCGCAAAGAATGCATTAGTTGAAAGATTGAGCAATAAAAAACATTAAATTAGCCAAAGCCTCACATATTCTGCTGGCCCCGCGCATCTGTCTTCTTGCGTGGGCGAAGATTCGCTGCACGAGTATTTCAGGCTGTCCTATTTGGCTAGACACGACTTGAAGCCAAGGAAATAAGTAGATCCTTGGGGTTTTGTTCGAGAGTCGGAATGCTTTTGAGTCTTGAGGAAGGAACAAGGAATGTCATCGTGATTTTTATTTGCGGGACACGCAGCCTGTCGGAATTTCAGGTCACAAACATCGAAGCAAGCAAATCTGATTAGTGATAAAATGCGCTCAGTGAGAGTTTGGGGCAACCTATCCGTACACGGATGTGTGTCGTTAAATTTGCCAGCCATGACTTGCAGTCAAGCTCCTTTAAACCCAGTCAGCCGATTCTTTTCCCCATCCTATGAAGTCCTCAAAGAAGAAACTCATTGGTCATTCCGATACTTGGCCAGTTTTGGATACTATCCTGGACATGGTTGCATGGATAATAGCCATCTTTACTATGGCATTCCGGAAGTCAACAAGAGAGATTGGAGAGACTACCGGCGAATGCCAAAAACAGAGCGGGCAGCAAGAACAAGACGGAAGGTGGCGTGGGTGGACACCAACACGCACGGATCACTATTACTGTGAGATGGCATGGCCGGGAAAAGGTACGTCCCTCCGTGCCAGCTCTGCCCCGCCTTACCTAATCCGGGTACCTGAGCATTGCGGTGGCCAGGGTGAGGTCAGGTAGGCACGAGCATGTTGCGTAGCTGTGGTAGCCTTCGACCTGAACAAACAACCAAATCAGCCTCACCTTCCTAATCGACAGCCTCTCGACCTGCAAACCCACCGCCTCCACGATCCTTCGACCTGAATCCCTTTCGCTTCGTTCTGCACACTTAAAACTCCGTAACATCGCCCAGCATGTCGGAGGCCGCCTTGAAGCCCGAGAAGGACTTCTCGAAGGAGACGGACAAGCAGATCCCGGAGGCAGAGAAGCTCGCGAAGGTGCGGAATGGGGTCCTGAATTGACATGGCCCTGCTTTTTATACTGATTCCCCGAGCACAGAGCGACATTTCCGCAGCCATCGAGAAGCTGAGCGTCCTAGAGAAGCAGACCCGCCAGGTGAGCAACGTGCCCCTCCCTTCCCTATACATTGACATGCTAACGGAGCAAAGTCATCAGATCTTGCGTCGACATCGCGTATACTCATCGCCATTGTCAACATCACCAAGAATGCTGGAGACTGGAGCTTGATGAACGAGCAGGTCCTGATTCTCTCCAAGAAGCATGGACAGCTCAAGCAAGCCATTACAAAGATGGTCCAGGCGGTCATGGGCTTCCTAGACTCCACCCCGAACCTCGAAACCAAGCTCACTGTCATCGAGACATTGCGGACGGTCACCGAGGGAAAGATTTTCGTTGAAGTCGAGCGCGCGCGTGTCACCAAGACTTTGTCCGATATCAAGAAGGAGCAGGGCGATCTCAAGGCGGCGACAGACATCCTCTGCGAGCTGCAGGTTGAGACATTCGGCTCCATGGACCGAAGGGAGAAGACCGAGTTCATCCTCGCACAAGTCGCACTCTGCATTGAGGTTGGCGACTGGACTCAAGCGCAAATCCTGAGCAGGAAGATCAGCACCCGATACCTCTCGAGGAAGCCGAAGAAGACCGCCGAGCAACTGGAGAAGGAGAAGAAAGAGCGCGAGAAGAAGAAGGCGAGAGGCGAGGAAGTTCCTGAAGAGAAGGAGGACGACACAACGGATCTGAAGCTGCGGTACTACGAGCAACAGATCATCCTTGCGAAGCATGACGACAAGTACCTTGATGTCTGCAAGCACTACCGCCAGGTTCTTGACACCGAGGCAGTCGAGGAAGACCCCAAGAAACTTCACCCTGTAAGACCAAAGTTTCCACTGTGGCAAGCACAATCTCTTACTTAGATCTCGCAGGTCCTTCAACGTATCATCTACTTTGTCATTCTTGCTCCTCACGACAACGAGCAGCACGACCTTCTGCACAGAATCCAGAAGGATTCCAGAATCGGCCAAGTCACCCAAGAGGCCGAGCTTCTTAAGCTCTTCACGGTCCACGAGCTCATGCGCTGGCCAGAAGTCGCCAAGACCTTTGGTCCTCACCTGTGCGAGACTGATGTCTTCGACGCCCAAACCGGTCAGTCAGACGACGAGAAGGCGCATCAACGCTGGTTGGACCTTCGTAAGAGAGTCATCGAGCACAATGTGCGTGTGGTCGCCAAGTACTACACTCGCATCCAGACTCAGCGCCTTACCCAGCTCCTGGATCTTACCGAAGACGAGACGGAGAAGTACATTAGCGAGCTGGTCACTTCCAAGACTATCTATGCCAAGATCGATCGCCCCGCCCGCATTGTGAGCTTCGCGAAGCCAAGAGATGCGGACGACATTCTGAACGAGTGGAGCTCCAACATGAAGAGCTTGTTGGGCCACCTCGAGCGGATTGATCATCTCATTACTAAGGAGGAGATGATGGCCAATATTCAGCCTGGCGCCTCGAAGTCGGGCAAGGGAAAGTCTACAAAGGCGCGCTAGACGTCTGGATGGTTGCCGGGGTTTCGGCACGGGATACGGCGTGTAATTGTAGAACACTGTCTTAGACGAAGGCAATGAACCAGGCTGGGATGTGTAAAACATGCTTCGGTCTATTCTATGATGAACCGATGTCCTTTGGTGCCCCTTCCTATATACCCCTACCCGAATCATTCGCTCGTTAACTGATGTATCATGTTTGTCTAAATGTTGCTCTTTGCTGCGTCCTCGTCTGCAATCTTCTTGATGAAGCCGATGAGCGGCATGGCCCATTCCTTGGTGATGGGCACGTAATGCCCACCGGGATGGACAACGACCAGCGGCTCCTCGCACCGGTCCACAAGCCCCTGACTCCTTGATTCCTCGACCACAGTGTCCAAGCTGCCAAGGAAGTGCAGCGTAGGCGTCTTGATCTTGGGCTCGTACGCCCACTGCAGCTCCTCGGGCGGCGCAAAGAAGCCAGAGTAGATGGCGGCAAACTTGAACGGCCGACCGCCGTTGGCTTCTCTCAACGCCTGCGCAGGGGCCTTTAGGTCCTCTGGGATCTTCTCATCGCGGTACGGCGTCTCCAGGATCGCCGTCAGGAGCGCGGCAAAGGCACCGCCCTGGCTGAAGCCCAGCACGCCGTCGACGCCGCCGGCCTCGCGGACCGCGTCAGCGACGGTCGAGATGCCCTGGTCCAGGAAGCGGTAGGAGCCCGAGGACTCATTCTTGCGCCACCAGGCCCAGGCGTCGATCTCCTGGTCCTCGCCGTTGGAGGACTCGTCGGGGACAAAGCCCGGGATGTCGCGCGGAGAGAGCTGTAACGGGCCTGTTGGGTAGAAGAGGGTCGGGGTGAGGTTGAAAGGGCCCAGAGATTTGGCGATGAGTTTCTCTAGAGCACGGGTTTTTGAGCGGAAGAGGGGCCCGGATTGGGTGTAACCTTGGAGTGTTAGTCAGGTTTGATGAGATTTGGGGGCTTTTCATGGGAATGAGAAGGTTGATGATAGGCTGGCTATAGAGGGCCAGCATGAGAATATCTTGAAAGTTGTATGACCAGAGCACATATCTTACCATGGAGCATAAGAATTTTGATCTCCTTCTTGCCGTTACCTGCAGGCTTCTTCGCTGCTGAGCCATTTGGGGCTGAGCCGACTGCCGTAGACATTTTGCAAATGAACGTGTGGCTGAAATACGAGGGGGTATTCTTGCTGTTATTGGCTGTCAACCGAGAAACTCTAGAGGCAGAAGCTATAGCTCTGAATCGAAAGTGAAATGAAAGTGTCATGTGTGTGTATCTATGGCGCAGCTCAAAGGCGTGATGAGAGGTCCAGGTGTTCAGTGAGAAAGGAGGGTGGGTACTGACAAATCCACAAGTGACTCTTCGCCGAAAATAAGGGGATTTGAGACGGCGATAAGGAATAGGACCAGGACAACCGATTGAACCACTCGTTGAAGTCTGATGAGGTCTGATGTAAATAACTTTAGGTTGATCACAGTCTCGGATATCACGGTAGCTGCCAGCATCATCTATCATCTTTAATGGTGGAATTATCGAATTGAAGTTGTCACGTGATTCATACGCCATACGTCCGAGCCTAGCTGTCTTCCGCAACTCAAGAATTTATACCAACCTCTATTGCTTATCGTCCCTGCAACCTACCATTTCTGTCTTCGAGGTCCAAGAGGTACCATATTCAAAACCCTGAAAGAGCAAAGCGATGTCGTTAGATTGTCGCTGTTGGCGTTGTTACATGAATTGAGCGCAGAGCGCCTGCAGTTCCCTCATGTCGCGGCACTTGCGGCATCAATACATCAGTACATCAGTACAACAGCTCAATTGAATGCGAGCCATGCGTCTATGATACAGCGTCCATGAAGAATACGCGTTGGCGGGTCTATATCCTCGACACGTTTCCCAACTGCTCGGCCGTCTCCCCGTGAAACCCAGTCTACTGCATTGCGAACTTAATGCTTCTTGGCGAGGGGGTTGCGTGCATCGTTCTTCCACTCGTCGGCTGCATCTCAGAATTAGCATTGGCGCCTCCACAAGTCTTTGTTTGCGCGACGTACACTTCATCATTGCGTTCTGAGCAGAGTTGATGCCGTAGGCAATGACCAGACCTGTAGGATTATCAGCAACTGGTGCGCTTCCCGTCGCTCCTCTTCGTGTTTTCGTTCTCGTTCTTCGCGATTGGTTTCGCTCATGTCTCAGCGTTGATCGGGGGACTCGGACATACCGGCAGCGAAGAAAGGCGCCATCGGCTTAACTGTAAGGGAGGTCAGCGATTGCGCGGCGGACACACGGGGACGGCCGTCGAGGAATACGTACGGACGGGCGTGGGGTACTTCTTGAGTGCGCGAGCTCCGAGCCAGGACATCTTGACGGTTGTGATGTGGGTTGCAGGGGGGATATTGAAGGGTTCTGTATGGCGGGCGGTACTCGGAGGTTCAATGTGAAGCTATCAAAACGAGCCTTTTTCCTCCGATTGAGCTTTCGGTTTCGGCGGCTGGACCCGTAGCCGAGGAAACTATGGCCTGAGGCCATAGCCGCGCCGGATTCTGTTTCTGGTCTTTTCTGGGCACGGGCCACTCTTGTCTAGGATGAGCCGGGGAATGTGCCGGCTCGGAACATCGCAGTAATATTTGTCCTTGTCCCTCGTCCAGACTCCATGCCCCCCTTCTACCCCGGCTCTCATGTGACATCATTCGACGCTTCTCCGCATCTGGGCGCATTTGGAGGCGATACGTACCCACCTGTGACCTTAGCAAGCTCCAGCTTCGCTGTCCCGCACCCGTTCCCCCGTGCCATGGCAGGCAGCGGCGACAGCTTTCCCCAGGTTCTGGGGGCTGAGTTGGACTTGGGACCTTGGGATTGGCGTGGTGGTGGTGCCAGACCCCGAACCCGTAGTGTAGCAAGCCAAACATCTCCTCCCTTGTGTCACATTCATCTTGTCCCTGCCACACACACACACACCCAGACACCTCCTCCTGAAGCTCTCCTTTTCTTCTTGCTGCAACTGCCTTCACCTTGCCAGGAAGTGCGGGGAATCTGCAGAGAACAAGAGACACGAACCATAGTTGCACGGTTGTAGCCCGACCTCCTCGTCGCCTCATCCAATTACATCGGCCCTATTAGCCCAGTCTGCCACTGCAAGCACGGGCGAGACCACCACCTCCTCCTTGACATCTAACCGCTACCTACGCATAGGTTACTACTACCACCACCACCACCACCACCACTTACCAGCGTACCAACAGTCCGTCCGCTGCCGCCGACGCTGCGCCTCCAAACGACCTCCTGCACGCCGACCTGCTTCCCGCTCTGTGATAAATCCCTGCTCTCGGGTGCTTCCTGCTTCTTGCCGATCGAGACGTATCGAATTCGCTCTCCTTCCTCCTTCACATCTTGTACCAGAGGCTTGTTCTTGCTGAAAAAAGAGCCCGTTTTGTCACCTTTGTTTGAGTTGACATACGTCCCCTTGCTCCAGCAGAAGAAGAAAAAGACACCTCTTGGTCACCATACATCTCCTCATCCCACCTTCCTTCTCCAAAACATCTTTTTTGCCCATCCCAAAATCCACCACAGGCAAAGATGCTGAGCCAGCGATTGGTGCGAGCAGCCGGCGCGGCGACCCCGCGTTCCGCGCTGCGAGCATTCAGCTCCACGAGCCAGCAGCTCAAGGTGCCCTCAATGGCCGACGTCAGCGCCGCGCCCACGAGCGTCGCCTCCTTTAACGACAAATCGAAGCAGTTCCGAGAGCAGTTGATCGATCAGCAGAGACAGCGGGAAGCACGTGCGTATAATCAATCCTCCTCCTCCCCTGCCTCCTCCTCTGAGCCCGCCCAGGACTCATCCGTGAGTGCTACTTCAGGACAGAAGGCCGAGGCCTCCCAAGAGCCTTCCCGCAAGGCCGGCCCCTTGACCAACCTCATCTACGGCACCAAGGAGGGTCGCGAGCTCGATGCTCAGCTCGAGGCAAGCTTCAGTCAGGTCCTCGCCCGAGGCAAGTACGTCCACTCGATCGTCTTGCACGAGGTCAAGCCCGACAAGGTGGAAGAGTACACCGAGCTCGTCGGTAGCTGGTACCCACGCATGGCTTCCATGCCCGAGAATAAGGTCCATCTGGTAGGAAGCTGGAGGACCGAAGTCGGGGACTGTAACACGTTTGGTACGTTACCTCCGCAAAACCTCCCCCATGCTGAAGCGAAACCAGATGATGCTAATATTAGGCTCGCAGTCCATATCTGGGAGTACCAGCGATACCAGGGTTACCACGAGTCAATCCACAACATTGGCTCTCACCCCGAATTTGCCGAGTTCGATAAGAAGCTTAAGAGCCTCATCACCTCGAAGAAGACGTCTCTCATGCAGGAGTTCTCCTTCTGGCCCACCACGCCTCCCCGACAGCTTGGCGGCATTTTCGAGCTGCGATCATACACTCTACACCCTGGCAACCTCCTCGAGTGGGAGACCCACTGGAGACGCGGCCTGAAGGCCAGACGCGAGGTCATGGAGGGTGTCGGTGCTTGGTTCGTGCAGATAGGAGACCTCAACACCGTTCACCACCTGTGGCAGTTCGCCAACCTCGAGGAGCGAAAGATCCGCCGCGAGAAGAGCTGGAGCGTAGAGGGCTGGAGCGAGACTGTCCACAAGACTGTCCCTCTTATTCAGAGCATGAAGTCGAGAATTTTGATCCCGATGCCCTGGTCTCCTGTGGCATGATCGTTGGGAGTTCCTGGCCCCTTACTGGTCCAGCCATGTTACTGGCATGCATCGCATCGCATGCTTCTACATATCGCCCACATCAACTTTCATTTGTCGATGCCTACATGGCCAATACACTGGATGCGCTGATCGACCCGAAGAATCCTGCTGACCCAGCCTGTGTCTGGCCAATGAAGACAATTGGGGAGGGACTGCTTTCATGGATTGGGGTTCGAACGTCAGGAAGACAGATGGTTTGGTTCGTTCATGGAACTTTGGGGGTTTCCATTTGGCAACTTGTATGTGTACAGAATTCTGGTGAACAAAACCAGCACATAGGGATTTGAAAACAGTAACCTCGATGAAGACTTGCAAATTGACTGCCCTGCCAAACTCCGGGGTATAAAATTCCAACCACGCACTAGGGCTTTCTTCACTCGTCGAATTCATCGCCCATGACAGCTGCCAGGTTCCTCCTAGCACTAGCCAGCGTGTGACCCAAGGCAACCAGCTTGGCAGACAGAGACATGAGATTCGGGTCGGGCAGACTCTCGACGCGGACCTTCTCCCTCACAAAAACCTCTGTGGCCTCGCCAGTGCTGGAGGGTGTGCCCAAGCCGCTTGGGCTACTCCCGCTGCTTCTCGACTGCGCTGTGCCATGCCTGTGCTTCTGCCCGCCGTCCGTAATGGTGCTGTACGTGAAGCGGAAGGGCCGGTCCATCTCGTCGTGTTCCAGCCTGCGTACCGTTCCCAAGGCGAGGCCGAGCTTGGTACCGAAGTGTACCGGCGAATCAACGGGTTCGAGGGCGCGCAGCCAAAGCACCAAGCTCGATTCTTGGAGACCCAGGTGAACGCTGATATTTGGGCCGAGGGCTGGGGCAAAATGGACGGGCGGGCAGGAGTCGGTCTGCCAGCTGGGGTCGGCTTCGTTCAGGGCAGGGCCCTTCAGGAGGGAGGAGGATTCGTTTAGGGAGGCTGCGATGATGCGCAACTGGGCGGCGAGCTGGGTCGGGTTGTTAGAGGGGGCCGGGGTGTCTGTTAGGGAGAGGAGGTCGAGGCACTCTGTCAGATGGGTGTGGATCGTTTCGAGGGCGGCGATGTGGACCGGGTGGGAGGGTTCGAGGTTCAGGGTCTGCGTTGGGAGGGTTCGGAGCTGGAGGTGAATTGTCTTGGTGATGTTAGCCGCTGGATGAACGATTGTTGAAGAGGGGTGGAGGAGGTATCAAGGGGAGGTGGCCGGGGCTGAATGAACTGACTCCTTTGATTATCCGCGTGCCGACTCGGGTTACTGTTCCCTTTACGCGCTCGTTACGCTGCGTGCTCATGACGAGGGTGCTTCCCGGGTCGATTGGGGCCAAGAGAGCATAGCAGTCCTGCAGGCCGTGGCGGATGTCCTTGAGGATTGCGTGGGTTTCCACGACGATCCATTCTAATTCGCGGGCCTGCGGAGGGGTTTCAAGCCTGATAAGCATCGTGTCTATCGAGATTGCGAATACAAGATCGACGGTTCGGCGCGGGGCAAGCAGAGAAGGCGAGACGACATACGAGGCATTCCCTTTTCCCTTTTATCAGCTCCTCCGGGGCCACGGGAGGCCAGATCGCTATGGACATGTTGTCAACTCAGAGACCCTCCTGCTTCAGCAGCTGCTAGTAGTTGTCTCTGTTGATGAATAGATCGCAGGCAGCCGCAGCAGGGGAATTAGCGTCTAACGATTAGCTCATGGTGGGCAGTTTGAAGCTCGAGACGGGCATCTCGTCATAGCGGGAGGCTTGGGACCAGGGGTTGCAGTGCGAGCCAGCCAAGGTGCCTTGTTAAGTGGGGACCGAACCGATTTAGCGGAGGGGAGGTGATGCGCCTGCACCCCGCTGCTGCAGACGGCACTGGACCCACTCAAAGCACTTTTCTCATCTGGGGCCGTCGGTCCAGTGCCGATTTCGATTTCTCGTTCAAGACTTCAAGCAGTTACATCTTGGAAAATCACGATTCAGACAACTCTACGGTCTAGGACTTTGAATCAATCGAAAATTCATCTCATTCAACCTTGAGTTTGGTCTTTGCGTCTTTACAAAAGCCATCATATTCTGCTAGCGCGTCAAGGCAGGAGGAAAATACCCACCTCAGACTCACACTCACATGGCTGCCTACCCTACTATGGCGCCTACTCATCCAACAGCACAAGGCCAGGCTGGCAAAGACGTCTCGAATTCACAGAAACAATCCACATCCACAAGGATCAAGCTTCCCCGGCTGCCTGAAGGTCAATTACTCCATCACTCTCCTCCGTCTGATGAACCCTACGCCTAACACCATTCCAGGCTCCAAGATCCAAAAACGCGCCCTGCCTCGCCGCCAACAACCCGTCTCATCAAAATCACAACTTGTCTACGTGTCTTCATCGACACCGTTCATGTCAGCCGTCTCACGCGTCCGCAAACAGCTAGACAAGTCTCTGAAAGGCAACGCGCCGTCGACGAGGGGTCTGAACCTGAATCAGCGCATCGACCTGCTTCATCGCGACAACGGCACCAAAGGGAGGAACGGGGAGGCGATCGTGCTCGGTACAGGCAGGGCCATAGAAAAGGCCCTCAGCATTGCGACGTGGTTCACCGAGCAGAGCGATTGCGAGGTCGAGATAAGGACAAGGACCATAGGCACGGTCGATGATGTCGTTCTCGAGGGTGATGAGGAGGGGTTTGGGGAGGAGAGCCGTGTGAGGAAGGTTAGTTGTCTAGAGGTCATTGTGAGACTTCGATGATCTTCTGGTAGTCTTTGAATACGCGACTTGCTGGTTTTGCGAAGGGTGATGGCGATGAATTCGGTTTCGGTGGCGTTCGTACGAGACGAGCTCAGCCGAGGCTTCGCGCCTCACAGGGCCTCTCAAGAGCATGTTCGGTTTGAAGGGAGGACTGTGACTACCGGGCCAACAGCATGCCCTGTGATCTACCTTTAATGAAACTCAAAGGTCAACTTGACGCTGGATGTAAGCCCAGACTAGGGGCAGGCCCTGTCAGACTGTTTAGGGCACTTCGTAAAGCTCAAGCATTGCCTAGGATCGGCTGCGGGCTTATGAGACCCGGCCACTCAGCCTAAATACATAAATGACCCTTTTTGAAGCAACCCGTCTCTACCGTGTCCCATGCTGAGGCAACGCCGCTCCCTGCCTGAATGGGCTTGCTCGACGCTAGTCATATCCTCAGGTCTTCGAAACCTCGTGGTCAATAAGCATTGTTCGAATGAATGGCTGAACGACGCATGCGACCTTTTTCCAAATATCGGGAATCATGATTGAGTTGCAGCATAGCTTCAGCATCGGAGCTGCTGGGTTTTGCTAGCCCTTTGAAAGAGTGAAGTTGTACCTTGTTTGGACGCTTTGGGTACTCGTTGTGCTCGCGGGGGTTGGGGACCTAGGATTTTCCTTGGCTGAGACAGCGACTTTCACCTGCCCCGAGCATCTGGATCGGCTTCTATTATTGTTGGTATCCGTATCACAGGATTATGGGTTCGAACCGTAGGTCTTAGGGGTGACGAAGGGTCAATTGACTGTATATTGATTCTCTGCGTGGGTTGTAAAAGAGAGGTGCGTAGGTTAGCCGGTCAGTTGGAAGCTGATGTAGCGAACCGTTGATGACCCCTACGCTTGCCCTGACTCGAGGTCGAATTGGACTTCCAATTCGACAATCATGAACCAGCTTTAGGGACCGGTTGTCCCGGATCAAAGGGATGAACCCCTGGGCGTACTTCACTATCTTACGCAAACTAAATTTTGCAATCAAGACTCCTTGAGTTAGATCACGAGAATATGATGAGGATAGCGTACGTACGCGAAATGAAATCTCGAGTCATTCACCTACACAAATTGACACAACGGCAGCGGTGTAATTGGTCTTGTGAAAAGAAGGTTCAGACTACTTAGTTTGAAGCGAAGATTGCTATATTGCATCGGATGCACGATCCCAATTCAGACTTGTTCCCGTGGTCACGCTCAGTCTCAGAAACTTGCTCTCAGTATGTCAACTCCTGAGAAATATAAAGTAGAGCATGATTCCGCACCTCAGTGTCAAGATTGAGTATCCTAAATCAGCTCTCGATTTCGTGCTGATATCTACCAAAATGCAGCTCTCAATTCTCCTTTTCTTTTCAGCTTTTGGGGCTGCGCTGGCTGGCAGGCAGCCGGAGAAGCCGCAAGTTGACACTTCCTGCGCAAAAGACCGCAGCAATTTGCATGTAAGTAATTCTGCTGGGGAGAACAACTCCAAGGCAACAGATCATGAAGAGCTAACTGCTATTAAAGTGCAAATACCCAAAGCAGTTCGTACAATGCACCGATAGCTGGTGAGGCAAAGTCTTCCTCTTGCGCTTTGCATCTCGCCTTACTGATAATGGCTTCTAGCAACTGTCAATGCGTGTTTTAAAAAAGTAATTTGTTGTGGGAACAATCTTTGTATGGTTCTGAGCAAAATAGTTCGATGGCCAAGGTTCAAATTAGTTAGACGGATACTTGCAGTGAACGAATGCTTGCAGTGAACGAGTGCTTTCAATACTTTCAACTGAGCTCCTGTAGTTGAGAGTCATTTGCCAGCCAATGAGGTTTAACGAGTCGTTTCAATCATTGTCTTATCCATTCTCAGCTTGCATAGTAGTACCACCGTGTCGTGCCGCAAATATTTGCATCAACGTGTTGACCGCCGGGCAGGCCAGGATTACTCCATACTCATTGCAGGCATTCCGATCCTAAGGATTTGCAATGCATGGCAGGCAGAAACGTTGCAACAATCCTACCAATCCTGAATCAAGTGACTGAAGCTTATGATTGGTGAAAATCGGCGGCACGCAAGGTTCTTTTGCGGCACCGATAATGGCCATTTGGTGCCTCAGTCTGTATCGCCAATCGGTGATATCCCCGTGGCTGGTCAGACTTCAAGGATCCGTGTAATACTGCAACACAAAAGATAGCAAACCCCCGTTTTGAAATTCGCAACACCACATCGACTGTCATCACTTTAGAAAGGAAATAACCATACGCTATTTTGATCGAACATATCGTTTCCCACTTCAAAGAAAACAGTTCGCATCCGCCAAATGATGCTGCGGCCTGCCAGCATCTGAGTGACAGGATGCATCAATCGTGGTTTTCGTACCCAATCTCCAAGCCGTATCCTTTCCGATGGTTCACACCCGTCGCTCTAGTCGGTGGCCTCATTCTCACCGTCCTATTTTCGTTGGTCAACCTGAGCGCGAATGGCTACTACTTGAAGCCCCTATACACTTCGGACCCCAATGGCACCGAAGCCTATGCAAATGCCCAGTACGTCGGCCAAAGAATGAAAGCTAGTCAACCCCGTGCTGACATTGGTTTCAAGATGGTTCAGAAAGACTCCTTTCAATTGGAGAAGTGATGTGCAGGCAGAATGTCAGCCACGTCTACTGGCCATCGGAGACTCCTTTTTCACCTCCAACCTTGGCTTCCGGTACATTATCAAAACAATTTCCGACTCGAGTACAAGCTCACGTTCCACTTTGAACTACAAGAACAACACTCTCCAACACTGCACGCCCAAGCAGATAGTCCTGAAACTGAAGAAGGTCGACACTGCGGTGCCGCCCTCCCCTTCATGGTGGCTGTCCTGGACAGATTCTACGATGGAGGCGACTGTGGACTGCACAATCATGACTGATGACGGCCCGGTGAACATTACGCTCGTTACAGAGGATACTGGTGAAGGCGATCATGACTATAGCTACGTGATCGAAGATGACTATAGAACGCATGCAAGCGTGTGGTGGGGGACCAGACTGCTCAATGCATACTGGAATGGAGTGATGACTGCCGCATCAAACATGACAGAGATAGACGGCTTCAAAAGCTACGTCGTTCGTACTGCTTTCACTTACACCACTAAATCATTGAGAGAAGAGTAGGTTACCCCGGCTTGTCTGTTCGCTCGCAGCTGCTTACTCCCTGGTCTAGTATTCGGAGCGATACGTTTTTCGACCTCTACTGGTGGATGGCGAATGCGGATGCCACAATTCTTCACACGAACATGAAGGAGAATCTCCAAGATTACAACTCCGATGTAGGTTCTGGCGTCGTTTGATTTTCCAGCAACGCTTCTTTTCTTCCTCAAGGAGGTCATATGCACTACCTTACGTTGACCTCGGGTATAGTGGTACGGTTCGCCAGCATTGACAGAGGGGCTCCATTGCGCAAAGATCCTCTTTTCTCTGCTTTCCTTGGATCTCGGCAATTGTCACTCACCAAATCTACTGCTGGATGATCGTGGCCTTCAATACGCAATCTTGGCACCAGACGATCACAACCGGGACCCGGGACAACTCTTGAACGGCTCAACTTCACAACTTTACGGAGCAGACCGTTTCAACATGATTCCTGTTCCTGGGTCTAACGACACGGATAACGGTCTAGTGACGCTCATGGAGAGCTACGATGCGTTCCAGCCTCTGATGGGACCCCTGACTTGCAAGAACGCCACTGTCGTTAGTCAGTATCTTTGCTCTGTTCCTCAACAAAAAAGCTGGGGCGTGATGCTGTTTGCAATTCTGCTTGCGGACCTTGTCTTCCTCCAAGCAGCCTGGAAGATCCTAACGTGGACTGCTGATGGGTTGGTTTCAAAAGCAAACACCGAAGCAATGTCTTGTCAGGGCTGTCAGACCAAGACTTTATCGTACCAATCACTACATGATTCCGGAACGACTAAAGATGGCCTAGAGGCAGTTCCGGACAAGACTATGAATTGGAGTATGAGCAGAGAAATGTCATCCAGGGAATAAAAAAGCGAGTACAGTCCATAGCGCACTAAGTTGCATTAGAGGCAAGATTCACCCGCCGAGACATAGCGGCCGTCACCCGATGACTACGGTGACGATCGAAGATCGTCGCATTGAAAACTTTGGTTTTTTACGTCTGGGCCTGAAGTCATGTATTGGTTGTATTTTCTTTTTTAGCATGGTAGTATTGGCAACCACTCAAGGTCCCGTTGCGAACGTCTTTTTGTGACTTAGCCTTCACTAGCGTTCACTCGAAAACGGGTTCGCTGGTGGCCGGTAAGCGTATCTATACTTATACTTGTAGCCAGGTCAGTACTTGACGTAGACGACGAGTCATAGTAACAAGCAGCGAATCATTCCATTTTCGGCCAATCAGCTCCGAATGCTTTTTGAGAGATAACTTCCTTGATCCGTGGGATTGGGTTAGGCATACCTTACAGAGCCATAGTCCGAGGGTGTCGGAACATGACTTGCAGCAATACCTGCAATGGGGCAATTTTAGTCGCTTATTCAGGTACCAGACTCAACCAACGATTGCGCGAATTCTACCCGTTTCTTCCCAGGAACCAGGGACCGTATCCGCAAACCCACGGGGCCATTCCCAGGGAGACAAGATGATCCTTGTCAGTCTCGCACTTATCGAGACCATTTATAAATACATAGTATGTTTACCGCGCAGAATTACGGTTCTTGGCACCCGTTATCTTCACCGCTAGCGATACCGGAAATTTTGGTGTGGGGTAGCGCAGTCCGAAGTCAACATCGGAAGCTTCCATTCGACATCGTTGCCGAAAATTGACTATAGCGAAGAGTGAGGAGACGGGTTTCTTTCGAGGGGAGCCTTTCTCTTCTTCGAACGTCGCTTTTATTCCCTCCTAGCCGACTCAGTCAGAGCCATCTTCGTTGACCACGGCCCAAGATGCTGTTCCAAAGCTCTGCCGCTGTCCTGGCGGCCCTCGCCGGGCCCGCCTCCGCCAGCTACGCCTTCTACGTCGGCAAGGATCTCACCGCCGACGGGAGCGTCATGGTCGGCGGAACCGGCGAAGAGGTTTCCTCCCACTGGCTCCAGCTGTTTCCCGCCCGCGACCACGCGGCCAATGCGACAATCACCGTCGGCGTGACGGATAAGGCCAACATTCCCGGCGAGCTCTTCGCGATCCCCCAGGTCAGCCACACCTACCGGTACATGTCGATGGAGTATTCGGACTTTGAGGGTTTCCCGGCGCCGCTCACCAATGGCGGCCTCAACGAGAACGGCGTCGCCGTCCGTGACGTCTGGGCCCAGAACCGCGAGGAGCTGGTCAACATGACCCCGACGCCTCAGCACGGCATCCAGTACAGCGACCTCGCGCGCATCATAATGGAGCGCGCCACGACTGCGCGGGAGGGCGTGGAGATTATTGGTGACCTGGTGAAACAGTACGGCGAGGCGACCTACGGCGGTAACACCCACTTGATCGCTGACAAAGACGAGGGCTGGATCGTCTGGGAGATGGCCGGCGGCAAGAAGCTGTGGGCAGCCGAGCGTCTCAAGAGCGACGAGGTCCGCGTTTTGTACCCCGGCTACATTGAGGACTTCCCCACCGACTTTGCCAACAGCTCTGATTATATGGGCTCTGAGAACATCGTCTCCTTTGCCGTCGAGCAAGGATGGTGGGACCCCAACGGCGGCGAGCCCTTCAACATCTTCAACGCGTACGGCGAAAAGGGCGAGAACATGACGGCGCGCGACGGCGGCTTCAAGTTCATGTCTCAAGCCGCGCTCGAGAACGCCACTCTCGAGATGGTCCCCCTCACCGAGGAGAAGCTGATGGAGCGCGTCCGCGACAAGCGCATCGCCGACGACGAGGCCGGCTACGGACAAGTCGTCAGCCTCAAGGCGGGCATCGACTCGGACCTGCTGCGCATCTGGAACGCGCCGGCCACCTCCGTCTCCTCCCCGTTCGTGCCGTGGTGGCTGGGCGTCAACAACGTGCCCCCCGAGTTTGGCGAGCACCGCTACCTCACGACCGGCGCCTCCGGGAGCTTCCTCAACACAGACTTCCAGCTGCAGGAGGCGAGCGTCTTCGCCGGGCGCATCTTCAAGCGCGTGCTGTACTACATGTGCTCCGCCCCGGATATCTACCTGCCCATCGTCACCCAGATGCTCACCGGTTTCGAGAACCAGAGCCGCAGCGACGTGGACTGGGTCGAGACGAGCGCCAGGCTCCTCATTGAGAACGACGAGCGCGAGGCCGCGCATTCGCTACTCACGTATTACTCCCACAGTAGAGCCGCCAAGGCCCTCGAGCTAGGCAAGATCATTACTGATGCACTAGATGGATACATTAAGCTGACTGGTCAATGGCGTGATCCTGTCGGTAGCGAGATCAACGATGCTGGTGAGGGTGCGGAGACGGTCAACTGCCTTGTTGGTTATGACCCTGATCAGCCCATCTGGAAGCAGCCTGCGCGTCCTAACCGCCGCAAAACAAGTATGAGAAACAAGATGATTGTTCAGCGGTACTAAGGGGTGATGCTGTGTCTCTGTCTGCCACAAGAGCTCTGTCACGAGAGCACTACCAGCTGTACTGCTTCATAACAAAGCTTAATCATGGCCCAAGTGAGGATTGGGGCCATTGTGTGACGGACTAGACCTCTCAGCATCATTAAGCATGTGAAACAAGCGAGTAAATCGTAATGTATCAAACTGAACAATTTTATCATCTTTTCATTTGGCATAATTACGGGAATAGAAGCCGTCAGCGAGGCATGCAGATTTTCCCTGGGGCTGTGCGACATGTCTAGGCATCACCTTGAACGGTTGACTTCAGTTGAGGGTATCGTGACCTTTTGATTCTCCCATAAGGAACAACTCCAGAAACAACATGAAAGCTGCATCAACCCGGAGCCCCCTTAGCTCAGTCTTTCAACATCTTCTCCACGCGCCGTCCGACAGTCGCACTCCAAGCGTCAATCTTTTTACACCACCAGTCCGACAAATACAGTGACACGCTCAGCAACATAATCCAGCCGACAATGAACCCCAGGATCCGACCGAAGCGCTCAAAAAGCCTCGGCATGATCCAAAAACCCAGACTATGCAGCACCGGGCCGTGAACGAGATAGAACGAGAAGCTAATTTTTCCCAGATACTGCGCCACCGGCCCCTCGAGCACGCCGCGTAGGAATGGGCTGTGCAGAACGCAGGGGAGCAGGAGCATGGCGCCCATTGCCTGATAGAACATCCAGCCCGATAAGGGGATGTAGTATCGCGGCACGAGCGAGGAGAGGAAGGTGAAGCCGGGCGTCCATTCGGCTCCAGTGTCGGGGTACGAGAGCAGGTAGAGTGCCACGAAGAGCGCCGCCCATCGAGCTGTCCTTGATCCGAGGACCGATTGTCCGAGGGTTGCTTGTCGGCCTCCCTTGCCATTCGTGGCGGGGGGGAGTAACCCGCGATCAGCCCGTCTGATGTCCGCTTCTGAAAGCAGGACGCCGCCCATGAACGTGGCCATGTCCCATCGTCCCAAGATTAAGCTGTAGACGGAGAGGAAGCCGCCGATTCGAAGGCGCCACTTTGCCTGGATAGCTGCCGTGCCAAGCAGGAAGAGGTAGAGGAACATGGAGCCGCGTAGCTCCATGGGGATGGTAAAGGTGTGCGGGTCGTAGCGCGTGTGGTAGTGGCCAAAGTTGAAAGGGTTGGCCCACTCGATGTAAGCTCTCGTGAAGTTTTGAAGAGCGTAGGTCATGTTGTCGTGGATGAAAGGGTGCTCTTCCCAGGCGCCGCCTAGCTGGAACCAAGTGAAGGTGACAGGGTCGGTGACATTCGCCGAGTCTTTCTCGTCATCGGGAATTGCTGGTGCCAAGTGCAGGTGAAGGAGGTCGTGGTAGGATCTATGTTTCTCTGGCGTCTCCTTGTCCCCAAGGTCATGCGTTGTAATGTTAATTGCAGTGCCGTTCAGGCTGCTTGTCTCGTTCACCACCTTGGAAGCGGCCTCAATGTCATCTGCCAGCTTGTAGAGCATTGGGGACATGAAGAATTGGGACGTGGCATTGAGACAGAGAGTGTTTGTGTCGTTGGTCGTGACGTTGCCCAAAAAGGCTGGGGTTTGCAGGCCGAGAAACTTTGCAACTCCAACAGCTCCTTCGACGGCATATGTGCCGTTCACGCAGGTGTTGTTCAATGTAGCAACAGTCACAGTACCGTTGATGTACCTCGAGTCGGGCCCTTTATAAATATCAAACTCGGACTTGAAGGCGCCCATCTGAGCAAGCAGGGCAACGAGGAACATGCTGATGGTGGGAGGGATGTAGAGGCGGAAGACGCGCCTAAACACAGACGACGCCAGGCTCTGGTAAGCGGCCTCGAAGCGTCGCTCGTGGATCGCCCTTAAGATATGGCGGCACAGGACATATCCCGAGATGGCAAAGAAGATGGCCACCATGGGTCGTCCGCGTTGCAAGAGGCACAAAATTGGCAGGGATGACAGTTCAAAGTACGGCGCGGGCGATCCGGGGGGCATGGCTCCAAAGCCAAGCATGATGGCCGGCGTCCAGGGCCATAGGAAGTGGTAGTTGAAGACGAGCAGGCAGGCGATTCCACGGAGCCCGTCGAGGCATCTGATCTTGTCCGCGCTGTTTCTCGTCGCGGCGACGGCCGATGCCTTCTCACCTACGGCGTCGTGGTCGCCGTATGGGTTCTGCTCCTTGAACCGAGGGGACAGCACGCCCTGCTGCCCCTCCCGCCCCCGCATGGATTCTTCCCACATGGCGCCTTTTTGTCTCGCTTGGGTGTTGCGAACAAACATGCGTGTAGTCTAAGGGAAGTGTATTTCTTCAAAACGAACGAGAGAATGAAATGAAAGGCGATGGAGCTGGAGCTGCAACGGCCGGCATCTGAAAATGAGGCTCAGTGTACCGGAGAGAATTACAACACACGTATGTGAGAAGGACCGAGATAAGGTAGGTAGATGGGCGTTAGACAGGTGTACGAAAAGGGAGAAGCGCCCTCCAGAAGGTCCTAAATACGACTCTGTTGGACGTGGGCGATGATGCCGGGATATCCCTGTCCAATTATGTCATCTGCCTTACCCAAGACAACCTTTGCGAGCCCCTGAGTTGTCACCCCATGTTGGATCAACTTAACTGAAAAAGAACCCCAGTTTAACTGTGACGGTGCTGTGCAATAATAAGCCCCGTGTGTTATTTTTATGGAGAAAATGGTTTGTCTAGCACCGGTCGGACGTCATAAAAGGCGTGTCTTTGCATAGTCGCTTCAATAAATATCCCACAAACTCTTTCTTGTGCGCTATGGTTGAGCGTTTACCGTTTATAAATATGCGCAAGCTTCCCTTCGTGTCCGAAATGGGTTTATTGGGCGACCTCGGTCCTGGTCTTTTCAAGCATCCGCCCCCGTCCTGCCCAGGATTCACCAGTTGATGCAACACACTCCGGATCTGGGGCATTTTCTTGGAAGAATCCCAGGTCCCGCGTCAACTCAATGGACCGTAGACCCGTCCAAAACCAAGGAAAATCAGTGCAGCGTCGGCAGTTGGCATTGCGGCCACCCGGACCCGGATGACTCCCGTTCCCGGTGAGGATCCCGAAGGAAACCTCCTCCAAGGCCGCTGGGGGTGCCCTTTGGCTCGGATGGTGAGTCAGCATGCCATGCCAAATAGTCGCGGAGCACGGTCCAATAGGGCCTGCATCCTTTCCAAAGTTCGGATACCTCGAAGGTTTGCTGATCTTCTACACGTGGCCTATCAGTGGCCAATGCGAGGGAATTAATGGGAACTGACGGGAATAGCTTCATTTCGATAAAGTAACGATGAATCTAATTCTGAATAAGGTTTATGAAGCTGCAGTCTCGCGCCAACGACGTACGGGATGCCGCAGTGGATTTCCTATTCAGCGATTCGACGATACGCATGATAGCATTCGACTAAGAGGCGCTAACTAATCGTTGTACGGGACGTGTCGGCTTGTAGCGAACATTGCCGGTGGTTCCGGGCCAAGACTGCTTCATAATTATGAAGAAAAGAAACGCTACAGATGAGAGTGAGGAACCATGGTTTTCGGGTGACAGATTGCCTCAACTGCTGTCTCCAAAAGACGGCGCATAGAACAAGATGTTTCACCAAGACCATCACCAGCTCCACCCTCGGCCGTAATCCGCCGGGCTTGCGGCTCATGCAAAGATCGTGTCGACTGAGTCTCCGGATGGCAGTCTACCGTACCCGCGTCCGAGCTGACAACTTGAAACGCGACCCCTTTTTTTTGTCGTGTTACCAGCTACCTGGACCCAGGATCTCGGATTGTGCGTCTTTCTTCACCAAGCTCACCCGCGGCCGGCGACCGTCACCTAAGTCCTTGGAGGTACCATTTGGGCCATCGAATGACCTGGGCTCCGTCGCTGCTCATCGATTTCCAGAGTCCTGTTTGCAGCATCCCGTTCATCGTCAGTGGTGAATGGACTGCGGGTGATATTCCTGAGAATATGAGGAGGCACAATGCCACCAGGACCACTGCTTCCTAGCCTCATGTCTAAGGTCTTGGGACCCTCGTGGTGGTGTAAGGCCGTATCGCCTCTTTCGCTGTTGCTGACAGGGATGGCGTGGATGGCTGAGGACACGGCAAGGATCGGTAGGCCAGCCTTAAAGAAGTGCATGATTTTTGGAAACGAGGTGGAAAATTGAACGTGACGGTGCTGGTTGGGGCTATGCAGCTGGGTTCTCGCGAATTAGTGCTTTCGGGTGCAAATTGGGTTCTAGGAGGAGCGCATCGAGAGAGCCCTTGATTTGCGCCGCTTTTTATTCTCCAAGGGGCGACTTTACGCTCTCAAGGTATCCTACATGAGATGGAACCTTTGTGAGCCGGAGCTTGAGGGCCTGGTTCATCGCAACCATAAGTTTTTTTCAGCTATGCAGTCGCACCTGGAGGAGTAACTACTACGAATGATACTCTCACTCCTTTACCAAGTGTAATGAGTTAGAGCACACAGTAATGGGCATATGAAATGTCAATGGGTGGGTAGAGAGTGGCTTGTATTAGCCCAAAGTGAACAAAGAAAAACTCAAGTCTATAATACGCGTGATAGTGAGGGCCATGCGAGAATGCACGTGGTAGACGTCTTCTAGTGTGCTGATACTAGGCCATATTTCGTGACACCAAGAGTTCGCCTCTACGAACACGACTGGGTCATCGAAGGTTCGGTCCTAAGCTTTCAAGCTCATGGGTCAAAACCCGCACAGCATGACGGAGCCTTTGAATCAACAGTTCCAGGTGCCTCTCCAACGGGCCATTCGAGAACCCCAACGGCAGCAAAAAATAGGACGCAGAGATAGCCAATCGAGTCAGCCTTGTCTCAAGGCCAGTCATGCCCACCGCAGGCGGCCTACAGATCTGAGACGCATCTGACGAACAGAGGAATCTGAAACGTCAACCACAATACCTGAGAAATAAGCCATTCGGTTAATCGAACACAACTCAACCTAGCAAGCGAATTTCTGCTTTCACAATCTTCTCATACAAAAAAGGGCTTTCTTGACTCTGCTTTTATGGTAGAGGAAATCTCAGATGACACCGCCGTAGCCGAGTGGCCCATGCGTTCCCCCTCGTTTGCGGGCAGCCCCAAAGTTCAGCAGGCCTTGTAGCGAACTCTTAAAATTGTTGTATCGTACTCGTGGGTTGTAATGAGTGGTAATTTCAACAATCTCTTACTATCATAGTTGTCAAAGAAAATAAAAGCCATCTACAGCCACACAACTTATGAGTGCCAATCACCCTAAAACCACATGTGCACCTTTCCCCTCACCACGCTAGGCATTCAAATTTTGAATATTTGACTGTTTTGAACAAATTATGTCCAAACTGTGACTTCCAAAGTCGGCCCTTCTGTTGCTGAGCCTCTTGGCTTTCGACGTTCCTGCTAGTCCCCTCAAGAGGTATTGACGTTTTGCTTCCTGGGCCCGGACACAAACAGAGACTAACAACAAGTGTAGCACTAATGCCGTTGAGAAGCGTGATCCGCAAGACGGCCCTCCCCGTTTCTCATGCAGCTGCATCAATGGAAAGAGTAGCAAAATGCCCACCGCAATCTGTAATTGTTGTATTGGAAGTCCAATTCGACCTCGAGTCAGGGCGAGCACAGGGATCACCAACGGTCTCTATATCAATTTCCAACTGATCAGCTAACCTACGGTGAGAACATCTCTTTGACAACCCACGCAGAGATATCAATAGACAGTCAATTGACCCTTCGTCACCCCTCGGATCTACGGTTCGAACCAACTACCCTGTGATACCGATACCAACAGTAACGGCGCCGGCGGTGCTACGGGTCAACACCCAAACAAAGATGGCACAGTGTGCAATGGCCTCGTCACGAAGTTGACGACGGAGGATTGTCAGGCACTGATTGATTCCAACTCCCAAGGTCGATTGTGTTGAGACCGCGTAGATTTAGATATTGTCAAGAATTCGATCGTACGTCTGCTTCCAGATCTACTGCTTTATTCTTACTCGAACAACGGGAGATATGTCCACGAAATGCGTCACAGAAACAGCTTGGGCATCGGTCAAGTCAGGTTTCTCGACGGAGTTTCTGTATCTAGAAGAACACAAGTTCTTGATGATTGATTTGCGGCGGCATTTCCATCGTTATGACCGACAGAGATATCGATATCAGTCAATCTTGGGCCTATTCAATAGAAGCCTCCGTTCCTTCCTATTTCTTGTTCTGTTTACCGCCACGTCTCTCATCTTCATTCTCGTCATCTTTGCCATCATGTTTCTCATTCTCCTCATTCTTCGCCCCGAACCATGCGAATGTAGTAGCAAAAACTCCAGCGCCTATCTGCACAGCCCCATTGACAGCCGCGGCACCGTACCCAGCCGCACCGGCGCTTTGGAGGGTAGCAAATAGGCTCGGCGCCACTACGTTACCGATCCCGGCTTGCACTCCCGCCGCCGCGGAGCCTTCCTCCCCGTCGGGGTCAGCGGTCGAGGTTTCAATGGTACAACATTAACTACACCTCGAGATTGAGGCCATCACTTACCAGCAACAATCCCTTGAGCACCAAAGCCCGCAGCTCCCAGAGCGGGTGCAGCGACGAGAGCTGGAGCAGCCAAAACGACAAGGCTTCCAGCGGTGGCACCGTAGTAGATCGTCTTGGCGGGGTTATTGTACATCCATTGGCCGGCCTTGGTGATGGCAAGAGTGTCAGTAGCGTTACATGTCTTGTTCAGAGAAAGATACTGATGCACCTTTCGAAATCCGGATGGCTCCTCCTCTGATTCGTCTGCGTTGTCGTCCGCTGGTGGCTCCGTGTCTCCTCCGCCGACACCTAGTAGCAGCTGTGAAAGCAGTTTCGCCCGTAGCAGGCCGATAGCTGCTACTTCAGCATAGGTATTTCCGATCTTGAGAACCTGCATCACGCTCTTATCGTCCTTTGATTTGCTTATTGTGCGGTTTGGATGGTAAGATCATCAGCAACACGTCGGTTGTCACGAAGGGCCTTGACCTCTTTATAGATTCTGATGATGGAAGGGAGAACTATGGGCGAATAACTTTAAACCCTAAATACAAGCTCAAAGCAAAAAAACATGTGATGAGGGGATATTCGCAATCGGACGGTCGATTATGTTGGAGGCCGACAGATGTCTGGGAAGTCGGTAACATGGTTGGTTTATAGCTTTGGCTTTCCATTACCCCGCGTCAGCATTGAGCCTTATCGGAAGTGAAATTTTGTCCTCCATTCTCAATGACTTTCCTCTCGATTGACAAGAGCTTCGATTTTATCTCTAGATCTATCCGGACCAATGAACTGGTCACCAGGTCCTTGTTGAGAAATGGATCTGTTCTAGTGACTGGACGACGCTCTCCTTCACGCTTCGGGTCCTTGCATGAGGAATTGTCGTAGGACATATTATATGGCGTCAATAGCTACCCGCAAACGACGGCATCGTTTTCGCGACAGGAATCAATGAAAATTATTGTGCCTTCACCATCTCCCTCGTTTGCTTTACGAATTCAAAGTATACTTGAGCAATCGATAGACATTTCAACGGTACAGCAACATGTAGCGCAATACAGAGAAATAGGTAGGCACAAGCTGCAACTACATGACTTGGAGCTGTGGATGTGGACCCTATCAGCGCCTCGTTTTCCAGCTTGATCACGCTGCTCACAATGTGAAATAGGCGCTGGAGCGTCTTTCTCTCAGAACTCAAAAAGTCCTGACGAACCTGAAGGTCATTGGTTGGCAAGACCGTAAGCGCCGAACCCATGTCAGTTCGTAGGCAAACATCCAGACCGCAGATGTGGCTCAAAAACTGGAATCAAATTCATGGAAACAAAAACCCAAAGCTCTCAACCGAAGACGGTCAACAGCACAGTGGACGAGATACAGATTTCCGGCTTCACTTTCCAGCATTCAATTGCGCACCAATCCTTTGGACATAAATAGGTCTCCTTTTCCCCAACTTTTCAATCGAAATTCAATCAGAACAACTCCATTTCAAACCCTCTTCAGTCCTTCAAATACTGCCCAGCCCAAGACAACCAACAGCACCCTACCGTAGCTCCTATTATTTATCTCTCAATTACCAACTTTTTCCTTCCGAAAAATAAAAATATCATTACCTCCATTATTTCGCTCCATCAACATCGTTGAGCTGCACAAGAGCACTATACCGCTCCGTGACATCCTGCAACCTCTACCTAGGCAGACAAGCAAGCCTCACTCCTCCCATCTACTCTGGTTTCCGCCCTTCTATCGTCCGCACTAAACACCATCGAAGTTTCCATCGTTAGTTACAGCTTCAAGAGCCCCAGGACGTCTGTCTACCCCGAATCCATTATAGTGTTTCAATTCTGCAGCGCACCTTCTTTGAAAGAGAGGCAAAATATCTGCAAGTCAGATCGCCCAGACGTCACTGAATTCGGGTTGAATTTTATGAAGCTTTTGTATGTGGTGTTGGATCGGTGAGCTACAATCTCTTCCTTGTCTTCGTCTTCCTTTCCATTTCCAAAACTCCGTCGTTGTCTATGTTATTTGCTTACGTCCACACTGAATCATCAACTCCAAGCTTTCTTATGGAGAGTTCTCGTCCCCATCACCTGAGACTCAATCGTCAGCTTCATACCCTCTGGTCTTCCGTCATTCAATTTTCGTCACCTCTATTTTCCCCATTCCTCTTCCTGGTTCTTCGTGAGTGCGTCAGTCTTACCTTAGTTTCTACCCGATCACTTACCAAAATCGACTTTGTTCTTGGTCGTTTGCTTCATTTCCCCCTGCGGCAAGTCTCCGCCATCATCACCTTACTGTGAATCGCTCAATACAAGCCGGCACAGAGCTGGCAGCCGGGGATCTCTTCAAGGATTTTATAAAAGGAGCCCCTTTCTTTCTTCAAATCTCTCCCACCATCCTTTTCCTTTCCACAGATTACACCTCGACTGACTCAAAGTAGTCATCACCTATAGTCCCTTTCTCAAGAATACTCAAAGCACAAAGAAGCTTCCACGCCTGCAACAGCTTCTGGAACCCCCCCTGGATCAATTACTCCAAGCAACCATTTAAATACCACTACAAGTATCGAGATCCTCAGAATAACCCTCTCTCTTGCCAGCCGGGCTGCTGATCTTGCTTTCGCGGACCTTGACCAAACCGAGATTTGTCAGCTCAAGGATGCTCTCGATCGGGCTCAGACCGTTATAGAGCACCTCGAGGAGCTCAAGGGGGTCGACCAGACGCAGATCGTTCTGCTGCAGGCCCGCATCGATGAGCTGACTCAAACGATTACGTCTCTGCATGAGGAGAACCGTCGTCTCAAGGAGCAGAGCCCTGAGCCCTTCAGCAAGATCCAGGAGCCCCGTCATCTGGCTCAGGGGCCGTCTTCCCTCCAAATCATCGACATCAGCCGTACCATGCTGGCTGTGTCCTCCGAGTCTCCGTCCGCCTCGTCGCCGATTGAGGAGACTACCGCCATCGATCTGAATGACTTGAACATGGACGACGCTGTTAAGGACGGCTACCTCTCTGTCTCTGACAGTGGATTTGAAGATCTTGGCTCAGACGCTGGTTCTGAATCTACCTAGATTAGTCCATCAAGACGCAACGACTTCGCGAGGCATGGATTATAATAATCAAGCTTTGGACACCTAGGGCAGGTTTCTTAGAGACGTTATGGCAAATAGACGGTGACGGGAAACGGCTACGAAAGCCTCAAAGGTTGATATGATGCTGAGCGGGAAAAAATATCCGGAGGTGTCGCTGGCGTGTGTCCCGAGAGTTATTAGAGGGCTCGGAGTTTCAGCCAGTCGAGGCAGATTTTCCTTTCAAGCTTAGCATTTTCGGAAGTTTTCAGGAGTGACAGAAATTATGGCACTTGATAGTAAAGTAGCATCGCCTTTTTCCAAGAAAACTCGACTAGTTCCCAAATGATAATGTTACTTCGGTCGTCCTCCACCCCGAGAATATCCACCATATCCCACAAACTTCAACCATGCACCCAGACCCCTCGAGCATATCACCGTCCAGAGTGATTGACCCCCTGTCGTCCTTCATGGTACCCGTATCCCTCCTCCCCAAGCGTAGGGCTCACATCGCCGGGGACCCTCGGGCTCGCCGTGACGTCGCTCCCCATCTCCACCGACGAGCCTCCGTACCGCGGACTACTGGGCATCTCGCTCGCGCTGTTCGGGACCTCGAGCTCCGCAGCGTGGGCGTGCACGTTGTGGGCGTGAGTGTGACCGGGCGACGTCGGCGAGTGAGAGTCGTGGAGGCCCGGCTTTGGTTCGGGTGAGGAGTAGGGCGTGTACCCGGGCAACTCCGACATGGCGCTCTGTCGCGATGCCTGTATGGCCGCCGCCTCGTCCGCCCTCCTTCTCTTCTTCCTGCGCCGGAGGATGAAAAAGGCCCCGAGTCCCAGCAGGGCAATGACACCGACGACGCCGCCTACTACACCTCCTGCGATGGCCCCCTTTGACGGGCCATCCGAGTCCGATGGAGCCGTCGACGGAGCCGGCGATGACGACGGCGTCGTGGTGCTGCTGGGCTCCACGACGAGGGTATACTCGGGCGTATACGCCGGCCGCCGGAGCGAGGGGTCAAAGATGTACTGCAAATACACATCGCTCCACGCCCTCGGCGCCCTCTGACTGGCACCGCCCGACGCGGTCCCGCCCACAGCAGCGACAACCTGCGACGGCACGGGCGCGAGCCTCTTGGCAGCCTGGGTATCGAACCGACCCGTGTAATTCTGGCTCGCGAGCGAAAAGATCTCGACGGGCATGTGATCGGCGCAGGTATTGACGTTGCCGCCGCTGCCGTCGTTTTTCGTCTGCATGCCGCCGACGATTAAGAGGTTCTCGCCCGCGGCGTGGCAGGTGTGGCCGTACATGCCGTCGGCGCGGGTGTGCACGAGGATCCAGGTAAAGGTCGGTAGGGTGAGGACCCAGATCTCCTCTGATGTGATGTAGGTTGCGTAGTTTTCGACGCCGGCGATCATGTAAATGTTCCAGGAGGAGGCGTCCGTGGCGGGGACGAGGACGGCGCAGATGTCGGAGCGGCCGGTGGGGATGTCGGGGAGGCCAAACGTTTCTTGGCGGAACCAGAAGCCAGTTTCAATGTCGTAAATGTCGACGAAGGAGAGGTTTGTCTGTTTTGTCGGGTTAGTCTATGCGGGGGAAGAAAAGGGGAGGATTGGTCAGGGGGTTGGAGGTAATGGAGGGTACTTACGTTGACGTTTCCTGCATTGGCACTCTTGATTTGGACACCGTAAGGGGTCGGGTCGCGCGTGGTTTGGCCGCCAATGTTGACGATGATGCCCTTTTCACCGACGGGGATGTGGACCATGGCGCCATTCATGCGCGGGCCGACGTAGGTCGGGACGGATATATTGGTGAGCTTCGGCTGCGAGCGCTCCGCGGTATCAAGCTCGAGCATGCCTTCGAGGACTTGTAGATGTTAGGTCCCAACCTGTTACCATTGACTACGGTAGGAGGGAAAACGCAGACTTACACCGAAAGTCGGATGAAGATGCATACGCGGCATTCTCAGGACTGGATCTTTTCTGCACGTAACCCTCAAAGATGTAACTCCTATTCAAGGTGGACGCGTCGCAAAAGGCCGCGGCTCCTGGCCTGTCCACGATCTCGCCATTATTTGAGACGCTAAAGTCATCCGACTTGGACCACCCCCCGCCGTCGACGTCGAACTCCCATATAGCCGGTTCCGGAAGGTCCTTATCGGCAATGTACGCCGGGTTTTCGATGCTGTTGAAAGAGAACCACCCGCCGAGCTGATAGACCTTGCGGGTGGCTTTGGAGTACCACAGCGCGTGTTCGATGAGACCGTTGGGGACGTCGGGACTCTTGAAGATGGACGTATACGGACCGGTTTGCTGGTTGGTAAAGTTTTCCGAGAGGTCCAGGACCAAGAGCTGGTTATCTGGGATAGCGTTAGAAGCCCCAAGGGCATAACGTGATACGGCGAAAAGCACCACTTACGCATTCCCGCATCATAAGCCCCGGGTTCTGTGTTGTAAAACGTCGTTCCGCTCTTCGGCACGTACGTGTTGCCGCCATCTATGTAAATCTTCCCATCGGCCAACACACCTGCGGCCAGCTTAGATTTGATCCAAGATGGTAAAACCAGGGGAGGGGGGGTTCGACTCACTAGCATGCCTCCAAATTCGGCAATAATGCTGCGAAAGGTCGTATACGCTACTATTTATAGTCGGCGCCGGGATGGAAGTCGGAGCGGAGAAGACGGAAGAAGTAGTGGCAGAGGAGAGGAGGCTCTCCGAGGCGCTGCTCACGGCCTGTCTCACATCCACGACACCAAAGACAGGCTCCAGACCCGCTGCGAAAAGCAGCGCAAGCCACGGAACTCTCATGATGGCAGTGACTCAACGCACCGAAGAAAGATATGACGAAGAGAGGCCAGAAATGCGGCCAGCCGAGCGAGTGGGCATGGACGGGTATTTGCAGGACACCGCGAAGAAGGGGGAAGACTGGGGGTTGGGCTTCGCTTCGTTTACGCCGCACGCTGCAGTAAGAGATATTGAGCCCCCCCCCCCATGTCCGGTTGGTACCAACAAGTTCCGAGAGAATACCGAAAAGGGAAGCATGAGGCGTCCATCTCCAACGGGGTTGGTTGGATCTACATGAAGACGTGCAGGAATGGGTAGCTTCACTTCGGACCATGGTCCATAAGCAGACATTGACGAGACACAGCATGGCACAAACTGTAAGATCCAGAGCTCGCCGGGCAAACAGCAAGCAGTATGGGGAAAAGGATGGGAGGTTACAATACAGAATCAGTGCCTTCTAGCTTCGGAATGCCAGTTTCGGCCGGTCTCGCCGACGATCGAATCAGACAGTTGTCAGCAACGCGGGCAGCAAAAAACTCCATGTAATTGGGTCGGCGTTGTGCGTTTGGCGAAGGTGGTGACAGGATCGCGACCCTCATTTGCCTGGGTTCTCACTTTGCGTGGTCGAATAACTTGGCCCCCACGTGGCCCCCCAATGACTTTTGGTCTGTAAAATATGCAACAAGATGCAGGGAGCCGGAGCCTGCCTGCTTAGTCTTGAGCTGACAGGCCCCCTCAGTAGCTTACCACTTACTACTTGCCTGATTTGGGAGAAGGCAGAAGGAGAAAGAAGCTTATCAATGAGGCCTTTTGGAAGAGTGTTGTCCGTAAGTTTGAATGCGAGGGTGTAGGAGCCAGGCTGTGGCCCTCTCTCATCGATGATTTTGCTCATCAAAACATAGGCTTTCATTACGGAGTGTTTGCCTGTGAAACCAACCAGCAGTGGTGCGTGTCCCAATGGGGATACGGGCGACTCATTGAAAAGAACCCTGCTCGATGAAGTCTGGTCACCTGAGTTGCTAGGAACGAACAAGAGGGAGGCATGTCTATAATGCTCGACAGGCTCTGAGATGAGTTGGTTACATCAGTCTCTCATAGTCCCACTCAAAATGAGATGAACCACGCAAGAGAGAATGAAGCTGAAGAATCACGAGTGAAATCCGGCCACTTGCCCAAATCGGTCATTGAAGCCTCAGCCCCTCACACCCACCCCGCCTGAATAAAAACGCCGCTAAGAGAAGCCAGACCGAGCCCAAGGATCTCACTGAGTCTCTCTCCAACAGGTCGGCACTCTTCCAGCAGGTTGGGGCCGTTCCCCGATAACATTAGCGGGGCCGAGTCACCGACTTTACCGCAACAACATAAACAACCCCCCGTCTCGCTGGTGGACATGCGCAGGTTTCCCTTTTCCCCACCATAACCGTGACCGTGACCACCCCGCGTTCCCGGCGGCCCAGCCCAGCCCAGCCGCCTGAGTCGCCCGTCCCCGTTGCACCTGTACCCGCTGGACCGTACCTCGCCAATCACGTCGCGCCCCTCCGAGATGGCACAAGATGGCACAGCGATCCGGCTTGCGCTGGCGTCCTGAAACCTGCTCACCTCTATGCCGTTTTGGGACTCGGCGACGGTCTCGGTGGCAGTTGGTCACCAGGGCTGTTGCTTGTCATGTGCGACGATGCAGCGAGATAAAGCTTGCCCCCTGCTCGTCTGTCGTCCTGATAAGAGGCGTGGCATTTCCCTCGAAGAGGCACAGCTGAAGGCTTCATCTTCATCTCCATTGTACTCGTTTCTTGTGATTTACTCATAATCCCGAGTCATATTCCCGAGTCAGTTGAGAAAGCGTTCATTTCAGGACCCAAGATACCCCCAAGAAAACACCACTTTAATCAGCACAGGACCGGATCCTGCGCCTATCGCCAAAATGCCGGCCATTCTCCCTGACCAGTTCGTACACCCTCACCCGCACACACACTCTCTCAGACGAGATCTCTCAGGCGAGATGAAGAAAGACTCCAAACTCACAATCATGCCAGAACCCCCTCGGTCGAGCACCACCAACAATCAAAGCTCAACCTCCTCGCAACAACACAACCCAACTCATCCCAACCCCTGCCCTCCACCGTAGACTGCGCCGCCCACCTCGAGCTCCTCGAGACCTTTGTCACCCTCCGCGACGCAGTCCACCTCCTCGCCGCCGACGTGGGCCAGGGCCCCGAGCGCGTGTGGGACCTGTACTGCAACCGCGCAGTCGCCCGCTTCGAGCAATGGAGCGCCGGCGCCCAGAGGCCGGGGCAGATGCCGGCCGTCGATGTGCTCATGGCCTGGCACGCGTTGATGCTGCACCCCAAGGCGTACGCCCGGTTCATCGAGCTCGGTGGTCCGCTGGGCCTGGATGGGATCAACTGGTCTGAGACTGTGAGTGCCCTTTTACAACCTCTGAAGAATTCATGGTTCCTCGTCAAAGAAACAGTGGGATTCTCTTCAGGTGTGTTCACTGTGTGCTAACCCCAACTGCAGTCGAGATCATCAAACCTCGAGAACCTCCTCGCCTCAATCGACCTTCCCTCCCTCCTCTCATCACCCGCACACACCGGCATCTTCACCCACGCCTCTTCGACAGGCACCCCTCTCTTCACCTACCCCCTTGCAGCAGCAATCAACCGCCAATTCTCCTTCTCCCTCAAAATGTCCGCCCACGCCTGGCTCCGCAGCCCAGTCCCGGCACTAACATCGACCCTCGCGGCGGCACAGTCCCGCTACGCGCAGTTCTTCCACCTCATCGCCGCCCACCCGGGCACCGTCATGGTGCCGACGCTCGACATCGACCTCGTCTGGCACACGCACCAGCTGTCGCCCGCGCGGTACCTCGCCTACTCCAAGCGGACGACGGGGAAGCTGGTCGACCATGACGACGAGATTCCCGACGAGAGCTTGGCGGTGCTGTCGACGGATATGAGGGCTTTGTGGAGGGAGGAATTTGGCGAGGAGTATCTTCCCGCTGCCTGCCAGGATGATGCCGGGTGTGGGGGCGGGTGCGGTGGTGGATGTGGAGGTGAGGGAGGCTGCGGAAGCTGCGGTGCCATGAAATGAGGGCAGACATTTGCATCAGCATGGGATAGAGGATCAGGCACGGATAGACAACGGCATTACATGTACATCTTGCATTGAACGTATATCAATCATACAGAGAAAAAAGAAAGAGTGCAAAAGTGAAGCTATTACAATTATTGCCTCGTGGCGGAATCGAACCGCCGATCTTCTCATGTCACTATTACTAGTGAGACGCTATACCACTTAGCCAACAAGGCGCTTATTGGTTGAAATCTGACACAGGCTTGCCAGCTATGAGCCCTTCCGCCAATAACCTCAATCCCATGCTGTGCGTCTCCCGCACCACCTTGCACAAAGACCCTGCATTCTAATTCTCCTCTTCCGGACCTCTCCATATTACGAATCCTGGGCCATCCCGACACGACCACCCACAATCGTCCCCGCCAAGCACGTCAAAGTCGTATTTTGTGTTCTTTTCAAAACTCAATTAGAATGGTTAAAAGGGGCGCACCTCGGCTCACCCAAGTCCCCATCCAATGGCGCATCATAAAAAGGTAAGCAAACTGTCCCAGTCTCCCCAGTGGGCTCATCACCGCAGCACGCGGACAAGGGATGAACGTACAACCAGCCCATTGTAATGATAGATCATAGAATGCGGCCAGGGTTCTTCCTTACGCTGCCGAGGTCCGGCTCCCGTTCCGCTCCATTTTGGCTCCTTCTATCCTTACAGAGGAGCCTTTCAAAAGATCTTGCACGCGATGCCGAGACGGTCGTATCGTCACCCAGCTAACAGTATCAGTACAAGTGAGTACAGTCTCATGTCATGCGAACGCTTTCTCTCGCCTGAATCAAGCCTTGAATCGTGCTGTTGGACCCCTGAAGTGTTGAAGCCCTCTAATAAGGATGTATCTTAAAGTCCTGAGGCTGATGTACTCCACTTTATGCCATCATCTGTCCTGGCATTGTGGGCAAGATCTTTTGAAAGGCCCCTCTGTAGAAGGGGAAGAAAAATGGGTAATTCGATAGGTACCATGGAAGGTGTGGACTTTGTCGGATTCGCCGCTTTGCCGGAGCCGCCGCTCGGGGTTGACAACTTGAAGGAGAATCTCCATTCTAAACTCGGATGGCCCAGTCCTATGCGTCTTGTATCTGTTTATAGACCCCAGATTTGAACTAGTATATAAAGCAACTTCGTCAACGTTCCTCTTGTTCGTGAACTTTGTCTCAGTATCCTTCAGCTACTCATTCATCCTCAGCTCGCTCCTTGGTTTACAACTTACACCAAAGGCAAACTGTAAGACCATCATCACTGTCTTTCCAGGAGCTCGAGATCCCCAAGTTCCCACACCCTTTGTTTTGAGATCCACTCCCAGAAAGATCCCCCAAAGATTCATCAAAATGCGCGCCTCAGCAGTCCTCGCCGCAGCCTGCGCCATGTCCTCCTCCGTCATTGCCGGCGCCGTCCCCCGCGACGCCGCTCCCGCAGCTCACCCCTGGCTGGCCCCCGACGTCGCCGCCGGCGCCGTCCGCGGCCCCTGCCCAATGCTAAACTCCCTCGCCAACCACGGCTACCTCGCCCGCGACGGCAAGGCCATCTCCATGCAGGACCTCATCGCCGGCCTCGGCTCCGCCCTGCACTTCAACGAGTCCCTCGTCCGCACCCTCGGCACGCCCGCCTTCGCGACCTCCACCACCGGCAACCCAAACACCTTCAACCTCGACGACATTGCCAAGCACAACGTCATCGAGCACGACGGCAGCCTGTCCCGCGCCGACTATGCCGTCACGGGCGACGCAAAGACGTTCAACGAGACGGTCTGGGCCGAGACGAGGGGATACCTCGAGGCCGGCTCCGCGGCGACGGACAACAAGGTCGGCGTCGCGACCATGGCTACCGCGCGCAGCAAGCGCATCGCTACCGCCAAGGCCACCAACCCGTCCTTCAACCTGGCCACGAGCCAGGTCACCGTGTCCCTGGGCGAGTCCGCCGTCATCCTCGGCACCATTGGACAGAGCTACACCGAGCCTGCCGCGCCGCTCGAGTGGTTGAAGGTCGTCTTTGAGGAGGAGCGTCTGCCCTTCAACGAGGGATGGAGCACCTCTGCGGATGTGATTACTACCGCCCAGGTCTTGGGTCTGTCGCAGCTTATTGCCACCAGCGGAAGCAGCTAAGCTTCTTCGCTAGAATAGAAATAATAATTGCCATCATTTTTCAACGTTTCAAGGGTCAAGGGTGCCAGAGCAGCGTTCAGTGACATTGCCGGTGTTGATGTGAAGAATCATCCTGCTCTGTTTGTTGGTGGGCCTCACGGCGTCGTCGAAATGTAGCTTGACTCATGAGGCCCTTGGAAGGGCGGCAGTATTTGAGTTCCTGAGCTGCTGAGTAGCATTTGGCCATGGCGCAAAACATTCTTGAGTGTCGTGACTCGGGTGTCGTGACTCGGGAGACTCGGGATGGGGCCATGTGGAATAAACAAAATGGGGCTCAAAGTATCTGCGCCTTCGTTTTCGCTAAAACTCTTCGGCCCGCACAGGGGCAGTGTCAACGAACGTTGCACTGCATGAAAGATCCCATCCCTAGCCGGCACTATGAGCAATTATGCACGGTCAAAAGCCGCTCGCTTCATGACTTGTCTTGGCATTGTGTGGCGTACCTTTGATATATAAGTATATACGGATAATTCAGGGCTCTTTGCAGTCTTTTCTGGGCCCCATTGAGACTGTAACATCGTACAACAGACAAATTGGATCTTTTGTCATGACGAGGCGTAGTGCAGTTGGCTTGAGAAGATGGTTCATTTCTGTGCCGTCGTTTGCTAGTGCTCGTCTAACGGACGGCCTGGGACGGCCTGGGACATTACTGAAAGGAGCGGAAGTAGTGTGAGGCTTAGGAAAAGTATCAGGACCAAGATTTCCAGGTCTTGAGGTCAAGGGTTGTGGACGGGATAAACGGGGGAAAATAAACTAGGAGAAAAAAAAAGAAAGGAGGATGATATAAAGTGGTAGGATCCGGAACCCAATTCGCTTGTAAGACGTTGGGGGCGGCCGCTAGTACAAAAATGGAGCGGGATGCAACTAACTACCCTGAAGTTAGCTTGCTTCACCATCATCAGTCAGGAATCGGTTCCCCAAGCTCAAATCCAAGTGCCTCGATAAGGCCGCCAGCCTACAGTAGGTATTCCAAGTCTACTCAATACGCGCAACATTTGATAGAAAACATGACAGACGTGGTGGAAGCAGCACGTGATGCGGAGTGACTACTCCGATCATGTTTGGGGGTTTGGGGGACAGGGAGCGGGAAGTGAATCGGACGGATCTGCGATATACTTTACTTTAGATAACTTAGCGTGGGTGGTAGACATGCTTACCCCACGCCATGACGTTAGGCGAGAACACTGACGCCTCGAACTCGAGTTGAGCCTCATCCCCTCAACTCTGAGGAGCTTTGCGGCAAGGGACACTCTCACATGACGTCAATTCGAGCTCAGAGCTCCCCTTTTCGAGCTAAGCTCACGTATCTTAAAAGAGCTCCTTCAGCCGCCCCCGTCAAGTGTTTCCTTTCTCATCAATTCAATTTAACAATTCTAGTCCCGATATCACATACAGTTGACGCCGCCCAAACCTTGTCCACAACAACAATCGATTAATTTTGTTAATAATTTATTACACAAACAACACCATCATCATGCCTCGCGACGGATCTGGAGCTTCTGACAACGCCGGCGAGGCAACCCATGACATTGTCCACGGTGTCGGCGAGATCAAGGTACGTCAGGATATCTCCGATATGCCAATCATCTACCCAAATGTACACCACGCTGACCAACTCCTTTTTCCCAGGACCCCCACGTCGACCGCGCCGACAAGACCGCACCCCTCCCCGAGGTCGAAAAGGGTCTCGCCATCGAGGGCCTGTCCGCCAGCGGAGGTTCGAGCCAGGGTCTCGCCAAGGGCGACAGTGCCGGTCAGGGTGGCAGGTCCAACTAAAGGCCACCACTAGTTACGAGGGATGGAGATTGGTACACAAAGAGCAAGATAATCAGCTGTCGACCTATGGTGTACATCTCACGAGAATGATGTCATCGGATGGTGCCTACCATGAGGTAGACTAATGAGACACGAGTTACTCAATGTTCGTCGCTTCCGCCTGGTTTGGGTCGATGAAAATGCCATCCACATTGTTTCTTCATGACATGCCAAAGTGAAATACTAAAGTTATGGAAGAAGAAATACCGCCTTCCATGTCACCAGGCAAAAGCCTGTCAAGCCTACACATGGTCCCTCCCCTGTCCATGACTTCCCCAATAACTCCAATATCAAGGGTCGGGTAACGGGCGCCGCGATTCCGTTGGGAAAGGGGAATACGCCCAGTATGGCATACACTACAACAACATCCGTCAGCCAAAGATGCGAGGAGCTTCTTCAAACACCAGAACATTAGTGTTGGCAACAGACTTGCTTACAAGAAACGATCAATTCTCACGGTAGCCAGGGCCACGCCAATAGATAGCAGATTCGTGGAAACCCCAATAAACCGAGTGCCACAAGAGCGAGAGCGAGGACCATGTCCTTTCCCAGGGACTCCATGCCGACGACGTGTCGATCGCCCATCGAATTCAGACGGGAAAAAAATGTTTCCCCCGTCCCGTAGTGTTTTGCGTGTTGATTGAAAGGTATCCAAGTGGATGGCGTTGAAGTGAGGTTGGTGTACGGCGAAGCGGGCATCGATTTTGGGACGATCCACAATTGAATGAAGACTACGTACAGAAATGTCATTATCCGTTAGCTCGACAGAGCTTCGGACGAACTTCAAGATTCTTCCAATGTCTCACACTGTCAACTCCCGCAAGCCTTTCCCAGGCTTCCAGATCGACCACAGACAAACCACTGTCAATGGTCCCGACGCGGCAGGCGTCAAGCAAAACGCATCAAGACAGTTCATGGTCATATATCAGTAAAGTGAAACTCCAATTCATGAGGAACCTGGAATACTCCATAGTCCATATCAAATCATACCAGCCGCAACCTCATCGTAGAGGCAAAGCGTATGAGATCCCCCCTTTTTTATCTATTTCCCTCCTCCCATGCTCATCATCATGCCCAAAATCAAACGGCGCAAAGCAAAGGCAAAATCCTCCCTTCCCTCCAGGTCTCAAGCCTCAAAGACCAAGACAACACCATCATCACCAGCAGTAACAACCCTCTCCCCAGTCTCCCCCTGCACGAACCCCAAAACACCACCGCCCTCACCATCACCCCGATGTCCCCTCCACTCCTTGACAAGCCCGCCGTCCTGCGCCCTCAAATCCCACCTTCTCACCACCCCGTCCATACCACAGGTCGTCAGCAGCCAGCTATTCTTCACAAACTCCACCTTGACAACACTAAACTCCTCGTGCGCGCCCACAAGGCTCCTCCGCACGGCGAACCTCCTCCCCGCATCAAACACCGTCACGCTCCCGTCAACGGACCCCGCAGCCAGCAGCGTCGAAATCTGCCCCGGCCCGCCCGCCGCCGTCGTGAAGCTAAGCGCCTCGATCGAATCCGACGCCGTCTGCAGCGCCGCGAGAATCTGCCCGCCCGCGGCAACGTCCGCGCCACTCTTGCTCTTGCCCTTGGCCCCCTTACCCGCCTGCGCGCTGCTCGCCAGCCTCGGCAAGCTCACAATACGGATCGCGCCGCCCGCGCCGCCGACGGCCACCAGCGCGCCCTTGGGGTCCACCGCGACGCTGTACAGCCCGCCCTCGACCGCGAACCGCTGGTCCTCGGCCGTCAGGCTCACCGTCGTCTGGCCGTTGCTCTCCACCAGGCCACTGGCGGCCGCCTCGCCCCAGACATCCCACACGTACAGGCTCGCGTCCTCGGAGACGGTGCAGAGCAAGTTGCCGTCGGGCGTCCAGGCGCCCGCGGTGACGGGGGCCTGGTGGAGCCAGTACGTCTGCACGAGCTGCAGTGCGTTGGCCGGGTTGCCGCCGCCCGCGGCGATGTCGATGGTGTACACCCAGACCGAGTTGTCGCTGGCGCCAATGGCAATGGTGTTTGGGTATTTGGGGCTCGGGCAGGGCGCGATCCAGTTGATCTCGGGGACCTCCTGCGCCTCGGCGATGAACTTGATTTGCACGCTGGCGGCCTCCGCCGAGGCCGAGTTTACGCGCAGGGCGTGGACGCGGAGCTTGCCGTCCATGCCGCCGCTGACGAGAAAGTCGCCCTTGGGGAGGGTGAAGGCCAGGGCGTTGATGCTGTCCGTGTGGCCGTCGATGGCGTAGATGGTCTGGAGCTCGGTGGACTGTTGCTGGGAGGTGTCGCCCGAGTAGGAGGCCGGGAGGACGGGGCGGGAGGCGGCGGTGGCGGTGGAGATGAGGTAGCCCTTGCCGGGTGCGTCGTCGGCGTCGCCCTCGGAGCCGCCGGTAGCGATGAGGGTCGGGTGGACGGGGTGCTGGGCGATGGCGAAGACGGAGTCCTTGTGTGCGTCAAAGTAGGCGACCGAGTCGTTTTGGAGGTTGATTTCTTCGTTTTCGTCGTCAGAGTCCATGGGCATGTCCTCGTCGTCGACATTGACCTCTTCGCCAACCTCGTCGGCCTCGAGCATCTCGGGCTCCGACTCGTGACCGTCATCGACGGTTGTCTTTTCGTGAGGGGCCGACATTTTGGGTGCCGGTGATGGTCGTCTTGATGTTGGAAGTGTTGCGCAAGGGTTTTGCACTCTTGAAGTAATGCGCCGACTTCCGAATTTTACGTCGAAAGATATATAGTGATGACGTAGGAAGAAGCGCCGGGTACTGATCCGTAATTTATTGCCCAAAAACAGAAAGAAGGCGTAGAAGCAGGAGGACGTTTTATTAATCGTCAATCGAGGTTCCGCGTGCTTGATAAGCAGGATTGCGCGCGCAGTCTGGGCACTCTTTCTGGGTAGGCAGGAACGAATTTTTTTGTAGCTTTGGATGGCGGGGTGGCGGGGTAATTCGCAGTGAGGTGTCTAGAAACTGCAGGCGGTGAGGTAGGTACTTGGTATTCTTCTGCGCCGGGGCCACAGGTTGCCGGGCCGCCCAGAGGAAGGATGTGGAGGTCGGTGTGACTCTTCACCGGGCATCGGCGGCACGGCGCTTGGCCCGGGTTGAATGAATGCCCGCGATTATATGGCATGGTGTCCAGTCTTGTACATTGCGCGATTATATCTCCTAGTGTCCTAGTATTCGTGTTCCTTGAAAAATGCCCTTATAACTACCTTACCTATGACGGATCTTGAGCCGCTTCTCACTTTCTTACGTGGATCGCTTCCCGGTGATGCACATCTCATCAAGACTTTCTAGTTTCTACGCCTTTACCCAGGGCAGGCATATCTTCTTGTCTACTGTGCTCAAACACAACATCGCCATCGAAACCTCCCAGTGGCCCTCATGACAAGCCTCCCCCGCTAAAATCAGACATTTAAACGCCCCATACGCTGGTGTAAAAATGACCCCTCACAACAGTGATATATCCATCTCATAACAATTCCCCTCCATTACACTTGATATTCCCGCTCCTCCATGCAAATCATCTCAACCTCTCAGTACCCTAGGTAGCTTACGAACTCCCGCGACTAACGTCACCTCCGATTATCAGCAGGCAATTCCGTAGGCCCCTCCCCGCCATCCAACTCAGCAGGCTGCTGCGGCTGCGTCCACCCCTTGAACTGCGTGTGTCCCCCTCCTCCATGCTGGCCGCCGGGGTTCATGAGAACCTTATCATTGTTGTAATACCCAGCAACGTCCGTCCCAATCATCTCCGACGCGGGCGACGCCTGGGGGCCCTGCCCGTTCTGCTGCTGCTGTTGTGCGTACTGCTGACTCTGATACGCGTACGCGCTCTGAGCTCCCATGGGCGACTGCCCATCCATCTCAGGCGCCGTCGGCGTCTCGACGGGCTTCACGCCCGCATATCGGTGCTTCCGCCGTCTCCACCACAAAAATAGACCTACGAGCGCGGCTATCGCGACGACGGGCACGACGACAGCCACAGCGACGATGCCGCCCGTGGACAGACCACCAGTGTTCGCGCTGCTGGTGGTGTTCTCCGCCCCGGCCGCCGTCCCGGTTGCACTCGCACTCGCATCCGTCACTCCGCTCCGCGCCGCCGCAGTCTCCGTTCCCGTCCCCGTTACCGTTGTCGTCGCAGCCGAGGTCGTCTGGGGCAGAAGATCGCTCGCCTGATACACCATCCTAATACCCCACGCATTCACACCATCACGGTTCTTCATCGTGACAGCCTGGGTAGCCACAACCCCGTCGTCTGTCCGCGTAATATCAACGACCGTCGCGGGGCCAGCCATCCACGTGCAAAATTGTGTCTCCCACACATTTGCGAGGGTCATGTCGTCCTGGACGCAGGACAGCGTCATGTCGCCGCGGAAGGGGCAGCACGTGACGGTCGTGATGGAGCGCACGCCGCCATTGCGCGAGCAGTACGGTTGCGCGGTGTAGCCCGTCGGACAGACGGTCCCGGGGGAGTAGAAGGCCGTGCTGGCGCCGTTAAACTTGTCGGGCAGGCATGAAGGGTCGTTATCGATGGCGTATACATTGTTGGTGAGGTAGATGCCGGAGCAGGAGGACGCGGGCGGGGAGAAGTCGGCTGTCTTGAGCGGGTTTTCAGGAAATGTTGACGCGATGAACGTCGTTTTTGTTGATGTCATTTTGAATCGAGGGTGTATGTGGTGAACGAATGTGAGAACTGGCGTTTAGATGCCGCTTTTCGACGCGGGATTGGACTCGAGAGGTCGATATCGAGGTTTAGTCTGCCGTCGACTACTCGTGTAAGACGAGAAAGGGGTGGATGACTACGTGTGGATACTACTACACTGCGGGATCGAGAAACCTGACATCAAGAGGCGATTTGCAAACGACTGAAAGGTAACAATTGGCAAGTAGCTGCGGTGAGCAGTAGGCAAAATGACAAGAAAAGAAGGAAAACGGGGACTCGATCAGCAGGGAACAAGGGAACCACTCGCTTTTCACGAAATCCTTCGTGCTCAGTTACCAGCTCACATATTTGCACTCACACGCCCCCCCTTCCGGGTCGCCCCGTCTAGTCCGCGCCGGCCAGTCAGACGGCGCCAATCTGACACCACGGCCGATGAACCCCATGGTTGGTGTCCTATCGCGCGAGACGGTGAAAAGAGAAGCGGAGAGTGATTCGGGCAGGTCGGGGCGGGACAGCAGGGGGAGGGGGGGGGCGAGCATCTCAGGCATCGCAGGCAACGAGATAAACGGTACCAGCACACCATCGCTTTTCGAAGGGAGGAAAAAGTCATCAATTTGGATGTGACGCTAGGAAGAAGGGGGAAATAGGTGAATGGCGTTGAATTGGGGCCAAGCGACATACCCATCGTCGCGCAGGCGCTGGGCGGAGTCTGTGAGGTGCATTCGCGAATCCTTCGGCAGGGATCTGGTGACCAGGGGCTGAGCCGACGGGCGTGTCTGCATCCGTGATCTGTCCAATGTTAAGTGCCTTGATCCTCGGGAAGCTGAACCATTACTGCCACTGTCGCTGGCGCTGACAAAGTTTTGCTGCCGATGCTGGTGCTGATAGTGCTATTCTGCGATTCCCATTGTAAAGCAGAGATATTAGACTGGGAGGGCGGTAGAGCAAAAAGGACGAGACGCGACCGCCTCCCCTTTCTGATACAAGACCGCTGCGGCCAGTCCATCCGTCAAATTCTTGGCTCATTGGTGTCGCGAGCCCTTTAAATTCTAGCGCGTGAGCAGGAAATTTCGAAAATAAAGGGATGAGGTCGTTTCTTTTCCCAATTGTGCGGTTTCCTGCGGATATTGACAGAACAAGGTAACTTCAGTCCCGCGCTGGCGGACGATCGAACGGGACGGGCCTCAGCTGCTTCTCATCCACTCTTCAACTCTTCGTCGATTGGCGATTCCGGGCGAACAATGGAATGTCCTCTCTATATTTGCTTCTCTGTGAACTAAGGTAGTGAACCGGTGAATTGATTGGCAAAGGTTCGTGGCGGGGTTGTGCCGCGTTGGAAATGGGATGGGTTGCAAAGCCCCACGACGGCGTCCCGGCTAAGGCATCATGCACTTCGTCAGGCAAGGCTGTAGCACCCACTCAAGGCGAAGCCTGTAAGCACTAGACAAAGTAGAGGGGCAGTCATCCCAAATAAAGCTTTTAGGAATCCAGCCACGCCCCTCGACAGCCCAGCAAGGCGTTTATCGGCCATGTCTTACTTTTTGGGTACCTGACGAGACGTGCTAGCGGCACCATGGCCGTTGATCGCCAATGATATGCGGAGATGCGGTCGCAGTCTAAGACGTGTCTCGGCTCGTCGAGACTCAAGAGAGGCTCTTCCGGGGAGACGTCGAGGGAGTTGCGAAATTCGATCTCTGTACAAGGGTGATTTTATGTATGAATTGTCATTGTTACACGTATACAGTAGCCAGCAAATTCTGAAATGTACGTGTATAGCAGCAGAAATTCGTCCATGAGTCCTCAGGGTCTTTCATAGACCAAATAAGGCCCTACGCCAAACGCCACACCTTTGCCCCAGAAAGTGACACAACGCCTTCTTCAATGTTAGAAATATGACAGATAACTCCCCCTCGCCAAAAAAGCGGCTACTATTTGAGTGGGCCCATGCCCATCATCTTTTGGTGGTCGATATGCTGGCCTCTCGCGGTTATGGTCCGGTATTCATGACTATCGTCGTTGCGGTTGTTTGGCAACTCTAATGGTACCGGAGCCGCAAGCTCGGACGTCGGCGTCACGTTCTGTCCCGTCACGGACGATTCCCCTTCTGAAAGATTTGGCAGCTTGGAACCTGCATAGCCCTTGTAGCCCCTGTACTGCTGCGTATGTGGATGTTGATGAACGTGAGCCGCCGTCAAGGAGGACTGATACGTCGACGAAGGAGACTGCACGGCTTGCATGTTCTGCATGGCCGGCTGTTGTTGCTGCTGGTACTGCTGGTATTGTTGCTGCATATTCGGCACCTGATGAACATGGTTCGTCTGATTCATCGTCGAGCTCTGATTCGGGATCGAGTCCTGCGGAGGGCCGTTGCCGTTCATGCGATTATACCTTTCCGCTCGTCGTTTCCTCCACCACCAAAATGCGATGCCGGCCACCAATCCGATGAAAACGACCGGCACGACAGCCGCGATCGCAACGGCGGCGCCGGTGGACAGCTCGGATGACCCGGATGCGGTCGCTCTTGCTGTGGCTGCGGTCCCCGTGATTAATCCTGTATTCGTCCTCACAATGTCCCAGTCTGTGCCGCTCGCCGCTGTCGCGCTTGCAAATTCTACATCGGACGACTGATAGACCATGCGTACGCCGTAAGCATTTACACCACCAGGAGGGGTCATAAGCGCCTGTTCAGTCCAGGTGCGGCCGTCGTCAGTGTGAGTGATGTCGATGCGCGTAGCCTCAGGGGCAATCCACGTGCAGAAAAGATTGGCCCATTGACCGGCGAGAGTGGCGGGGTCGACGGCGGAAAGGATGATATCGCTGCGATATGGGCAGCAAGTGACCGTAGTGATGCTGTGGACACCAATGTTGTCGACCTTGGCGGTCATGTAGCCCTGCGGGCACACATAGCCGGGGGAGAAGTAAGCAGTCTCCTGCTTATTGAGGCTTGTGGGCAAACATTCGTCTTGGGGGTCGACCATGTAGACGTCGCCATAGTAGATGCCATCGCACTGGGTTGGCTGTGCGAACTGGGTCGTCAAGGGGTTGAAAGGGAAGCTTGTGACAACGACAGTCTGATGCGTATTGGTACTGATAGATGCCGTTACCGCTGCCGTGGTCGCGGTTGCCGCCATGGCAAACGGCAGCCTTGGGGGATAGCGGACGACCGGCCGGGGTGATTATAGGCAGACACTGGGTGGCAGAGCCGGGCCCGAGAAACGGGACGGGGTTGTTGAAGCTAGGCCGGATGGATCGAAGAGACAAGCGGTCACAACCGCGGTTTGGCCTGTCTTTGAAAGTTCCTGCAGCAGTGCAGAGCCGTAACTGGGTGGATTGCCGCAACTCGCCGAGATGCAGGCCGAAGCCACCGCCGCAGTGTGTCTTGTTTGACTCGGGAGGATTTTGCGGCGCCCATGCGGTGCTAGGCAGCAGTTTTTCTCTTTTTTTTTTTTTTTTTGAGTTGAAATCTCTGGGAAATTGTATGTGGAAGAGGGGAGGAACTTGAAAGGTCGATCGTTCTGAAGGCCAGAAGCGGGGACCGAATGCAAGAAATCTGAACCAATCCTCGCTTCATTTCCTTTACTGGAGCTTTTGGGGGCCTTGTTTTCCAGCTGACAGCAATGAAAGAAGAGCCAGCGGAAGAAATATCGGGGAACTGATGCTGGACCAGGGGGCGAACACGATGAAGGCAGGAGACCAGTCCAATGAGGGCTGGTAACTGGAAAGACAAGGTCCAAAAGGGTGGGTTCTGAGGGGGGGCGGAGCGAAAGGGATGGACCAGGGTTCGAAGAAGCGAAAGCGGTAGCGGGAATCGAGACAAGCCCGTTCAAAAAGCCGTCTCAAAGTTGGTGGTGTCTCTGGGTCTCGTTTCCTCTTTTGGTCGGTTTCTGGCCGTGGCATGATGGGAGGATCCGTCGGTCCTGGTGGGAAACTTGGAGAGACAGCTTCAAAGGTTGCTGTTTTGTAATCCCCTTCGAGTGCTCTGTAACAGTCGTCGACTGCGCAGGGCTGAACGCAATGCAGCGACGCGAACGGATTGATCCCGGGACTTTGGGGACATATTGGTTGACAGATATTCTTTCCCGCGCCGTCAATATCTACTGGTGGAGTTCGTATGCTGCACTTGCAGTGGGTGGCAGCGAGTATCGACAAGAGGGCATCTGGATTTGTTGGTCAGCCACGATGATCCATCATGCACATAGCTGTCTGTCCACGGACCATTGACCACAGGCTGCGGATGGGCTCCCGTCTCGTGTCGTCTCGTGTCGTCTCATCTTAAGTTCTCAACCGGTCGATGCCATCCCAAGCGTGACCGCCAGCTTGGGGCTCGTGCCATACCCGCATCGGCTTGTTGAACTGACTTTTAGCAAGACGCCGGGAGAATACCCGTAGATGAAGGCGGTGGGATTCAGCATGGTGATAGAGCGAATGTCGGATTGCCGTCTTCGATGTTGGGTGGAAGCGAAGTCTTTGTTCAAACGGATGGGAACAATCAATGAGATATCTAAGAAGTGGTGCAGATCGCGGAGGGGAAACCTCCTTGCTCCCCCAGTCTGACGCCTTCCGTCGGGTCGTTCCTCTGATATTTTTGAGTTCTTCGCCCCTGGCACCGACAGTTCGTGGAAAGCGGATCCCAGGGGTAATTAAAAGCGGAGACTGTATCACGCTAAGGCTGCTTAGGTGCTTAGGTCAGCCAGGATTCCGCTCCTTCCAAAATCCTTCACGGCCACGACAGCAACCTCGGAAGCTGTGTGGCCCTCGTTGACCTTCATTTTTGGATGATGGGAGGGCGTCACCTATGAGGGATCGAAAAGAGAGGTCTTCATAATGGTATTAGTTGAGGTACTTACTCTGACCATCTCTCTGGAGCGAAAAGACCTTCCAACCCATCATATCAATGCAATGATGAATTTCTCTCTGCGTGGGTTATACATGTTTTGAATCTCTTTGAGATCTTGTGACCAATCATACAGCATTGACGGCACATGGCGGAACCTTTATTCGATCTTGCAGAAGGTTTTAGTCGAAGCTTGATCCCCCATGGGTCGCTTGCACCGATTTGACCGTTTGGTGTATCCGGGCTCCTGGGAGGACGACATCAACGCGATGATTGGCCATGTTTACTGAGGGCATTCTCACATGCATCCCTATAGCTTTCCTGAAAGGTTGATGCTTGTTATCTATCATTGAACAACATCGTCAGTCATCTAGCTGTCTTATTCGCTGTATTCTCATGGAATTGAGAGGCTACGTAGAGAATCAAACGTCCAACTTACTTTTCAGTGAGACCAAACAACCTTAGCCAAGCCATTCCGACAAACTGCCCAATCCTGCAAGCTATAAATCCAAAGACACAAACTCATCTTCCTCACCCTTGACCCGAACCTCCACGCCTCCCCTGACAGCCTTCCCAAAATCTCCAGACAACCAATTCCTCACCATCTGCAGCCCAACCTCGGGCTGATCCAACGGCACCATGTGCCCCGACCCCTCGACAGTCACAAACGCGAACCTAGTCTCCTTGCCTCCCCTCGTAACCTTGGAAACCTGCTTCCACAATCCAGCGCGCACCCTCTCCCCGCCCTTGACCGCAAACCACGGCTCGGGCGCCCTGGAGACGAACTCGACCTGTCCGGCCCACGATAGCTTATTCGTCCACCGCACGTTACCCGCCGTATTGCACGCGAGGTCCAAGTCGCCATTGTACACCAGCACGTCGATGCCCGACTCGAGAATATACTTGACATCGCCCTCAGTACTGAGGAATTCGTCGCCCGCCAGCGCGAACCGCTCATTGACGCTCTCCGAAATGAGACTAAAGTTCTTGCCCACCGCCTCGGGGACCTCGAGCGCGGCCAGCACGCGCTCGGACTTGATGTACCCCTCGATGCCGTCGCCCGCGCCATAGCATATCTTCTCCGTCTCGCACGGCCGCGTGATATCAAACGGGTTCCGCCCACCAGTCTTGACGTCCTGGTAATACAGCAGATCGACGTGGCTGAAACAAAATTCCGCCGCGGCGCCGCAGATGATGGGATCTGGGAACCCGTAGCACGCCTGCTGGAGGTACATACACCGCGGCAGCGCGTCCGCGATCCGGCCGCACATGGTCTCGTTGAAGACCGGCTCGGGGACGCCGGGTTTGGTGGTGCACAGGGTGTCGTAGAAGCCCCACGTCGTGTCCGCGGGCGAGACGTAGCCGTTGCCAATGAGCACCGACGCCAGCGGGACCTTGAACTCGGGCGGGGGGGAACCCGTGTTGTAGGCTACGATCTCGGCGGCGAGGGCGGGAATGTAGTGCCCGCCGTAGCTCTCGCCGACGATGTGGAAGGGAACGGCGGCTAGACCGGGGAAGGCCTGGTAGAAGATGCGGAGGAAGATATTCATGTCCTCGGCTGCAGTGTAGGACGTCGAGGGCGGAGTCACGTCCTTGTCAAAGTAGGACAGCCCCGTGCCGGCGGGCTGGTCAACGAAGATCATGGAGGAGTTGGCGTTCCAGGCGTAGGGGTTGTGGACTGTTCCCGTGCCATTGTCGTTGATGAGGCAGGGTCCCAGTTCCAGCATGAGGCCTAGGCCCATGATTAATTGCGATTGATAGGCTGTGGCTTGTTGCGCTTCACTCACCAACGAGGCCGCTGCCGCCTGGTCCACCAGTCATCCAGAGACTGAGAGGGTCATTTTCGGGATCGTTCAGACTCTCAAAATACCCTACCGACAAGTGTTTAGAGCCGCGTTGTCATTCTAGATCTTGACGCTCTCACTCACAAAAGAAGAGGTGCTTTCCACCTGTGTCCAGCCAGCCAGTCCACTGCCTGGAACCCGCGTCGCAGATCTCATCACTCTGCTCCTTGATGCGAATAGCGTGATGTGGGTGTTCAGGCACAGAGAGAGTGGTGAACTCGGGTAACTCAATGTCCGCCTGCGTTGCGACGGCGGATGTGAAACCAGTGAGAAGCGCGAGTCCGGAGACCGCCGAGGACATAATCCAGACCATCTCGGCTTAGTTGTGAGCCGGGCGATGCTCAATTGATGATATGCGGCGATCAATTGATGAGAGATGAATGAGAAGAATCTCCGCTTGGTGAAGAGATAAAAGCGATAAGGTGTGACGAATTCGGTGCACTTTTGAGAGTTTTGAGTTGGGATCCTGTAAGCACAGCGTCCCGATCAGGAAGGCCCGGAGCCGAGTGGAGTCGGCTCGGTGTACCGGGGTCCCAAGTCTTCAGTCTGGAATCTTCGGGTCATCACTATGTGTACCTTGATGACCAGCCCAGATACTCAACACGGCGATGGATCTGTACCAGGAACTATAGGTAGCTAACAGAGGGTTCATTCCGTGACAGTTGAGGAAATCTGTATGCTTGATAACGAAGCGAGGCTTATCGGCACAGTTGCATAATTCACGGAGAGGTACACACATTTGATTTGAGTTATTAGATTACTGACTGGAGCTGATTACCAGCTAGGTAGGGAGATGTTTTCCACCGAGCTGATGGACTACCTTGGGCTCAAAGGTAGCTTCTCTTGATCGAGGACAGGAGGCATGCATTGACGGCCATGGCGTTCGTTGCCATTGACTGGGCTTCCAGGAGACTTCTTCAATCTCAGTCACCTTTCCAATCACCTTGAGTTAACCTCGTCTTATGTCCTAATCAGAAGATTACTCAGATGAAAAAGTTGTCGCCATAGCACATGCTATCCAAGTCATCACCAGATGCAAAACCTAGTTGAACGTGCCCAGTTGAACGTGAGAATATCAATATTTTGTCCCGGCTAAAGATGCCTGTCTAAGGTACCAAAAACAGTTTCGCATGCCCAATAATGCAAAGTTGAACCCCAACAAAAACAATCATTTTCATTGTTTTGTTGTTTAGAACTCCCCGGTGGCCCATGTCTCCGGCCCCCAAAACCGCCCATATTCATACTTTATAAATATGATATTGTATTTTATTCCCTGTTGAAATCGCAGGAACTCAAATCCCTCGCTTGCTAAGAGATGATTGGAAAAATGTTGAAAGATGGTAGGAAGACGAATCAGTCAACATCAGGAGCATCCTTCTATGAGATGCCCGTCTGATGTGAATTAGTCGTTCCCAATTTGCAAACATGAAGGCTGTCATGCAGGCACGAGTCTTTGGTCTGCTGGTATCATGTCTATCAGATGCAGAATCATCGATTTACTCTTGCGTAGTGTCCTCGACGGGAGGGCAAGTGCAGAAGAGGTGAGTGTCACCGTATGCTGTACTGTGTCAGTGGAATGCAACCTGGAAGAGAAATGGGCAAACTTACTGTCGTCAACGCGAGCTACGCTAGGCCAGAACTTCTTCTCCTTGAGGTGAGGCAAGGGATACGCAGCCTTCTCACGGGAGTAAGGACGGTCCCACTTGCCCTCGCCATCACCCAGAATAACGTCCATCTGGGGGTGAGGTGCCATCCGGAGGACGTTGCCCTCACGCGGCTGCTTGCCCTCCTCGACCTCGCGAATCTCCTCGCGGATGCTAATGAGGGCGTCGACGAAGCGGTCGAGCTCCTCCTTGCTCTCACTCTCCGTGGGCTCGATCATGAGCGTGTTGGCGACGGGGAAGCTCATGGTCGGGGCGTGGAAGCCGTAGTCCTGGAGACGCTTGGCGATGTCGATGGCCTCGACGCCGGCGGTGGTGATGAAGGGACGAGCGTCAAGGATGAACTCGTGTGCGCAGCGGCCGTTCTCGTTGGTGTAGAGGATCTTGTAGTGGGGCTTGAGGCGGGCGAGGATGTAGTTGGCGTTGAGGATGGCGGTCTTGGTGGCGAGGCGCAGGCCGTCGTTGCCCATCAGTGCGTTGTATGCCCAGCTAATGGGCAGGATACCGGCGCTGCCGAAGGGAGCGCTGGAAACCATGGCCTGGTCGGCATCGTGGGCAAGACCGGGCAGGAAGGGAGCGAGATGCTCCTTGACGCAGATGGGTCCGACACCGGGGCCACCACCGCCGTGGGGAATGCAGAAAGTCTTGTGGAGGTTGAGATGGCAGACGTCGGCACCGATCTCGCCGGGCGAGGCAATGCCGATCTGGGCGTTCATGTTGGCACCGTCCATGTAGACCTGACCACCGTACTTGTGAACGAGTTCACAAGCCTTCTTCACGGCGGGTTCGTAGACTCCGTAGGTGCTAGGATAGGTGACCATGAAAGCACCCAACTCCTCGGCGTGCTTCTTGCACTTGGCTTCCAAGTCCTCAATGTCCAAGTTTCCGGTCTTTTGATCGCACTTGATGGGGACGACGCGCATGCCGGCCATGGCAGCGGACGCGGGGTTGGTGCCGTGGGCGGAAACAGGGATCAAGCAAATGTCACGCTTCTCGCCGCCGGGTTGTGCCTGGAGGTGCTTGCGGATGGCCTGAAGACCGGCAAATTCGCCTTGAGCGCCAGAGTTGGGCTGCAGGGAGACGGCATCCATGGCAGTGATGCCCTTCAGTTGCTCAGAAAGACTCTCAATCAAGGCGTTGTAGCCCGGGAGCTCGCTGGCGGGTGTGTGAGGGTGGATGGTGGAGAAGCCGGGAAGGGTAATCAGAGCCATCTCGGTCGCACCGTTCAGCTTCATGGTGCAGGATCCGAGAGGGATCATGGAGTGAACGAGAGACAGATCCTTGGACTGGAGGTAGTGGATGTAGCGAAGGATCTCAGTCTCGCTGCGGTGGGTGTTGAAGACGGGGTGTGTGAGGTATGCAGACTGACGGCGCAGAGTCTCGGGAAGAAGTTCGGTGACATCCTTAGTGAGAGCACCGTAGGCCTTGCTCGCAATCTCGGTGGTCTGAGTGCCGGTAGCGCTGCCGAGGACAGCGGCGATGGACTTGAACACCTCCTCAGTGACATGCTCGTTGACGCTGATACCAATGTCACCGTTTCCGTAATCACGGAAGCCTAGGCCAGCCTTCTTGGCCTCCTCCAGGATCTTCTGGGAACGGTCACTAGCCTTAATGACGACGGTGTCGAAAAGGACCTTGCCGTCAGGGCTGGCGCTACTCTGCTCGGTCTCCAAACCCGAAGCCTCGGCGACAGCCTGGACTCCACGGGCAAGACGGACCAATCTCGAAGCAATCTCCTTCAGGCCCTCAGGTCCGTGGTAGACGGCAAACAAGGCAGCCATGTTGGCCAAAAGAGCCTGGGCAGTGCAAACGTTGCTGGTGGCCTTCTCGCGACGAATGTGTTGCTCACGGGTTTGCAGAGCCAGTCTCAAGGCACGATTGCCGTTTCGGTCCTTGGAGACCCCGACCAGCCGGCCGGGCATACGGCGCTTGTGGGCTTCCTTGACGGCAAAGAACGCGGCATGGGGTCCACCAAAGCCGAGAGGAACGCCGAAACGCTGGGCACTGCCAAAGGCAATATCAGCACCCCATTCGCCAGGGGGCGTGAGGACCGTCAAAGCCAGCAGGTCGGTGGCGGCGCTGAGGAGGGCACCTTGGGAGTGAACGAGGTCGGAGAGTCCCTTGAAGTCCTCGACCTTGCCCTTGGTGTCGGGATACTGGACCATGACACCAATCAAGTCCTGTCCTAGCGCCTTAATCTTCTCCACAGAGTCTGCGGCGCTCACGTCAATAACCTCGACCTTTATGCCGAATCCCTGAGCTCTGCTCTGGAGAACGGAAATAGACTGAGGGTGAACGAGATGTGAAACGACAAAGGTCTTGCCCGGTCTCTTGGCCCGGGATGATGAGAGAGCATTCATGGACAGAGTCATGGCCTCGGCGGCGGCCGTACCCTCATCCAACAAACTGGCGTTGGAAATGGGGAGTCCAGTCAGATCGGACACCATGGTCTGGTAGTTGAGCAGCGACTCAAGACGACCCTGGCTGATTTCCGGTTGGTAGGGCGTGTAACTCGTGTACCAGGCAGGGCTCTCTAGTACATTGGTCTGAATAACACGGGGCGTGACGCTGGGGTTGTATCCGGCACCAATGAGAGGCTTGGGAGCGGCCTCGTTGGCCTTGGCCCACGCCGTGGCTCTCGCCATAATCTTGGTCTCATCCATGGGGCCCTCATTGTCCCAGGCAAAGGTCTTCCTCTCGGAGATGACATCCGGAGGGACAACCTGGGCAATGAACTCATCAATTGACCTTGCCGGAGGGTCGAGCGCCTTTAACATGGCCTCGGCATCGGTAACGTCAGGGCCGATGTGTCGGGGGATAAAGGACTCGGGCCTCTGGAGCGGTTCAAGGGAGGGGTCCACTGAGCTGATCTTCGCACTGGTGGCATGCTGGAGAGATGCGAAGGCGCTGAATGTCCTCACACGGGGAATCCGAGAGGATGCCGAGCTTGAGGCACATGAGTTGCAAACCCACGAGGAAGCTGGTGTCTGGCGGGCGGCGATCCTTGACCTCGGGGCAGCCAGCCGAAGCTGGCGGGGGAGGGGCAATCTCAATGATGCCATGGTGGGAAACGAGCAGATTGGCAATTCACTAAGAGAATAAAAATGCCAGTGAGACTCGCAGAATTCGAATTGTGTCTCGAGAAAAAAAGGATGAGGAGAAAAAGAAGAAGGACAAGTAATGTGGTTGAGAGAGAGTCGTGCGTATACAAGTATTGCTCGGATCTGGGGCCGATATCGTTGTAGCTCAAGAAGCAGCACCCTTGTCGCCACCAACTTGCGATCCGAGATGCGACTCGGGATAAAAGCGACCAAGCTCGTACGCAGCCCAAATCTGTTTCGAAACACCTGAACGCAGGTCTTGACGCGGATGAGGTTTCTATTGAACAGATGAGATGATTATTCGCGAAGAAAAGAAGCAGAAGAAGGGAAAAGAACAGCTCTGGAATGCTCTTCAAATATGAAGGAGTCGGTGAGAGCTTGGGAATAATAGCGGCCGGCAACCAGCCGCCCTTTCTTTCTTGCTTTTTTTGCGGCAACGGATACTTATCGAGACAGCGGTACGTACTGCATAGTCAACACATCTCCCGGGATACCGTTCCTGAGTCGAGTAAGTAGTTCCCCCTACTAATACTGAGGTGCTGGACCGCCCGCTCGTTCGCCCGCCGCCGCAACGGACACCCAAAACACCCGACACCAAACACCAACCCTTTCGGTTGGTTACGGGATCCCTGGGAACCGCGCACCAACACCCTGAGGTGAGACTTTGCCTTATCAGGTCCGCTGATAAGCGCGGTCAAGACGATAGGAAGCTTGCCTTGATGATGGGCTCCAGTTCCCCAGCCCTTCCCTGGCTTTGGGGCCCCGGCGCGTTGGGCAAATGCTCGGCGAGCCATCCACGAGCCAGCATTACGTCCAGAAACGGATGTGCAGGTCAATGACATGTCATGGAGGGTGGCGGGCGGGAGGCTAGGTTCTGGGGCTCTCGTCTGCGCAGTGTATCCCAAGCGGTTGTACGGATACGGAGTATGGTTTGGAGGGGCGCGGATGAGAAACCGAATGCTCGGTCAGAGAGCCGAATGTACCACAGACTCTTTCATAAATTATGCTGCTGGGTAGCACATAATTAACCTTGTCTTACCTCAGGTACCTTAGTGCATGTGCAAATCGGATTTGGTAAGCAAGCATGTGGAACTCGAGTTTGAGGCTCGAGGTACGTACCGACCGGGACGGAGCTACCCTAGGTAGACGATGGAGCTTCTCTAAATTTTTGCGACGACATCATCGCTGAACCTGGCACCGACGCGAAATCCCATCACTAACGAGCCGCTTGTCTGCACCTTCGTCCCACCCATCCCTCCCCCAAAATCAATCCCACCAAGTTTTAGACAAGATGTTCGGAGGATGTACGTTTCCTACTTTACCCAAACCGAATCACCATGGCAATGACAATACCGAAGTAAAGCTGACCATCTCATTGCAGTCGCGCCCCCCCAGCTGTCCGAGGAGGAGATCAAGCAGATGGAGACCGAGGCCAACTTCTCCATCCAACAGGTCGTCGTCTCTGCCGTCCTCCTGTACCTCTGTAAGCTTGATACACTCCCACCCAGATGCGCAATTCATGCCATCCAGATCGTTGGACCTCCCCGCTAACAAGACTCCTCTGCTCAGCCCCTTTTGCCATTGATGCCGTCTCCAAGGTCCTGTAAAGGACTTGACAGTCGCCCGATGACGATTTGACGAGCTCGTAGAAGCTCAGGATCACGACACAAAATGCGAGAGAAAGCTCTCCCTAGGAGCAATGAGGTTTGCGGCAACAACACGCTGCGAGCCATCGACCCGCCTTGGGGATGTGTAACGGGACAAATACCCCTGTTGTAAAATAAACATCATATGTACAGTGTAAGAATGGCTGGTTGGATGGGCTATGGCTATAGATCATATCGGAACCAGGGTGGAAAAAATATCACGACTTTTGTTCACAAACCACCTCATTGCTTGCGTCATTGGAGAGGAATATCCCTCCCAGTTCATTTTCTTGATACGGCCGGCAGACCTCATCCCTTTGCGTTCAATCCGTGCATAAAAAGCGTCCGCTCGCGCCGTCCTCTATTATGACATGCCCGATAATAATCTTCACCTCAAAACGACGTAGGCACCCTAGCTCGGGTTCCGCTCCTTCTCCCAGTCCGCAAAGTCTTTTGTAATCGACTCAACTTCCTTCTTGAGGTGCTGGATCTGCTTCTCGTAGTCTTCCAATACCTACAACGACAGTTAGCAATGCAGATCGAATGATGGGCGTCCCTGGACAGCAGACAACATACCTTCTTCGTCTTGTGTTCCGTCTCCTCGCTCAGCCCCTCGCCGCTCGCAAAAGCAGGCTTATTCGTCTCCTTCATTAGCTGGTCCGCATAGTCCCTGAGCACAATCAGCCGGCTCCAGAGCTCCTCCTCTCTCGCCGCCAGTGCAGGATCCTGCACGTTGCGCTCCAGTTCCGCCAGCTTCAGTCGCAGATCATCCTCGTCACCGCTGAGAGCATACCCGCGGTTACGCAGCACCTGCACGCGGGCGGCGAGCGCAAGGCACCTTTCACGAAGGACGACGTGACGGCGGCGGGCGGCGAGGGCACGTACACTCGTCTCGAGGTCGTGTCGTGAGAGGATGGCGTCCAAACTGGCATTGATCTGGTGGAGGCGCACATTAAGCTCCCCAACGACCTTCTTCTGCGTCTGGAGGCGGGCCGCGACGCCGGAGAAGCCTGTGCAAAGGACCGGGATGTAGCCTGGCGCGGGCTTCTTCTGCAGCGCCTCCTCCCAGTCTCTAGGATCTTCGTGCGGGCCGGGCTTGTAGAAGGGGACGGAGGCTTCGTCGACTTTGTTGTAGAAGTAGTGCTTGAAGGCGCAGTTGGGGTTCGTGGGGTTCCACTTCTCGAAGATGAGGGACATTTGTTCGGGAATGGGCTTTTGGTTCTCTGCAGAGCGGGCGTTAGTAAGAACCCAGACACAGAGGGCTCTTCGGTGAGAATAACAACGTACGAGGTGTTTCCCTTCCGGGTTGCCAGAGTGAGCTCGAGAGCTGTGCTTGCGACTGCGATAGGCTGGGCATCTGTTGTTGCTGTTGCTGTTGCTGTTGCTGCTGCTGCTGCTGTTGAGACTGGGCCATGGAGTTGCCGAATGCGTTTCCCTGGGTCTGGTTCTGCCCTCCGAACAGGCTCATGCCGGGTTGTTGTTGGCCTGCCTGCTGTTGCGGCTGCTGCTGTGTTGACTGTCCCAATGTGCCGCCGCCGCCAAAACCAGCTCCTCCAAAGAGACCTCCAGTCTGCCCAGCGGGCTTTGGTGCGCCGAACAAACTCATACTGTGCGATGAGTATCAAGTGTGTTTTCCGATGCGGTTTAGAGAATAACGTCGGTCCGCAGTGTGGTTCGTCTGGCCGTGGAGGATTGATGCGCGAAGTTGCAACAGAATGCAAACAGGGAGCCAGGAGCTCAGCGCATAATCGACGGAACAATTGGGGTGAGGCACTGTCGGGTATCAGAACAAAGAGGAGCTTCCAGTAACAGCCAGAGTGCGAATGTCACGGGCGACGTTGTTTCGGGCGTTGGCGGAGATTGCTCACTGGGTATAAAATCGCAGGGCAGTTAAGCTACCCTTGGGAGGAACCGAGCAGCGACGCGAAAATAATAAATCGGAGCTTGCAGCTGCGGCAGCCTTCACCGGACGCCACACTTTCCCAGACCGAGTCGGTCCTCAGCCACGGTTCCACTTCAGCCTCGCCCTCAGCCGATCCAATCAGGCGCCTCCTAAATCGACCTCACATCAATTCGCGGTAGCGTCCATTGCCCGGAAAGCTTGCTTTGGAGAGACCATCCGAACCGCCAAACCGACTGCTCCCTTCCGCCCCGTCCCAGCTCCATCACCACAATCGCAACCATGGCTAACCGACGGCCTCAGTACGTGCTCCGCCCCCCTCCCCGTCAAACCAGGCAGGCCAATTGGCTCAATCCGCCGACAACGAAAACACCCGGGCGTTCGCAAACCAGAGAGCTCGGGAGAGAGGGAAGAGACACAAAAAAGGCTAACACTCAGCGTCAGGTTCAACCAGCAGTTCCAGGTCGACACGACCCCTCTGCCCGACGACATCCCCAAGGTCAAGGAGATTGGCGCCAGCTCCGCGCCTCTCCTGTCGGCGTCCTACTTCATCGGCGCCCGTTGCCGCGAATACAATGACGATTTCATGCAGTGCAAGACGGACAGCGCGGGCCGCGGCGAGTTCGACTGCTTGAAGGAGGGTCGTCGGGTCACGAGATGTGCCTCCAGCGTGTACGTTGAATCAAGTTCCGTCTTCCACGATTCCAAGACGGTTGCGGCTCAATTGGGCTTCGACGGCAAAGGGCAATGAGTCGCAAAAGCAGACGGCTCTTGATATGGATATTGAAGCGCTGACACGGGAACGATCCTCCACAGGCTGAAGGACATCAACACTCACTGCCTCGAGCAGTTCAAGGCCCACTGGACCTGCATCGAGAACCGCAACCACCAGCTCTACCAGTGTCGACCAGCGGAGTGGAAGCTCAACAAGTGTGTCTACGAGAACCTGGTACGTGAGAATTCCCCGATTCCGGTCCATGACTAGGGTCGATCGATCTGAACACTCCTTTCCTCCCTCCCTCCCTTGTACGACAAAGATACCACATCACACTACTGACACACAACTCTCCCGCAGAAACTCGAGAAGAACATCCCCGACCAGCGCCCTGGCGTCACCCCCGTCGAGCTCCGCCCCCACATGATCTACGCCGACCAAGCCATCAACACCCTCGAAGGCAAGCCTTTCATCCCCCCATCAAAGCAAGCATCGTAGAGGTGTGGCAGAGCAGATGGCGATGTGAGAAATTACGACCTCTCCCGCGTGAGCTCGTGGAAAGAGGACTAGGGGCTTTGCGCTGAAGATGTAGGCTTGGAACTAGGCGATAGAACCGCTATGTACATATGTCATCAATCAGAGTTGGGATCGAACAATGGCTTCACTTTTTTTTTCTCTTCAACGTACTGCAACCTACTTCAGCTCCGTTTCACTTGTTATCGTGTGTACTGCAGTCGAACTCTCGTGATGATTAACGGATAGGCAAGCTCACCACCCTTGGCATCTCGGAACAAAAGTACCTTGACTCCCATAGCTGCCAGTTAGAGAATATGCGTGTACAGGGCGATCGTATTCAAGCACGTATAGTTGAGGCAGACCGTAGCAGATGGTTGACCAGCAATACCACACCCAGTATATCACAGCATCACCACCAAGACCTCTCCCTCAGATGGGAAAACCGTTATCCGCTGCTCGCATCGAGCTGGAGATATCTGCCCAAAGAATCAGAGCAAAGACGCAGCTACCCCCACTATCAGAAACCTCCTGAACCTTCTTACGACCTCTCACTCGCCACCACTCGCCTCCCCACTACACCAATCTCAGATTGAGCACCATCGCCCGAAACCGTCTCGCTCATCTCACCTTGGTACCAGCATCCACAATCTACGCATTCTGCCTTGTGAAAGACGGCACTGCCTGCTTGAACCGCCAATCCGCGGCCTCGCTCGTAGGAAAGATGGTGTTGAGACTGGTTTCCGGCGTATTGATGGAAACAGGGCTACCTAGATCGATTCTATCTACTTGCTTACCTACACTAGTCGATGATCACACGGGTGGCGAACCCGTAGCAATCCACACCGCGCGGGTCAGTCGCTCTGGCTCTGCCACTTGGCTTTGCGAGGTTCTCACAATTATGCGACATTACAGCTAGAGCGATGCCCCATTTGCTTCCGGGAAACGCTCGGATCGGAAAGTAAAGTAAAGCAAGCTTGTCTCTGAGCTGTCAAGACTGCATCATCCAGCTACCAGCAAGCAGGCGAGATAAAGAAAAAAGGGTCAGCATGATATAAGGGGTTCAGCGGTGCTTTCTAGCGTAACGATGAAAATTTGAGGCAGCACTTAACACCATTTTTAGAACAGACACCTGACACGCGGCATAGCTGCGGTTCAGAGACCGTTTGGGGAGTGAGCTAATGTATTTCTTGAGATACGATGAACCGACACTCGGGCCTGGCACGGATACGATATAGAACCACTTGAATGGCGGGCATGGCGAATTTCAATAAAATCGACTGTGATTTGACAGAGTCAGGAAATAGCGCTGCCGACGCGCTTCGATGGGAAGCTCAATCTACCTCCGACGCGGGGTTCACGCGCTCGGGACAGAACGTCATTTTCAACCAGCAGTCGCCTCATGTGTTGCCCAACTCAGACTACCTGCCTCATCAGTGAGCCGAAAGACACAAAATATGCAGGAAGACGCTTCTGAGTGGGTAGGATGTTGTGTCGTGTGTCAAAAGATGTGGTTGGACCGATGTAGCAAGAGAAAAGAGAGGAGGCCGGCGGGCTACTCTTCACTCTTCTCCCGCACAACGATGGCCTTAACATCTCGTCGACTTCCGAGATTGACTGTCGTGGCGACTAGTTAGCCTGTTTTGAGGAGAGCACACAGGCGATGTTAGAGCTTCTGGGAAAGCTGATGGGGAAATATGAGTGTCCGGAGGGGGAGGAGGGGGAGGAGAGGGCCAGCGGGCCACGATATGTCTTCTAGTAAACCTGAGTATCTCTATCCGGACCATTGAGCTGAGGACTTGTAATCCCGATGTCCGCGCGAGTGGCCACGCGGCGGAGGATTCAGCGTTGTTGTTCGGTTCAGAATCTTGATAACACAAGCCGGCAAATACTAATGCTGCCGTCCGAGGTGAGTCGTACAGATCACGGTTGCAGCCAGATGTGTATCCTCCCCCAGAGTATCCGTAGTCCGATCTGGGAATAAGAGTGCAGGGCCTCATCAGTTCCGAAAAGCGCGGCAGCATCGCTGCACGGTGTCCAGGCATCTGCCGCTGATAATGCGGCAGCAAGGTTGATTCTGCGTTGTTGAAGCGATGGGCATAATCAATTCAGGTGTTGCCCTCTTGTCTAAGACACTGAACTGGATGATGAACCCCGGGTTCAGATCCTGCGGCATTCGTTCCCTTTGGTCCGACTCCTTCATTGAGTCCTCGTCAGCATCTGAGGATAACCACCAGTGGAAATGTCGTCATGGCGGTGTTTAAAAGAAGCAATCCAACCAAGGCTGATGCTGTCTTGAAACCGCCGTCGGCTTGACGTCAGGGTTGTGTTGTCGACGAAGTGAGCAGACGGGAGATGGAGGGGTTCCATCATGCCAGGCGATTAAAGGCGTCAGCGTAGCGCAACCTTAAGTCCTAGGCGCTGAGCGACGGAGTCGCAAGAAACGGTCGCAGCCATTGTCAAGCAACATGTTTCGGCTCATGTCGAAGTGTTTGGGCGATCCTGGTGGATGCCAGCCAAACAGATGTATTTTGGACGGCAAAGTCCAAGCAGAAAGCTTGAGGTTCAGCTTCTTTCATTCTTGCAAACGAGACCCCCAACAGGCTTTGCTCCACAATGGTGGCTCGGGACATAGCCAGCGCTCTTCTCCTCCCGGCTTTGTATCGAAGGATTCGCAGTCCAGCAGGCAAGCGGGACCAAATTTTCTCGTGTGGCATTAGCTTCCCCGGTATGGGATGGAGATGAGCCGATGTTGGTACCTAGTCTGATGATAGCCTGGAGCTCCAGCAGCGGCCGGGTCCTCAGATCTTGGTATCCCTAATTGAGATGCCGTCTTCCCCGGTGGTGGACGGTCTGAATGCTGATATGATGTGCCTCGAGGCCCGCGGTTCGCCGGCAGTGGAAAAGAGGGACGCGGGGCAGAAAAAAACTCACCAGAATCTCCTTGGGCAAAATTAAGGATGTTTGGTGCCCTGGAAGTAAACGATACCTCATTTCCTGGTGGATGCTCAAGCTCAAGGCGCTCCTGTTCGAACCCTGTCCCGCTATCTCGATGGTCGCGACGCCCCATGACCGGGTGTGGTTGGACGCAAACAGCAAGGGAAAGAAACGTCTGATTGTCAGATAGCTTTGCGTTCATTTGCATGGAGAAATGAAATGAACCGACGGCACAGAGGGGCTCCCTGGCGATCGGGCTATGGCGGTCCAGGATAGCGATGTCGGAGAAGTCTCCTCGTCTCCGCAATTAGTTTCACCACATGGGTAATAGGTTAAGCTGCTGGAAGCCTGCAGAGGAAAGCTCACATATGAACCGTGGTGTACCATCCCGCGTAATTGGAGATGGGATGACATCTAAGGGGAGTTGGAGAAGAAGCAACGAAGTCCTCTGCTTAAGGGACTGAGTATCATGGGTAAATGGCAAGGTTGCATTCGACTGGGCATCTGTGCGCACATCCATCTGCAGACAGGAAACTTCCGAGCGATAATCGGTCAACGAGCCCCACGCCAGTCGCTACGTTGACGTTCATACAGCTAGAAATGCTCGGTTTCCAGACTTTTTCTGCTGAATGCCACAAAGCCAGACAGTATACCAAAGACAAGCGAAAGGTGGGAATGTCGACCTTGACAGGCCGCTAGATGACAAGGGCGGAATCATCGCTCCACAAGACGTCTGAACTGAATTATGAAATGGGTTGAGGTTTGCGGTTTGGGCTGTTGCATTGGCCACCCGTGATCGTCGGGGTACTGATCGCGAAGAGGGTGGGACTATTTGATGGAGAGTCAGTCTGCTTTGTGAGCTCACGGCCGTCTGTCACCTACCCCATCTCGATCAATGCCGCTGATCACGGCTCCAGTCTGGTAAAGAACACGGCAGATTGGGTTCCGGGAGAAAGCCGTCTCAAACTTTGGTCGTTGGAAGTTGCTGCCCATGCGGGGATCAAGGTCTAGTGGAAGCGGGAGATGGCTCTGGAGCGACCGTTGACGCATGATATCGCATCGTTCCTGTGGTGATCCAATGCATCTATCGCATCTTTCCGAGGATTCCAGTGCCGTGCTCCATAGTCCTCCTCGGCCATTACATACGGCGACTTGAGGTCAGCCGTGCATAGTGTAAGTAATGGCTTCAGTCTCCCGCTGCCGTCGGAAGTCATGCAGCGCTCGGACGAGCGATTGTTTTCCGCTTCGGTGGCTGCCGCACCAGAATCCTTGAGTGCAAGGCAATCGTTGCGCGTCCTGCAGTTGGTCGACCAACACCACGCGGCTTGCATCCACGGAGTCAAGCATCCTGCTGTGAGATCATCCATGGGAGGCATGACATGGAATCGTCCATGACCACTTCTCCATCGCCCAGGCTCATCAGGAGGATGGAGATTATCGATGCAAGCCAGGATCCGCTTCGGCGTCCATTAGCCGTGCCCACTGCCCATAGCTGATAATGAGAGAGGTGCCTGCGTGTGCCTGCGTCTACATCTCTACCCCGGAAAGGCAGCATGATGATGCCGGAAGATTTTGCAGGTTCATCTCGCTCGTCGTGAGTTGTTACCGGGATGCCAGGTTTTCTTCGTAGTTGGTCGTCATCGGTAATCAGACTTCAAGAGAGGTGTCGGGTGCGATGAGACGCTGACAGCAGCGGGAGAGGTGTTGATGTGGAGAAGGGGCCAAAAAAAGTCTCCACGAAGTGTAATGAGGTCATTTGGCGAGACAGCGGAAGAGACGGCCAAGCTGATGCGGCAGTAAAGCTAGACGCTCACTGCCGACAGGGGATAGTTGACAGGAGCACGGCGGCGTGCACGTACTTGGTACTCAGCGTTGCATTGATCGACCCGATGAAAGCGCCATTGCCTAAGAGAGAGAGTAAACAGTGGGAAGTGTGCGGCAGGCGAGGTAGGTATCTGTAATACCACAGCATGTACGGATATGCTTGGGAAGAAACCAGAGAAAAAGAGAAACACGCTGGCAGAATGGAACCAATGGAGAGGTGCACAGTCCAGATGTGCGCAACGCTGGAGCGGAAGACTGGATGAACGGGTCCCCACCGAAATTAAGGCCGTTTCAGACCGGTGGATCTCCCCGGGCCAAGTGGCTGTTTGATGGAGACGCCCAGCAGACCCTTGCAGCAATCAGGGCAAGAACGACTGCATCTGCAAGGTACCAGCTCAGTCAGCCGTTGCTATTGGACCAATTGGACGAGGTGACTGCATGTCGCCGCTTGGGGATTGGTTAGAGATGCCGGGAGACCAGGAGTCGGGACGTTGACGGAGGTCAACATTCCAGGGGGCAACAGCGCAGGGAGGGCGTGAAGGGCGTGCGTCGAAGGAACGAGGCGCCGGGACGAGGGGCGGAGCGAATGTGCGCTAGCTGATATGAGCAACAACCAGACCGAAGAAACAGGCGCTGGGGAATCTGCAAGCCCCTTTTCTCCCTCCACTTGACTCTTCACTATCGTGACTCCATTGGCAACGGCTGACTGGCTGATAGTGTCAACTGTCAAGGTCCTAGTCAGCCAAGGCCGTAGCGGTGTTTTCTGAAGAAAGTTGAGGACACAGGGAGCGCGCTAGTATCGGCACTGACGACGAAGGGCTCCGAAATCCAAGACTCGGCAGGGCAGGTAGCTGACTCTCAGGCTTCGGCTCGACGCTTGAATCAGCTCCTGCTACACCTTGGCTTGATTTTTTTTGGTTGAGACCCGTTGTCGTGATAAGGGATTGATCGTCCAATGCTGCCAGACGGATATCGAAAGATGAGAATAATCAGAACAACAAGGGTCGATGTCTAGATACCATTGTAATTGCCCTCATCTAGATGTGCAGGTTCACCGCATGCAGCAATCTAGACCGGCAAAATCGGCATCCCTGGATCGGGAAGCTGACCCAGTGATAGACATCATCTGGACCAAGGTGCATTGCGGTGCCGCGGTGGGAGTTACGGAAGGAACCAAGATGCGAGGATCTGCTGGCTGCATGGGGCAAGATGGAAAGCACAACCCTGGCTGGGTTGAGCTGAGGTGCTACAGTGCATGCCGGGCTGGCGAGCTGACCGTCGGTGAGGCGTGACTTCAGCATTAAACTTCTATTCCTACAGTTGCTATGTTGCTATTGTCATCTGTTCCCCAGTCGCCAGGAAGAATTAGAGTATTTTGACTTTGTTCCTACCCGCCTTGATGCTTTCTTCGATGTAGATCCTCCTGCCTGTTCTTTACCTTGGGTAAGTGATCTTAAGTACCTTAAGGCACTGACGTAAGGTATGCTCCCGAGAGTGGAAGTGAGAAGGGACCGTTTGAAAAGCCAACGTTGGTCCTGCCCTCTCTCCCGTCCCTTCCTTCCTTCTATTGCCTCTGCATTCACCAGTGCCTTCCTTCCCTTGGGCCATGGTGGAGGGGGTGTGATACACACACACCCTGCATGGCCTCGATCCAATCTCCAACCCACCCCTTCCACTTACACCAGGCACTCTGCAGACTGCAGCAGCGCAGTTCGTCCCTTCCACCGTCGATCGTGACCCCGGACAAACCAAACAAGACCAATTTCTTTTTTGGCCTGCGCAGCTTTGCTTTGCTTGTCTCGCCTCGCCTCCAGGCTATCGCCCTTCATCAAGGTTGCCTCCACCTTTCCTGGCCGGATCCCGCTCCACGGACCAAGAACACTTGACCCTCGCCACGCTCCTGCGCGCTGCAGCAGTGTTTGCTCGTTCTGCAGGGTTCATTTTGCACTCCCGTCGTCCCGTCCTGCGTCCACTGTTTTCCCCTCGCAAATCTCACGCCTCTCTCTCCACACGCCAGGGAAGCATCTAGCGCCAACCTGGACCTCACGCCACCAACCCGTTCACTCACTCCAGACTCCAGTCACTCTCTCTCACACACCCCAAGTCGCCTTCATATCCACATTTACGCAGCGGTACGGATAGTCGCCTCGACCCTCAGCTCAACCACCAGCAAATTCAGCACCTAGACCCAGGCGCTATTCACGGTCCGTGGCACAACCCACGCACGCCAGCATCCTCACTAACACTGCATATCGCCCCCGGCTGCCCTGGATCTTACCCTTTTCTGGACTAGACTTGGACAGGACCTAACACTCAGACTCTGGTCTCTCGCCCAGTCCCTCGATCCCAGTCGCGCGGGTTTTCATCGTCCAGTCTGCTCCCTTTTAGTAGCTCGGCGTCGCCATCCAGAACGTCTTGCCTCTCCTTCTTGCTTCACCACTCCCAGGAGACCACTTCCTTCGACCCCCTTCACCCCCTTCTCTTCTACGCCCAGGCCTCGGTCGCCATCGTGTCTGTTCGACACCGTCCATTCCTTTTAAAACCAATCACGTCGCCCCCAGGTCGCGACCCCGAATCCCCTCTTTTCCTGCACCCTCAACCTTCCAGGATAGAAGGATAGGCTACCGACATTCCTCTCGGAACCCGACTCACTCTTCACGTTCTCTACCCAACAAGCATCAGGCTTCTTGTCACTCATTCGCAACTTTTCTCACGAGACTTTTTTTTTTCCTTTCGGCTCACCACCCAAAAGAAAAATAAAGAATTTACGACTCCATCGTCCGACCGACCTCCTTCCCAACTTCAACAACGTTGTTCAACCACACTCTTTCCACACCACCACCAGGTCCTTGACGGAACCGTATCAGCAGTGCTCGATCACCACACACAGCTGGCTCTGAGATTCACCTTACGGGACTTTATTTGCCTCTGCCAAACCAACTCACAAATACTTCCCCCGGCAACTACCTCGTTCGGACTAGATCCCCGGTGACCAGATTCCGCGAATCTATTCAAGAAATCAAAAACTCAAAAGGTGAGTGGCGCCGATCCAGACTTACTTCCTCCCCGCATTCTCCACCACGTCCTCATTCCTATCGCGTGAATGGCATTGTTTGGAACACCGTTTGCAAGACAGACGAATGCCACCGCGATACAGCCCGCTGCTGCCGACAATAGACAAAGACCTTTATTGGTCTTTGTTCATTGTCTCGCCCGACACGTGTGCCCACTTGACTCATGCTTGGTTGAACAACAAGTTCGGCCGGGCCCAGGTCGACGGCATCAAGTCGTGTCAGCTGGCATGCCAACGTGCGACCAAGGCTGAATCCCTCGTCACCGCATGAGGGACATATATCAGGCTGGTGTTTCCTGATGTTGTTCGAGATGCTTGTGTTACCCTGCTTCATCACACTCTTTTCCAGCCAGCACGCTCATCCGCACTTTCCTTCATTTTCTTCACTTCACTTTCACTTCACTTCCTTCACTCGTATACCACCACTTCGCGGGCGAAGCTAACCATCATTCAGACTCATTCTCGTTGATCTCACCATCCAACCTTCAAAATGAAGTCTTCCATCGTTCTTGCCGCCACTGGCGCCCTCCTGGCCATGGGTGCCGCCATCGACCCCCGTGCCATGGAGACCATCTTGGACATCACCTACGTGACTGTCACCGTCACTGACGGCGTCCCCATCGAGACTCCCATTCCCACTCCTTCCAGCAGCCTTCCCCCCCAGGTTGAGGAGACCCCTGCGCCTGCGCCCATCTTCCAGACCATCACCACCAAGCGCCGCTCTCGCACCCCCAAGGCCTCCCCGACCCCGAATCCTATCCCGACCCCGAGCCCGACTCCGACTCCTACTCCTACTCCTACTCCCACTCCTGAGCCGGTCGTCGAGCAGCCCGTCGCTTCGGAGCCCGCTCCAGAGCCCGTTGCTCCTGTCCCCTCCGTCGTCGAGACTACCCAGTCTACTCCCAGCACTGCTGCCACCGTCAGCGACCTTCAGACTGCCGCCATTGATGCTCACAACATCCACCGTGCCAACCACTCCGCTCCTGCCTTGAGCTGGGATTCTGATCTGGCCAGCTACGCCCTCATCACTGCCAAGACCTGCGTCTTCGAGCACGACTTGTAAGAACTCATGAAACTGTTAAATCTGTTTCTTCTCTGACATTCATCAAGGACCACTGGCGGTGGCGGTTACGGCCAGAATCTCGCCATGTGGGGTGCCACTGGCTCTGAGAATCTGGGTGAGGCCAAGGCTGCTCAGCGTGCCATCACCGACCAGTGGTACAACGGCGAGCTCAACCTCTACCCTGGCTACGGTCAGGCCAGCCCTGACATGACCAACTTCCTTAAGTGGGGTCACTTCTCCCAGTTGGTTTGGGTTGACTCCACCACGGTTGGCTGCGGTGTCTACTACTGCGCCGCCGGTACCCTCAGCTCCATCGGCAGCTGGTACACCGTCTGCAACTACAAGTCCCAGGGTAAGTTGCGATCTTCTTCCCACTTTCACACATGAGATTTTAACAAGAACACAGGCAACGTCATTGGCAGCTTTGACAAGAATGTCCTGCCTCCCGGCAGCGCCGCCACCGTCAACGTCGCCTAAGCGCGGGGACGAAACAACTGCATTTGCATCCTTCGTGCTGCCCGCTTGAGGCACAACTGGGTTTTGTTTGCGACACGGCCACTGGGTACGAGTGCGGATGAGCTCCGTCGCACTAGCGAGGCATTTCTTCTCTTCTACCGCTGTACTTTAACAGGAGATCGCTTGACCTTTTTTCGATCTCCTCGTCCCTCTCCTGGGACTCTTTGAATCATGCGCTTTGGTCGCCCACGAATAGTATGGGCACTATTCTATTCATACGAACTTTCCACAAGGCACTCGCGTGATGGAAAAGGCACGGCATCGTCTTTTGCGCCGGCCGAGACCATGATTCAAGGAAACTGGACATTGATGATGATGCATTTACGGATCTGGCGTGGAGCAAGAAAAACATTTTGGGGAAAGGGAACCAACCCACCATGGACATTGCATTTTTCTTCGATTCTTGGCCTGTTTGACCTTGCAGTCATTTTCTCGGGCCGTCCCTTGACGGCCTGGGCTTGGATCTGCCTGGCGATCACGGCACCCTGTTTATGACTCTTTTGGTCCTCTGTACCTATGGTTCTCTTCGACTTGAATTTCGGGTTTAGGGAGGCTAGGCAATGGGATCCATGCTTTATGGTTTCGCAAATTGTTCTCGTAACAGACTTGGTCGTGACAAATATGAAGTGAAGTCTTGAGAAATGTTTGATGTCGTCTGTGTGTATTTGGTGTATCTCTCCCCCCTCTCTCTCTCAATGGGCAGGATGTCCTTTCGTGCTCAATAAGATTACCGCTCCGTATTGCCAGTTTTTGCGGCCTTGTCAGCTGTCCAGTGTCTTATGTTGTGTGGTGTGCATCGTTGTGACGTTACGTTTCGTTTGTGCGCTGCCGGCTGCTCCGATGTGCAAGGATTCGATAATTCGAGGCCACAAGCTCCGTAGAGTGAGTCACACAAAGTGATGAGAGTAGGTGGGTGACCTTCGGCTGCTTTCTCCTGGACAATACTGATGTCCAAATGATTGGAAACTTGAAAGGTGAAGACAAAGTTACCAGCATCCCTCAGGAGAGGGGGGTTCGATTCTCTTTTTCAACTGTCAACGGGATGTGCTCTTGAGGCGCACCGCCGCCTGGTGGCGCGTGTGTTCATTGCATTGTGGGCAGTGTTGAGTGCCCCTTTACTCCAGCGGCATTGTGAAACGTGTTGCTGCGGCTGATGGCTGTGGGAAAACGGCGTGGGTTCGGACGGGGATGGGATGGTTGTAGATGTGGAGAGGCGCTGTTCAACGTTGGGTTTCTTTTTAATCTGCGACTTTGTCCGATCCGCGTGTAGATTGGCTTGCTATGTTCGGGCCGTGTGAAGAGGTAAATTTTGACAGGTGAAGATAGGGGTTACGAGTAGGTGGGAGAAGGGTCTTTTGGACGGGGGTTTATATGTCTGTGTGTGTGAGAGAGAGAGGGGAGGATTCCGCGGTGATGGCGATGTGTATCTATCTCGAGCGCGGTGGGGATCTATGTTTTCTGGATTTGTTTGGTTCAATGTTTGGCAGTGTTTTTGGTTTGGTGTATTGGGGCAGTCATCGATGCTATAGAAACCCACGTCAAGAAAGCATTCATTCTAGTGATTCCCTGAAATATTGGTGACTATTATTCCACTGGTATGATTCCATTGGATCTCATTGTCTTGACTGTCGAAACTCCTGTTCGATTTCCCGAGATGTGAGGAAGGGACGAAGTTGAGTGCTATATACACTTGGGCTCATTGAAGCATGGTTCTGGATTTGTTAGCAATATTTTTATCTCGGCAAGTTTCATTTACATTTGGGAATCCAAGTTGAACTTGGCAGACCACACTTGTCGCCGAGTCCTATAACTATTACCCGCCTAGACCTCACATTTCTCAGGCAGCCATCTTTCCTTTATAGGGGATCATATCATCAGCGGACGAGGAAAGTGGCCGAGGGGTCTGAGGGAGCGGTCATAGACTAACCCGAAGATTCTCAAGCTATAGCGAATTGTCGCTCATAACCTTTTGTTCGATTTCCCATCGATGGCCGTTTTCTTTTTTTTTTTTTTTGCTCTGGGCTTTTGCTAATCACACATATCTCTTATTCAAATCACTGATCTCTGAGTGTCTCCTCGCCAACCGGAGCTCAAGACTTCACATTGCCTCAGCCTCAAACCCCAACCTTCCCTCCCAAAAAAAAAAAAAGTCGAGCAAGAAACTGAAATACCTCGGGCTGAGGCCCAAGCTGGACGAATTACTTCCACGAGGGTGGCTTCAAAAACACCGACGGGTAGTTAGATCCTAACCCGGAGGACGTGTGAATTTGACGGGAAGGGAGGGGTGGAAAGCGGGGTGGTTAATCGCTCCGAGGGCGTCGGAAGGATCATGCACGCCATGAAGCATTCCCCCGGTGGTGGAAAGTCGTTCCGTTCGTAAGTGGCTTTTCTGAATTATGAACATCGGAGCAAAATAGATCACAGAAACGGCCGAGTTTTTGATTCAGTTTTGTTCTTCTTTTTGAATTATTATGAATATTGTTTGGTAATTCTCGTTGTGGTGCTCGTGACTTCCGGAAGAGATGACACTATTGTCCCCGATACGCTTCACTATTACACCGTAGCTGTGGCTCTCTATCCAGAAACATTGAAGTTCTCGGAGAAAGGAAGATGACCGACAAGACTCGCGAAGATCACGATCAGCGGGCGCCAAGGGGCCATGTCTTTGGCTTCTGGAAGATGGCGTGTGCCGGACCTTCGACAGCGAACTGGGACACGGCGTGGATCAGCGAGCCGATTATTCCCCTTTGTCAGCGTGGAACTCCCGAGCAGAACCTCGTAAAGGAGCATGAGGGGTGGGGGAGTGTCGCCGGGGAGGTTATGGACGACAAGGGCGAGGAGTCGTCAAAGTAAGTCTCTCTTCTCACAGGGACGCAGAAGTAGCGGTCCCGCTTCATCTTTTTCAAAGAAAGTTATCTTCTTCAAACAGAGGTTTCATGGTTTCCCATTTCTGCCTGACATGGACAGAACCTTTTCTGAATAGTGACCAGCATCGAGGCTAATGCAGTGGCTTCTTCAACTCACTTTCCTTACCCTGCCACATCCCTCCCACCACCAGTCGCCGACTTCGATTTTCGTGTTGCTGTGAGTTTCGGTGTCCAAGAGACGGAGGTTATTGAAGATGGTCCCGAGAAGGTTGAGCTAACGGAGGGTGTCTGCGGTTCTTGGTCTGGGTCGTTTGGGTCGGGTCTCGTCATCGTGCGTTCAAATATTTCCCCTCTCACATGATCTTCAAGGGTTTGGCCACTGACAAATGGAAATTCCAAGACAGGCGGACACGACCTGGACAAGACGAAGCTGAAAGAAAGTAGCCTACACGAAATCGTCACCGCGTGCAGATTGCAAACCAGTGACCGAGAACCAGCCATGTGAGGAGGGCAAAAAAGCCTGTCTCTGGGGTATTATGTCCAAAGGCTGACTTGCTTGTGGCCATGAACCATAGCCTCGAGATGGGCACGAGAGGCTTCTTGGCTGGGCCGACTGATATTCTTGACGGCATCGCTCATCGGCCGGACGGAGAGACGAGAATCGACCCGAGGAGGTACAGCTACCGCATGGTTATCAATTTAACGACAACGGATGAGCGGTACGCTGAAAAGGTGGAGGGTGTCCTTTGGGTAGGGAGTGGGATGTGGGACCGGGACGAGCTTGTTATTGAGTGAGTTTCTCGCGTCCTTCAGGACGCTGATGTTGCTGACATGTTGATAGTGCCTATCGCATTGACTGAATAGAACGCAGGTACATATCCACGAAGATAAAGAAGTTGAACAGAGAGAATATGTGTCCATGTAGCTCCGCTGGATGGGCTTTTGACTGGTAGTTTGGTACAGGTAGCTCCGGGCTGACGACAATGTACACAAGGAGATCGATACGAAAGTTGATGGCAATACGTAACTGAGATGGGACTCTCTCTCAAACTAAACTTCAAGAGTCCTTTCGGCGGCCGGCCTGCCACCTGGTATCTTGGCAATCAAGGTGTATAGCAAATCCAACATGCCGCCGGCGATACGGACGTTGGGCACTCGAATGGTACTGTTCACGTGAGGAGTGGACGGCCGAAGACGGACGTGTTTAGGACATACCGGTAGTCGACTGTCATTACTCGCCGTGTTACTTCGCCCGCCGGATCGGGATAGGGTACATGTAAGTAGCTTGCGGGACCTGTCGCGCAGAATTTGGGCCCGGAGGCCTGGCCGCGGCCACATGCTCTCATGCGAGCTCATGCAGCCTAGACCAGGCCGGCGGCTTGGCCGTTGAGCGAGGAAGGCGGCGGAGACGGGCCATCGAGCTTCCAGGTGTGGTCCTACAGAGGTAGCTTCTGCAGACTTACCGCAACCCCCGGTCTTCCTGAGATCTGGGGACTGCCCTAGGACCAGGCCCTTTGGACCCCGATGCCCAAAGCTCTTGGACCAGACTGTTAGTTGTGGAATGCTTATCGACCTATCCCAAGAGCTGGTCAGGGTCCTCGAGTTGCGAAATCACAGGTGTGCGTGGTATTATTGGTGTAGTCGGTAGTCCCTTGCTTGGCATGCAGGGCCTCAGAGATGTGCGTGGGATGACTATGCGGTCTCGACTTTTCGATGACACGAATGAAACAATGAAGTGAACTTTGAGCCTTTGAAGTATTAGTTGTTCGTCTTATTGACACAGCTCGAGAGGGAGCAACGCAGTATCTTGATCTGCCTTGAACGCTGGGCTATTTTCCTACTTCGTCGAGGCGCGGTTCAAAAGCCAAGGGTAAAGAGATCCAAGGAGGTGCCACATGTTTCGTTGGTTTCTCTTGGGGAAATACTTTGCCAAAAGCTTGATCTGACAGTCACTGAACGTCAGTCTTGGCTCTTTCAGATCAACTTTGAAACCTGGACCAGGACTTGAGTGAAAGGACTAGGTACGCGATAGTCCAACAAGAGTTTGCGTTAAGTAATGCCAAATAAATGTTTATTGCAAGTGCCTCCATCCAACGCCAGATACAAACTATTGTGGTCATATGAAACGCAGATCTTGGGCTGTGCTTCTCAATGACTCTGGAGAGATATAATCTTCCTCCGACTCCCACATGCAAAGCTCATGCAAAGCTCAATTTGCCGTCCTGCGGAGATCTCTTTTGCCAATGGCCCGTGCACCAACCGGGTGCGTCTCCACGCCATCCACACGCATCGCGTCTGCTTATCTCTCTCCCTGTCAACCTCTCGCTTACACTTGCGCACGATTTGCAACCTCGAATTGAACTCTGATGCCAACCACCCGACGCCTATTACTTATCCATTCCATGCCTGCACCAATCGAACCTTTTAACCCTCGAACAAGCGGGCCGATATAGAGAATGATCCTTATCGGTTCTTGGCCGCCGGCCACTCTCCACCAGAACCGAGCTGCAGGACAACCTAGGAGAGGTCTAAGAGAAAAAACCCTTCTGCAGAACATAGTAGATCACTGTGTCTCAGACTAGCTTGGCCTCCTGTTGGTCTTACGTGCCTCTGGTCGACAGCGAAAGGCATCAAAACCACGCATCGAAAAATTGAGCGGCCGAGTTGGCGACCTCACTCTAGCGAGATTCAACAAGATCAGCTCAATGGCGTCTAAATCTCCTTCTCAGTATGATTCTGACGACGATTGGGCAGTCACTTGCTTCTTTCAAAAGTTGAAACATTGTTGCGGCCCTTTTCTCCTTTGTCATCCCTTAACAAGCACACAACCGAAATCTGAACTCAGAGATGCCCCGGGCGAGTTCCCAAGCGATCTTCGGCCGTCGAGTCTTGATGAAATCAGAAGCATGGGGTCTCGGCAGAAGTCTGCAGCTATTCTCGCGCTTTGAGACCAGAGACTGAGACCACCCATGAACTCCCCCGCCGAAAGATATCGCGCTGCCGTATCACGGCCCCGTCCAACGCAGATGCTACCCCAATCAAGCAATATCCTAGCACCCGACTGGCTGCAGATCTACCAGAGGCTAATGTTTGTCAGATAATGAAGCCATTTCATTGGTTCTGGATATGCATACTGCAACAGGATGCAACGCCAATTTTATGACTGATAGAATTTTGGCCTTATCTTTCTTCCCTGCACACCGTATGTCTCTGTGCTGCGTGCAGACAGGTGGTGGCTACCTCTTATCCACATATTTTCTTACACACAAACTTCGTCTTCATTCTCAATGTTGGGGTACAATTATGAAGGATTCGGCTGGCCCTGACTTTTTCTTCTCCCCCCCACCCCGCTGCTAGTCCCCCTCCCTTCCCAGCCAGCCTACGCCATGGTGCGACCTGACATGGCCTGGCAGTTGTATCTGTCTATGTTTGAGTGGGGGCAGAATTCGAACTGCTGTCTCGACTGGCACATGGGACAAGGGTAGTTCCGGTAGTTTAAGCTCCGATAGCCGTAGGACAATACTCGGGATCGATATTGCCGCCGGCCAACTGTCTGACTGTAAGAGAAGCTGGCCGGTGCAGATACATATACAGGAGACCAGTCCCAAGTTGTCGGGATCGTGTGTCTCAAGGGTATAGTTAGCTGCCTCTCTCTGGGCTTCACACATACCCATAGACGAATTCTTAGACGAACTGGCCCAAGATGGTGACACCAGCTCTCAACCAGGGCGTCGGCTACGGCGTCGTCCTCGGCATAGGATTTCTCTTCGCCATTGGCATGGTATGTCGACCTTGGCTTGCAGATCCTCAGGTTGTCTCAACTGTTCACGTGTGATTGACTGATGTGGTGTAGATTGCCACGACCTATGTGCTCAAGCGCTACAACCGGGAGCTGCAGACTTCCGAGATGTTCACGACCGCCGGCAGAACAGTCAAGTCCGGCCTCGTCGGTTCCGCAGTCGTTTCCTCCTGGACGTGGGCCGCCACGCTGCTCCAGTCCTCTGGCGTGTGCTACCGGTACGGCGTCTCGGGTCCGTTCTGGTACGCCTCGGGCGCGACTGTCCAGATCCTGCTTTTTGCGACCCTTGCTATTGAGCTCAAGCGCAGGGCACCCAACGCCCACACGTTTCTCGAAGTCATCAAAGCCAGATATGGCACGGCCACTCACATCGTCTTTATTGTTTTCGGTCTCATGACGAACATCCTGGTTACGTTGATGCTCATTGTGGGCGGTGCGGCGACCGTCAATGCCTTGACTGGCATGTAAGTCTTGAGTCTCTAGCAGCATAGACCAGAGAGATGTAGGGACTGACATGGACACCAAAGGAACACCGTTGCTGCTATTTACCTGCTGCCCGTCGGAGTCGTCGCTTATACCCTCGTCGGAGGTCTCAAGGCCACCTTCCTCACTGATTGGGTCCACACCTTCATCCTGCTCATCATCATCATCCTGTTCTCGTTGACGACGTACGCCAACTCCGATGTTCTCGGCAGCCCTTCCAAGGTCTACGACCTTCTCGTTGAAGCCGCTCTCAGACACCCGGTCTCGGGCAACGCCGAGGGATCTTACCTGACGATGAGATCGCAGGGTGGTGTCGAGTTCTTTGTTATCAACATTGGTGAGTGCTGTACCCCGCCATCTTGCGAAGAAGTCTTCCTCCTGACGTAGATCAAATTAGTTGGCAACTTCGGAACCGTTTTCCTGGACAACGGCTACTACAACAAGGCCATCGCCGCGTCGCCCGTCCACGCACTCCCGGGCTATATCCTCGGCGGTCTGTCCTGGTTCGCCATCCCGTGGCTAACGGCAACCACCATGGGCCTCTCCGCCCTGGCCCTCGAGTCGAACCCCCGGTTCCCTACCTTCCCCAACCGAATGACCGAGGCAGAGGTTTCCGCCGGCCTCGCCCTCCCCTACGCCGCAGTCGCCCTCCTCGGCAAAGGCGGCGCCATCGCGACGCTCCTCATGATCTTCATGGCTGTCACCTCAGCCTCCTCCGCCGAGCTCATCGCCGTCTCCTCCATCTTCACGTACGACATTTACCGGACCTACTTCAAGCCTGACGCCAGCGGCAAGAGGCTCATCTACATGTCCCACGTGTGTGTCGTCGTGTACGCCATCATCATCAGCTCCATCTCCGTGGGGCTCTTTTATAACGGTATTTCCATGGGTTACCTCTACGTGCTGATGGGCGTCCTCATCTCCGCCGCCGTGCTCCCGGCAACCCTGACTCTCGTCTGGAAGGGCCAGAACAAATGGGCCGTGACGCTCTCCCCCATCATCGGCACCGCATTCGCCATCATTGGCTGGCTCGTCACAGCCAAGAAGACCTGTGGTGTCCTGGACGTCACTTGCACGGGCTCCAACAACCCTATGCTGGCCGGCAACGTCATTGCCCTGCTTTCGCCGCTCCTCTTGATCCCCGTCTTTACCTTGGTCTTTGGCGTGGATAATTACGACTGGAAGTCGATGATGGCGATCCGCCGAGGCGACGATCACGAGCTGGCCAGCGCCGCGGGTCTGGATCTCGAGGATGTCCCCGGCAACACGGAGACGCAGGCCGAATTTGAGAGAGAACAGGCTATGCTGTCGCGTGCCTTTAAGATTTCCGTTTCCATGACGGCATTCATGTGAGTATACTCTCTGTGCATTCCGTGCGTTGTCTTTATACAGAGGTACTAATAAAAGCCTAGGACCATTGCCATGCTCATCCTCTGGCCGATGCCCATGTACGGCTCCGGCTACATCTTCAGCAAGCCCTTCTTCACCGGCTGGGTCGTCGTCGGCATCCTCTGGATCTTCTGCTCCTTCTTCGCTGTCGGCTTGTTCCCCGTCTTCGAGGGTCGCGAAACCCTCATTCACACCTTCAAGTCGATGCTTACTGGTAAGAAGCCGACGCGCCTGCCCATTGTCACCCAGGTTGAGGAGGACGTCAATGAGAAGACCAGCCCTGGCACCGCCACACCGGAGAAGACTGGCGGAGGAAAGGAGACTATCTCGTCTTGATGTTTCGTATTGCTAGGACGGCGAATAGAAACAGCGGTTCAAAGTGGTGAAGTAGGCTGGAGTTGTGGTTTGCGTTATACCCTCGTTTACTATGTGTATTTCAGGAAGTGGCATCCAGGAGGGAGAGACTGAGAAATCCGACAATGTCTTTAGAATGACTGGATGTAGAGACATGTGCTTAGACGCGTATACGCCATGCTCTTCATCTTTTCTTGCATAAACCGCTCTCAAAATTTAGTATTGGACAATCATGGGCGCAGATTCATCAAACCTGCTCAAAGAGGACGAGGGCCTTTCATCCATCGTATTCCCTGCATGTCCCGGGTTCAAGAATAGGCCCTCCCAAGACTCGGCCGAAACGATGGATAAGCGATTTTCTTCCGGACTTCGGATATCTCGAGGACAGGGATACGAATTCAGCAATGGTCACTGTTTCGCTGATTCATATACGTCTTTCAAGCCTTGAACATGTGTACTTGGGCGGATGACATATTTATCGTACTGTCAACCTTTCAGTATCCAAGCCCCGGAATCTAGATGGATAGACCGTTCCGATTGCGACAGCCGCGAGTCACGGCCAAATAGGAGCGAATCTGCGTCGGATCGCTCCAACGCAAAGAAGCACCAGCCGGCGCATGAATCGGAAGAGAGTTCAAACTCAAAGCTTGAGAAATTCTTGCGACATTTACCGTTGAGATGGGGCGGGGACATGACTTGGCAGGCGTGAAATTCTCACCACCCTTGGGTGTATCTATTAGTGTACCATATCGAGTAAGGTCGATAGGTTGAGGTGAGATATTGGCGAGGTCGACGGAGAGATAGCCGCGAATTCACTTACAGCGGTGTTGAATTGCTTACATAATAGAAATACCCCTCATTCGGGGATAAGCGAGTGGTGGGGCAGCGCATTTTACGTACTGAATGACCGTTCGGTCGCTGTGCAGCAGCAGCAGCAGCAGCAGCCCGCAGTGACGTCTGGCCACGAGAGACAACGACACCGACCTGGGGCCTTTTCAGTATTTTCGACTTGCCGCTGGAAGAACAAACAACGGGTCGCCTGTTTCCACACCGCAGGATCAAAACGTGGCAAGTCTTTTTCTTGAAAAACCTCGACATTGCGTCGCATGACTCGCCTTCTTTCACTCTCTATCCCGATCTGTGCGACAAACAGACTCGACAAACTACCTTACCGCACTTTGATTCCCTGATCCCTCGCCTCGGGCCGACTGACGACCTGCTTCGACTTCCCCGCCGCTACCACTTGCGGAAATATCTCGTGATATTAATCCAGGATCACGGTATTTATCCTAGAAAAAGGCGTTTTGGAACTCTCCGTGTTGCCAACTCTCGACGTCTCTCGTACACATAGCTACAGCCACAGCGTTGTTGGCTTCGAGCATCCCACGACCCCGGCATTACTCGCTGCAACATCCCCGCCATGGTCGCTTCCGAATTGTCGCAAGCGGCACGGGCTGAAAAGGCCGATCCTCAGCCGCCGCAGCTTGCAGCCCAGCAGAACAACGACGTACATGAGTCCATCCCGCCATTGGTGAACAGGGTCGGGCAGAGCAAGAGCCCGTACGTGCGAAGCCATGCGGACGGCCGCGTTGCCTGGCAACTGCTCGACGACGAGGCAATCGAGAGAGCTAGGAAGGAGAACAAGCTGATCTTTCTGCACATTGGCTTCAAGGCCTGCCATTGTAAGTGGCTGAATGGCAGGAAATCCCGGATGGCTGACAATGTGCGCTGACTTTCTTCGCAGATTCGCGACTTACATCCACCGAATGCTTCACCCACCGCGAATGCGCCTCCATCCTCAATGAGTCGTTCATCCCCATCATCATCGACCGCGAGGAGCGCCCCGAGCTGGATACGATATATATGAACTACGTGCAGGCTGTGAGCGGATCCGGCGGCTGGCCCTTGAACCTCTTCCTCACCCCTGACCTCGAACCCGTCTTCGGCGGCACCTATTACCCGGCTCCCGGCTCGAACAACGGAGGCTCCGACGACGAGGAACGTTTGGATTTCCTGGCTATCTTGCACAAGCTGCAAAAAGTATGGAGAGAGCAGGAGCCGAGGTGCAGGCAGGAGGCGAAGGAGGTCGTGGTGAAGCTCCACGACTTTGCGGCAGAGGGAACCCTAGGAAGCGCTACAGTCCAGCCGGGTGTCGCAGGTTCGCAGACCGCCGCCATTGGAAGATCAGAGACGGGGCTGGAGCTTCCGGAAACCGGCAGAACGGCTGCTGCCGTGTCGAGCGAGCTCGATCTGGATCAGCTAGAGGAGGCTTACACGCACATTGCCGGGACCTTTGACCCTGTCTACGGCGGATTTGGCTTGGCCCCCAAGTTTCCGACCCCGCCCAAGCTGTCCTTCTTGCTGCGGCTGCCCCGGTACCTCCCACCCGCACAAGACGTCGTGGGCGAGACTGAGTGCGCGCACGCCACGGAGATGGCGCTCTTCACACTGCGCAAGATGAGAGACAGCAGTCTGCGCGACCATGTTGGAGGTTCCGGGTTTGCTCGCTACTCTGTGACTGCAGACTGGAGTGTTCCGCGCTTCGAGAAGCTCGTTGCCCAAAATGCTCTGCTTCTTGGGCTCTACCTGGATGCATGGCTGATTGCTGGCAGCGGTGAGAAGGACGAAGAATTCTACGATGTTGTAGTGGAATTGGTCGATTACCTCACGAGCTCTCCCATCAGTCTGCCTGAAGGTGGTTTCGTTTCCAGCGAAGCTGCAGACTCGTACTACCGACGTGGAGACAGACATATGCGGGAGGGCGCTTACAATCTGTGGACACGTAGGGAGTTTGACACAGTCATTGGAGATGATCACGAGGCAGCGCTGGCTGCATCCTATTGGAATGTGCTTGAGCACGGCAACGTCGAACCTGACCAGGATCCCAATGACGAATTCATGAATGAGAACATTCTGCGTGTTGTCAAGGATATTTCAGAGATTGGACGACAGGCTGGTATTACCACGGACGAAGTGAAGAAGGTGGTCACTTCGGCAAAACAAAAGCTCAAGGCGCACAGAGAGAAGGAGCGCCCAAGGCCTGAGACCGACACCAAGATTGTGGTGGGACGCAACGGCCTGGTGATTTCTTCATTGACAAGGACTGCACTGGCTTTGTCGACTGTGGATGTGCCCAAGAGCCAAGCTGCGATAGAGGCTGCAAGCAAGGCTGCTGCGTTCATTAGAGCCAATCTTTGGGATGAGAACAACAAGATTCTTTACAGGATATACCACGAGGGCGTTGGCGAGACAAAGGCCCTGGCGGAGGACTATGCTTATCTCATTGAGGGTCTCATTGGCCTCTACGAGGTGACTGCGGACGACAAGTGGATCGAATTCGCCGACGAGCTTCAGAGTAAGGATGCTCTTCCTTAGCCCCCCATGCCCCCATATAGAACCAACTAACACCTTCGCAGAGGCCCAAATCCACATCTTTTACGATAGCCCATCGGCCTCAGCGCCGGAACCCACAACCTCTCGCTCCTCATGCGGCGGCTTCTACACCACGGCCGAGAACGCCCCGCACACGATCCTCCGCCTCAAGGACGGCATGGACACCGCCCTCCCCTCCACCAACGCCGTCTCCGTCTCCAACCTCTTCCGCCTCGGCACCATGCTCAACGACGAGTCCTACGCCGCCACGGCGCGCGAATCCATCAACGCCTTTGAGGCCGAGATCCTGCAGTACCCCTGGCTCTTCCCCGGTCTGCTCTCGGGCGTCGTCACGGCCCGTCTCGGCGGCGTGACGTGGGTCGTTGTCCGCGGCCCCGACGGCGCACAGGACGAGCTGACCGCGAAGCTCCTGCGGAAGCTGAGCGTGGAAGCCAGTGGCGGGTTGAGGAATGTGCTGCTGTTACAGAGCGAGGATGACTTGCTAGCGAAGAGGAACCCCGTGTTGAAGGCGTTGGTGCAGGCGCAGCGGCCGGGCTCGTATCTGCTCGAGAACGGCGTCGTTCGCCCCATCACACTGGCGGATGTGGTATGAGTTGTGACTGCAACGTTGAAACAAATGGAACAAAAAAAAAAAGGAAATCTAAATGCTCTTTCTCTTTGGCGGGGAGGGGAGGAACCTCATATGATGTCTTTTGGATGACGATTGTTGGACGACGGGTGATGGGGGGAAGGGGGGAGTTTATTTGCTTGGCGTCGGTACCCGATCCTCTAGATAGACTCAATCACGAGATGATGTTTGTCCAATACGCGTCGAGCTTTGGCTCCAAAAAGGATTCCGGTCCGAAGACGTGAAGTGCCCCATTCTATGACTTTGAGGTGATTCCGCACGTACCTACTTGAACTCGACGGAATCCGAATCAGACACGGCGAATCATCAACTTATCATGTACCAAGGTAGTAAGTAGTATGCGCCAGAGCGGCCATTATATTCATCAACTCAAAATACTTTTGGATTCATTTCTTGAACAAGTCCAAATCGGTGAAAATCTCAGAGAGTCAAGATGTAATCGTCTCTCAACCTCTTCCGTTTTCCCGTTTTTTTTTTTCTCCCTTTCTGTCGCAAAAGCAAAGCCAAATGTCATCTATGCCTGTGTGTGCCCGCCATCCAGGCGTTGCACTATGCTCTAGCAAAGTAGTACGTCCGTATAGGTCGACAAAGTCTTCCCTGACTGTGTCAACCATATCTGGAACTCCTCTCCCCTTTGACGCCCCCTATTCCACCAACTCATTTGTATACACTGGACTAGCGTCGCCGAGGTCTTCTACATGGCTTCATGGGCGACACCGAGTCGCCTTATTTAGTCGACCTGCTTTTCGCAGCCGATTCTACCAAGCAGCTCCTTGCGGTCGCTGTGGCCGGGCAGGCTCACGCCTGAAGAGCTTGCTTGCCTCTTGATGCCCGTTCTTCGCTCCCAGCTCTTGAGGTCGATATCCTCAACACCAACCTCCTCCTCGAGAGCGACCTCCTCCTCGTAGACGTAATCGCCTTCCTCCTCGCCTTCGAGCTCTTCATCGCTGCGGACATCCTCGGCGTTTCCGCCGCGGAGGACCTTGTTGACGACACGAAGAATCATAAAAAACCATCCAATGGTGATGACTTGCAGAGTGAGGAGTGGAACGAGGAACGCCCAGCGAATGGTAGAGTTCCAGCAAACCATGCCATCTGACTTGTAAAAGGGCTCCAACATCCAGCTCTTACCCTCGGGAACAGGCAGCGGGCCCACCAGGTTGGGGTGTTGGCCGGTGTAGCACGAGTCGGGGATTTCTTCCGGGATGTGGGCGTAGATAGACCAGCAGACCATCAGGTAGAAAACATGACGGGCAAGAAGCCATGACAAGACGAAGGTGCCGAACATGAAGTCGCAGAGGGTGTTCAATCCGACGTACTTCAGACACTTGGCGAGCTGCGAATGATTAGCTCATGCAGGACAAAAAGCCCGGGGCCATGACGTACAGGGAAGAAGAGGTCGACAACATCCATGAGCACGAGAATCAAGTTCCCGACGCGGGTCTGGTGGTAGCTGTAGCAGGCGGAAATCAGAGTGCAGGTGATGATGTGGTGAGTAAACATCTGCCAATGGTCCTTACGGCGGTCCTCAATGTTGATTACGAGAATCTGCTGCAGCCAGAAAGCCCACTGCGCTAAGATGTAGAACTTGTTCAGACCGGAAAGCTCGCGCTGCGGCCAGTTCGTCCAGAGCTCTCTCAGGTTCAACCAGTAGGGCGACGTCTTGTAGATGTACTAATTGATCGTTAGCGGCTGTTGGGCGAAAGAAGCCGAAATCGCCAGCGCGAACTCACCATGCCCAGGGGCCAGAAGACCATATAGTAAACCAACAGCCAGGCCTGCTCGCTGAAGCGGGTGAGATCCTTGCGCTTCTTGATGCCCCATCCTTTGGCCAATGGTGCCAGCACGTATTCCATGGTCGCGGCGCGCAGGCCGGTGAAGAGGACAATGCAGAAGGCGAGGAGACAAGAATCACCGAGACCGGCGCCATACTGTCCAGTTTCTTGGTTGTAGTAAGAGAGAGTGAAGAACTTGATCGTGTGAGGCTGCGCCTTCGGGATGAAGAAATGGGCGAGGAAGAGGAGGGCCAGAAGGTTGAAAGAGAGACCTGGATCCGGCATACGTTAGCTGTGTTTAGGCTGTGATTTACGAATAGGAGGCCTAGTCTCGCGGTGATGTCTGCCGTGTAACATGGCGCAGCTCCAGTTGTGGCTTTGTAGAGATGGGTGTGGGGTGATAGTCAAGGTAAGGAGAGGGTACAGGAAAGACGACGTACCGACTTGGTTCTCAACCATCCACCGGCTAAACATCTTCCAAGCGCTGTCGTCTGTTCTCCTGACCCGTCGAATGAGCACGACATTGACATTGTTGTGTCCTTGCTGGTAAAGGGGCCCATTCATAAGCTTGAGTTGCTTGGTGCTGGCATTCCGCTGAATCTGGGGGGCGGAGCTGGTCCTGACGGGTTTCTCAAAGGTTGGCGATGAGGCCTCGTGGTTACTGGCGGTGTCGCTCATGATGCGCGACTAGAGCTCCAATTGGAACTCAATTGGGGTGTCGAAGGGAGCGGCGACCCGAAATTGGAGTCGTGGGAGAGGCTGCAATGTTTAGCGACAGCGGCGTCGTGGGCTGGCGTTGGTTTTCTTTGGGTACCAGTTGTGCCCACGAGTCCTTTGTAGTGGTTGTGGTGGGTGTAGAGCCGCGATAACCAGGAGGGATCGTTATCCGGACGCGGTTGAGCGGGTTGAGTGCGCAAAAGAGCACTTTTCGGGATTCTGATACCGCAAAGCACGACGATCGTGACGAGCGGTTCTGAGAGATTCGTGGTCGAGGAAGAGGGAGGGAGGAGGGAAACGAACGTCCTGAGTTGGTTTTAGGGAGGTTGAAGATCGAGAGGATGGGAAAGTGAGTGAAAGGGCAACGTCGCACACAATGGAGACCGAAGACGGGACGGTGGACTGGAGGGCGGTAGGTAAGGTAGACGACCGTAGCAGGACAGGCTGGGCGGTACGAATACAGAGGTACACCACGCCAAGGCCTGGGTCAGGATCTGCTCGGTTGCTCCAGAAAGTTGCTGGGATCAGGAGTGCAGCAAGATGGTGCCCCGTTTGGTGTGTGGTGTGGGTGGTGCGTGTAGTTGCGGGCTGCGGCGGCGTTTTCTTTCTGTCTTTTGCTTCAGTGATGGGAGATGGGTGTTTGTGTATTGGCAGATGCTGAAAGTGGGCTATACTTTCTGTGGGGAGGAGCGGGACGAGAAACGCTGGACGGAGGTAAGGCGAGAAAGAGACTGAACTGAGAGAGAGTTTGGGAAGAATAGCCAGAGTATCCGTACCTTGAGGTAGCAGTGGCTGGGACAGAGTTTCTTCAAGTCACGAATACATTTGGCGCGACATTTTCTGTTCTATTGTTTCTTCTACTTGTACGGATAAGGACAAGAAAACCTAAGGTAGCAAGAGACCTGAAGCGCGGCGGCGGGTGGAAACGTGGATTAAGGTACAGGGTGCTAATGGCTCGCGTCTTTCCCCCTACAAGCCCAGCTTCGTCTCGAGAAAAAAAAAAGGCCCAAGGAGGCTCCACTGAAGTACTCATGTACCTACATAGTGTACATGTTGCTCTTGCCTTGCTTGCCCTTGCTCATAGCCCCGGGGAAGGGAAGGGGTAAGTCAACCGGCTGCCAAGCCAGCTCACCTTTGACCGAGGTGGCTCAGGGGTGCAGAAACCAAAGGCTAACAGAAAGAGAGAGAGAGAGACAGAGAGTCCTGTTGGAGATTGATACTCTCAAAGTGTCAATCTCTCCCACACAGCCCGCCTACCTTACACGTGTAGCTCCCATCGCCGTCATGCAGAGATCGCCGGCCAAGTCTTAGTGGGCCAAAAAGGTTCATCAAAGGCGGTGAGGACGGCTTGCTATTGGAAAATGGAAGAGAACCTGGGGGGAGAAGGCGAGAGACTGAGAGGAGTGACGCTGGAGTCTGGACATGGGAAAGGGATGTGGGCAAGAGGCATCGGCCAATAAAAGCACCAGGGTTCTCTTGGTCCCTGGTTGTCTCTTTCCCAGAATGAGTGCGGCACCTGGTACGTACCGACCGTGCTTTGAAGGGGGAATTTGGGGAGGGACGGGGTGGGGGACCCCTTATCCCATTCGAGTCTGGCTGCAGCTTGATGCTGCGCTGGGACGTGGACGGTGGAATTGGACGGTGCGTGGGTGCCTTTAAATTGTAAACATGAGTGGAAGCTTGATTGTTGTCGCCCGTGGGCCGTCGCTTGTCGTCGGGAGAGAACCGACCCCCTCCCGTCCCACGTCCTCCCCTCTTGTTTACTCTCTCTGCCTTTTACGAATACCTGGACCACCAATGGAAAGACCCTATTGATGCAGATAACTGGGTTCGAGAGCCACTGTGTCCTTACGAGCGGCAGATGCTGGCCAGCCCAAATCAATTCCAAGGCCGAGGTGTGAGAAACAGAGTGGCGGGAGGGGACGAGCTGCGAGTTGAAGATGGAGAGAAAGGGACGGGCGGGTCTACTCGTTCTCACCAAGTTTCAACACCGTCGTGTTCTGGTTTCTTCTTCGTTTTCCCGGCATTGTGCGTTGCCCATCGCTGATCTCCGCCGTCCTAGACTCCCAGTAGAGGGCTCACCGCGAGAATGGCATGGACATTGACAATCTTCATCTTGCCGACCTGCACGGCGTTTAAAATGAAGTGATTTTCACCCCTACCATAGTAGACTCTTATCGATGTTTACTATACAGGCCCCCTGTCAATCATGTCAACTTTTCTTTGTACCCATCCTTCTTCCCCCCTCTGTTCTTTGCTTTTTCCACGTTCCGGAGAGACCTGTATACGTATACCTTATGCAGTTGTATCCGTATTGATTTGGCTTTCCCCTCTGATCTCTCTTCCCGCTTGTCTAACCAAGTCTCACAGACGTTTATTAGATACCCCTATTTTCATCTGTGCAACGTCCAACAACAACAAATGACTTTTGTTTAATTTGGCCTGCGCCATGCATTCGATGAGCAGTGTCTG